TTTAACCTTGGGGTTGAGAATTCACAGTCACTTTCAATCAAGGAATGTTTGTGACCTCAACAACATTCTTCTCTAACTGCAAAAGGGAGAGATGGATAGGAAGAGGGAGAAAGAGAGTTAAAGATGGTGCTCTGAAATTGTGAACGGGATTTGATTTTCTGACGAAACTCTTGGGTTTTGGATGCTTCCACGTTTCTAAATTTAACTCTGTACAGCCAAATCCAAACAGAAATTCCACCACATTTCCCCAAAATAGAACACTCATATCTATATCCAAAAATCTATCATATTCTAAAAAAATAGTCACAGAATGGCAACAGATTTGAGCCAAAGAAAAAAAAATTTCCAATTTTGGATATTTCTAAAACTAAATTTGGAAAATTCCAAAATTTAACTGAGAACGCTGTCAGAGAAATTAACTACACACACTTAAAGCAAGTCCAAAATTGCATCAATCAGAGACCACCATCAAAATTGAAAACAAAAAATAATCGTACAAAATTAAACTCCAGTGAAATAACATTGAGCATATCAGAAATAGATTTGCATTCTCAAAATTCAAAAGCGAAAATGTTAAAATTTCTCTCACCTCATGAAATCCGAGACCGCCATTGTTGGAAAACTTGGAGCTTCGACAAAATGATTGCTTTCTCTCAATCTCTGAGAGGACTGGGGAAGATGGGGCTCTACTCTACGAGGAGTGGTTATGGCGTCGACTTCTTTGTTAATTGTTAGTTGCTTTCGCAGCTACTCTGAAAATCATTACTGGCCTTTGAATAAAACTACCGCGCTAACGCGAACGAGTGGTTACCCGGGGGTGTCGAAATGACTGATTTGCCCTTGACACTGTACCTAATTTGCGTGGCAGCCACGGCTAAAGCATTGAAATAATGGTCACTGTAAATTCGGTGGCGCACATGACCCTTCTAACTTTCAAAGTAAAACTCCAAAAAAACTTTCGACCGTCCACGTTGAACCAAAATTAAAAAATTTAACGTTAATAAAATAACATATTCATAATATTGGACTGAAAATTTTAAAGTAAAAAAGGAAAACATCTGGTTGATGGATTCAATTTGACGTAACAGAAGAATTTATAAATTCCTAGTACTATAAATAAATAATACATATGACTTTTATAAGAATGATTGAGAGTAGTATATTCATCGATAAATTATAACATATAATAATTTTGTTAAATGTGAGAAATTCCGTCATACACATATTGATTTGAGAGTAGTTTATTCATTGATAAATTATAACATATAATAATTTCGCCAAATGTGAGAAATATGTGTCATGCGTCGAGCACTCAGAGGTAAACACTGAAAGTTTACTTATGAACCCTTATTAGCCCTTGATGTTACTACTTGATTTTTGATATTACAAAGTCCTACATCATAGATCCATAAGCTCCCTAGCTTTGACTCTTCATGAGCTCTCTCAATTAGTCTTCGTTTAAAACCGTCCAATTATTATTTTTTGGTTATGAAAATGATCTTTAGTTCAACCCTTGACCATAAACTTCACCATCACATGAGCTAGGGTTTGTTGATGGAGCCCCTAGTTGTGTGACTGGTGTACTATATTTATATATACAGAAGCTATATATGTATTTATAACTCAGAAGAAAATATATATGAAAGCAGCTTATTGTGGCATGCGCGGCCATGCAAGCTTTTTATAATACATTTTTTTATTTCAGCTGCTTCGAGGTTTTTATAATTTCCCCCTCTCCAAGAGTGAGGCAAACAAAAAGCTGCAAAACGAAGAGTATGGGGACCGCTTTACCTTTGACCATGAAAAAGAAGAAGAAGAAGAATAATGCAGCATGAATGTAGTGAGACAGCCCATGTGGTAGAAAAGCTTAGTAATGGATTTTTTTTCAGAGCTTTTCGGGATGATATATTACACTCACACACACTACGGATCCTAAGACTTGAATCCAAAATTTTATATGAATGATCAATTACTTCAAGCCACTAATTCTTTGCTTAACATAAACATTAATTGGTCCCTCCTTGATTAGCAGGACCCCATGCATTTGTCTCTTAGCTAAAAGACTTTAATTAAAAACATATGAAAAGTAGAAAGAAATTAATTAATTAATTAAAAACTAAGGGAAGGCCCAAATAAAATCTCTGAGACTCAGAATATATATAGTAGATAATGTGCATGCAAATTCATTCGACCAGAAGAAGAAGGCATTGCATTGCATGTGCAGTGGTACCATATTCTTGCAGACAGTGATACTTCTTTATTTTTAGCTCTCATTTCATTTGGGCCACTTTTTGTAATATCTTTGTTTTTGTTTTTCTCTTTGTCAGTGCTGGAAAAAAAAAGCTAGTTTTTTAAAAGCGATTTATTTTCTTCGTCATGAAATCTGGATTTAATTTTGGTTGTGGTTTTAGCGGGGACATTATGCACGCATGTTCGAGTTTTTAACAGAAAATTGTATATAAATTATTTTGAACCCATCAGATTCATATTCGATAAAAAATAAAAATAAAAACTACATGGAGTAGGTTATAGAAAATATCCCATTCCGTTCCTTTTAGACCCCATATTTTGAAGTTTTGAACCAGTAATTTTTGTTGAACTTTATACTAGATTGGACTGGACTAGCATAATAATGCTTGCATTTTATGTGCATTCAAGATATAATAAATATATGTTGTTTAACTTTGAGGAAGAATGAGGACTATCTATAAAAGATTGATGACTAAAACTTATCCCTCATAATCCCCCGATAATACTCTTTCTTCCTTCAAAGTTAGACAACAATATCTATATTATGCTTTGATTGTTAATCTATTCCGTTCTAGTCTAAAACTATGAAACAAGCCTCAAGCGTCGTGCCTTGAAAAATAACATATATCTATTAAACACCATTAATTGACAAACCTGAAGTAAATTAGCAATTATAGTTTGGCACCTAAAAGTAAATTAGCAATTATTTGACAAACCATTATTTGGCACCTAACTATGGTCTACGCATAATTAGCAATGATATTCGAGATAATCTCAACTAAGTGGACCTATGAAGACGTGGAGTAATGACACGTGGTGGATTGTCATTTTCCAATTGTCTTACATTAATCTTGGATATATATATATATATATATAATATTTAATTAATTCCTTGCACCTTCCCATGAGCCGTGATAGAATGTCACAGACATACAGTTTAAGAAGCCTCAGACTTCTGTAGACTTAGTTGAGATGAGTAACAAACACAAAAATCCATCTTACTTTTCCGAGATCAGAAAAATCTGTCCAGGATTGAAAACGAAAACCCAACTAATTCCAACACTCTTCTGAATGATTGTGGTAAATAATCAAGCTCATCCATACTCAATTAATATATTAAAATTGGGAGGACACCAATTAACCAGCTAGCTATATGTACCTTCTAACTTCAAATCTAATTTTACCTGTTCCACTAGAAATTGGCTGCGAGTGAATTGGAATTGGGCATAACTAATGGCACCATTAGCCCATTACCTACTTCACCATATAAATTATATAAATTATATAAATATGTTTATAATCGCGTCTGGACATTCGAATGAAAAAAAAACAATATATTTGTGCGGATTTCAATTATTGTATGTCCGTTTCAACTAGCAAAAAGTAAATTATTTGGTTAAGGATGTCACTCCCAACCTAACAGCCAGTACATAGTAAAACATCTTCATATTTAATTTGATGGATGACTAGCAAACCTAACACAGTATTTATGATCAATTCCTAAGATTCAAAATATCTTTTTATTTTACTAAAATGAAATTAGCCCTAGTTAATGAAGTCCTATTAGGGATGCTTCAATTAAATTTTATCGTTGAAATTAGTCAATGGGGTATAGCTCAGTTAGTTGAACTTTTCTACCTCCATCCATGTGAATTAAGGTTCAAAATCCCTAAACACCCAATAAATATTTATGTGTAAACCCCTCTTCTCCAATTGCTTGTATTAAAAGAAAAATCCATCATTGAAGGGTCTTTTATTATAAATTAAAAAAAAAGAAGAAAAGAAAAACAATGTTGCAGGAGTCATTGAGTATGGGCTCATTACACAGCATGGGAGATCAAGTAACTGGGCCAACCAAAATAAAATACCAATAATAACAAAAGAAAACCCAAACATGTAAAACGAATGGAAGAAAAGCCCAAACCAAACGAATGAAAGAACCCTTTAGGCCCAGGCGGGTACTCCAACCTCCGCTGCCGCCGGAGGAAAAAATCAGGACTATGCACAAGATATATGGTAAAATGCCGGCGGAGAGTTTTTCAACTGGCCTCAATTGACAGGATCTTACACAAGATATATGGTAAAATGCTTGAGACTAATTGTGTTACTCAGAATTTTTAAGAGATGATTGGGCTGACTGTGAAAAAAACAACTGTGTGGGTGAATTGGGATCCCATTATTGCATTGGTTAAATTTAGGGCTCTTCATTGGCAAAAACAAAATAAAATTAGGGCCCTTCACAATAATCCAAGTCCTAGGAATCTTTGTTAGAGTCGGCATGCTCTCCAAGTGACAAAGTCCAATAGAGACAGCAAACAAGTACAAACATAATTTAGCAACCAAGCATAATGGATCTACACTCATACAAACAAGAAGCCCAATGAGCACTTTTCCATTGTTTTTTTTTTAAGTACAAATGATAGTCTAAATTAAAAGGAGTTGTTTCTCATTCAAACACTACAAAGGTATCATGTGAGTTCAAACAGGAGACTGCAGACATGCAAGTTAAGGTCATTTTCCAATGAACTATACCCAGTTGGCAATAAGGAATCAATTATAAACAAAGAACCCAAATAGAGAACGCAACGAGCAGTTGCTATTTGGACCACATTTACTGATCTCATTGCCAATTACTTATCTAATTCCACATATATTGGTAGAGCCTTTTTATTAAAGAGGTAATTAACAATGTGGTTAATAAATATGGTACAAAATAGCATTATTGTTAATTATAAGTAAACCTAGGAGACTTAGCTGAGTGAACACACCAGCCTTTTAGTTGGTACAGCGACCAGAGCACTTGCCGTAGGAGAGGTGAGCCCCAAAGCATCGTTCATGTCAAGCTCGCATGGCTTCATCCCATCAGCCAACTCCCACGTAAAGCAATGAAGCAAGTGCCCCATCACCAACTCCAGCACATACTTCCCCAACTGCATACCCGGGCACGACCTCCGACCCGACCCGAATGGTATAAACTCAAAGTTCCCTAAGTCATGTGCATCATGATTGAGAAACCTTGAAGGCTTGAAGGTGTCCGGATCGTGCCACGCGTCCTTGTCCCTCCCAATGGCCCACACGTTGATCATCACATGCGACTTCTTCGGGATGTGATAACCTGAAATCGCCGCGTCCTCCTCCGTCTCGTGGCGGAGCAGAGGAACAGGTGGGTGAAGACGCAGTGTCTCTTTGAGGACACATTTTAGGTAAGTCAGCTTCTCAAAGTCGCTCTCTTCGAGTCTGCGGTTTAGCCCCACCACATCAGCAAGCTCTTGCTGGACCTGTTTCAGCTCTTCTGGGTTTCTCATTAGCTCTGCCATCGCCCATTCTGTAACCGATGCTACGGTCTCTATTCCCCCAAACATAATGTCCTGCATGCAACATATAATAATTGGTTAAGGTTACCCTAGGGTTTATGTATATATATATATATATATATATATATATTAATTAAGGGTAATTAGTCTTCTATTTTATCATTTATCTGACATATTATATATTTTGCAACTTATTACAAGTTTTCAAACATAATTCAATACATATATTTGTCAAACTATATGACAAGAAAACACAATTATATATGTTAATTCAATTTTTTTAGTAAGTGATAGTTTAAACTAGAAAGGAGTGAGATTTCTTCCACACACACAGCTATGATGCCATTAGGGTTCGAACTTGAGACTTCTTAAAAGTAAAGGTCCTTTTTCACTGAGTTAGACCCCGTTGACACATTAATCTAAATTAGAAAAAGTAATATATGCATCGCAATTTTGCAATACCCGCTAGTTAGCTCTTAATTTAGTGATGTTTTTCTTGAACTCTCAATTTCGCTAAACTGTGTATATATAATATGTATGTGAGTGCAATATCAAGTTGATTTTTATTACTTGAATCATGTGTGTGCATCACTTATTTATTTGTATACACAAACCTTACCATGATGAGGGCTTTGATGTTCTCTCTAGTAACTTTGATGGCGTTTTCTGCATAACCATGATGATCTGATTCACCTGCTCCTGCTTCTTCGCTGCAGTAAAAGGCTAATAATTCATCCACCATATCAGTTTTACCTTCACCATCCTCGTTGCATTTCTTCCCAAATTTTTTTTGCATGTGGTCATCTATGACCTTGTTGATGAACCTGTCCAATGACTCTCGAGCCTTAACGAGTCTAGCGTTAAGCCCTTGGGAGTCAAAGTCAACCCACTCCAGCCAAGGAATGAAATCCGCTATATTGAACTCACCAAATAGCTTTCCAAACTCTTTCAATATTCCACTCAACTCCTCCTGCCCTTCCTGCGAGCTCGTCCCAAAAGCAGCCCTATACACAACATTCTTCATCAACGTGAACATCACTTCCCTGATGTTCACAGCCGAACCCTCGCGGCTAGCAAGGGTTCGGACAGTCGCGTTGACTTCATCCCTGGACGACTCCCACGAAGATTGAGCTCTTTTCCTACCGAAGAGCTTCATGACACAGAGCTTACGCATCTGGCGCCAGAAGGGTCCATAGTTAGCAAAGGCCATGTCGGCTCGGTCATAGGTGAGGTAGCGGATGGCAATGGTGGCCGGACGGTTAGAGAAAATGCTGTCTTGGACTTGAAGCACTTGGCGAGCCACGTCGGGCGTTGAAACGGTTGCCACGTGTAACGACCCCATGCGGAGGAGGAAAATGCCGCCATATTGCTTAGCTAGTTTGGCCAGCCCTATGTGGTTTAGTTGGTCCATCATCAGCATGTTACCGATTATCGGAAACCCTACAGGCCCCGGTGGGTACGGCAATCTCGTCGGCCGCCACCACCACCAGATGCAAAAAATTAGGCCGAACAAAAATGGTATGGTGAACGACAATTCCATAATGGGAACATTTTTTTCCATGGATTGCATAATAAGAGAATCCATAACTTGGGACATTGCAATAATATATAAAGTTGAATTGATCAAATTGATGCTTGCTATATATATATATTATATATATATATATATATATATATATATATATATTGGATGGAATCATGTGAAGTGCTTTACAATAATTGGTCACTTAACCTAGCTAATAATTCAAAAGACGAACAACAATGGAAGCACAAAAAACACATGGGGTATTGAGGGATCATTTTAGGGACACCTTTTTTAGGGTCCCTTATGATTATTTTTTTTCAACGATCCAAATCATCTATTTTTTAAGTCTATATTTATAGATCCTTGCAAAAAAGTAGACAAATCAGAAACCGTTTCGACTCCAATTATGTTTTACAAAATTAATAAACACAGTGCTTCAAGAAAGTATTTAAATTTCAATAATTCAATTTAATTGTAAAATGATATCGGATTCAAGTGATTTTATGTAGAGATGATCATTGAATGAATATCTACAAAATAGACGGTTTGGAATAGTGAAATACTATGTAGAGTGGGCCCTACAAGGATGTCCCTCAAATAAACTTATTTGAGAGACGCCATTTAGGGTACCCTACAAATATTTTTTCCAACGATTCAAACCATCTATTTTTTAAGTCTACATTCATAGATCATCCTTGCAAAAAATTAGAAAAATCCAAAACCATTTTGACATCCAATTGTGTCATACAAAATCAATTAACACAGTGCTTCAAGAAAGTACTAAAATTTCAATAACACAATTGAGTGGTCAAACGATCGAATTCAATTGATTTTTTGTAGAGATGATATTTGAACGATTATCTAAAACATAGATAGTTTGGATTAATGAAATACAATACGAAGTGGGCCCTACAAAGATGTCCCTCAGATAAGCTTATTTGAGAGATCCCTCAATAAAAACTTTTATATATATATATATATACACACAAAAGAAATGTGGAACCAAAATAATATAATCTGAAAGTGAACAAAGCACCCAACAAAGGGTTACAAGACAAAATTGACAACATGAACCCCTTAATCTCACCAGCTCTCTGCCATGCTAGCTAGCCAGCTAATTATATTTTAAAGTTTGAACCCATTTTTTTATTGATTGCCAAATTATTTCATACAAGTGCCAGTAGTTTTGCTTCAACTTTAGTCCTTCTAGTGGAAACTCCAACTCTTACTCAAGTATGTGATGTCCTGCCCTATAAAAAATGTAATAAACACCATTGTTTAACAAACCTGATTAACAAACACAAAGATCTGTCCAGGATTGAAAGCGAAAACCCAACTAATTCCAACCCTTTTTCTGAATTATTGTGGTAACTTAAGTCAAGCTCATTCATAATATATATTATATAGGGATGCTTCAACTAAATTTTATCATTCAAGAGTTTTTTTATTCAAAAGAAGAAAAAAAAGATTTTACAGTTTTATTGAGTATGGACTCATTACACAACATGGGAGATCAAGTAACTGGGCTCACCCGAACAAACTACCAAAAGAAACAACAGAAAACCCAAACAAGCAAAACGAATGAAAAAAAACCCTTCAGGCCCAGGCGGGTACGGCCGCCGGAGGCAAAAGAAATTAGGATTTTACCCAAGATATATGGTAAAATGCCGCCGGAGACTGTTTCAACTAGCCTCGATTGACAGGATTTTACACAAGATAAAGATATATGGTAAAATGCTTGATGAGACCAAATTGGGTTACTCAGAATTTTTGAAAGATGACTGGGCTGCCTGTGGAAAAAACAAACGTGAGGGTGAATTGGGATCGCATTGTTTTGCATCGGTTAAATTTAGGGCTCTTCACAATAATCCAAGTTCTAGGAATGTTTGTTAGCATGCTCTCCAAGTGACAAAGTCCAATAGAGACAGCAAACAAGTACAAACATAATTTATAGCAACCAAACCAGGCATAATGGATCTAAACTCATACACCAAAAGCCCAATGAGCACTTTCCCATTGTTTCTCAAATTAGACTGTTCAAACATGCATAACAAAATATAGAAAAGAGACACAGAATATGAACACATTCAAAACATTTTGATTATCACCGTCCAAAAAGCTTCCAAGAAAAGGCAGATCAATCTCTTGGTGAATGATATCTCATCCTATCTGTCTATTTTGGATTGTTGAGTTTATAGGAAGAAAGAAAGATGATAATGTCATGTGGGAGAGAGGAAACATCACAGAAACTTCTCAATATTTGGCATCTTTGTAGTTCCCTGGATTTACAAGCTTCTATGAACTACCTGAAGTTCCAAGAAAAGGTTGGGTCAAAATGCACACTTGCCCCCGTTTTCATATTTTGGTTTTTTGCTTTAGGATACTAACCAAACTGTGTGTACCTTTGGTCTTGAAAGCAACCACACAAAATGATTGATGATTAGGAAATACCTTGCGATATAATCTGCCTGATGAAAATTAAACAGTGGCTAATTACTGTGATGACAAGATTTAACATGTTAGAAAATGCACAGCAAAAAAGAAAAGAAAAAAATAGTACCCTTTTTATTGTGTTTAACACATTGTTGATGTGGCCTTCAAGGATATCACCACCCCTCCCAATATGTCAAGGTGGACAGTAGCTGTGAGGATGACTAAATTTAACTTTTCTGGTATGATTTGAGAGAATCTGCCAGGAAAGTTCCTCACAACAGCAAAGAACAATGTACAAAAATTTGAATTGAACTCAAAAGATGTACCAGAGTGTGGCTTTATAAAAGGGCACCTCCCCTAGTCTTGTGATGCAGGGCATACAAGAAATCAAAGAGAGAATTCTAAGTGCAAGTGAGAGTCATAAGAGTAAGAGTGTCAAATGGAGATTGAGGAGCTAAGCAACTGCGAGGCACTGCCTTTGCTCTCTTTAAATCATGTGTCTTTGTTATGCAGATCGGTGTGGAATTCTTTGAGGTTCTATGAAGAAGTCTTGGGCTTTGTTGTCATCAAACGCCCTTCTTCTTTCAACTTCAATGGAGCCTGGTTAGCTTTCTCTCTATCTGAACATGCTTTTTATAGTATGGAATTGTTTTTCATACGCAGCAAAGTTGAATATTTATGATTGTCTTCTTGAAAAGAAAATGCATGCTTTTCCAAAGTTTGTTCAAAAGAAAATAACAAATCAATCTGTCTCTGACCCTGTGTAGGTTGTATAACTATGGGATCGGGATACACTTGATTGAAAGTCCAGCCATGGAAGACTATGAATCTCGGCCAATCAATCCCAAGGACAACCACATCTCCTTCCAAGTAAGAGCTGCACCGGTACTTGTAGAACCTGTAATGTTATTTGTGGTCAAATATAACAAATATGTTTTGGTTATGATCATGCAGTGCACTGATGTTGGACTTGTTAAGAGGAGGCTGCAAGATATGGGGATGAGGTATGTGACAGCCGTGGTGGAGGACGATGGGGTCAAGGTCGACCAGGTGTTCTTCCATGACCCAGACGGGTATATGGTCGAGCTCTGCAACTGCGAGAACATCCCAATCATTCCCATCTCTGCTTGTGCCTTCAAACCCAGAGGTAGTAGTTTCAAGAAGGCATCGATCAGTAAGTGCGGATTCATGGAAACTGTCATGATGGAAAGCTTAAGCCTGGACATGATGAACTTCTCATTTTAAGTTTCAGAAAGAGTGATAAGTCTCACTCCTTTCTGTCAACTGGAAGAAAAATGTTGCAAATGTATTACAGGGTCTATATAGTGTGGTCTTGTGTCTTGGTCCAAAGACAAGTTGTATTGGTTTTCTACTGCTTGTAATAAAGAATTTGTGGGGAAGATTAAGTTGTACTGTATGTATGCATATACTTAATCTCTTGAGGCCAATATGTGCCATGTGATTAAGCTCATATTATTGAAGCAAGAAACTCCTTAATATAGTTTGAGTTAATTTGGCCATGTGTAGTTGAATATATATCTTACTCATTTCGCTCTTTCTTCACTAATTCAAGTTTCAAGTTTAAATGTTTATACACATAGAAACAAAAAATTGAGTTAAAAGGCATTATGGATACAGGGCGCTTTAAGATAAAGGTTGGATGGTAGATGGATAAAGAAGTTTTGAAGATACCTATCTTTGTGCTTGACTGGAAATGTTTCTACAAATAAGCCATTTGAATTGAGCTCTTTAATATCAACCTTGACACATACATCTTAGCTCTTCAAGCACTTTCTGGCTTTGCAATTTGTTTGTACCAGATACTGCAGAAAATGTGCTAACCAGGGAACAAGATATTCCAAGTACATCAAGCGCTGAACAAAGCTTTGTCTATGCTCCATAGGGAACTAGTCTCTGAAGGTCAATATAACCTCAAGTATTGTTGCCTCTATACATCATCATCCTTGTTATAGTCTTCTGAAAGAAGACTGAGAGTTACATCACAAGTTATACTGTCCTCCAACTTTGTGACAGTTTACACCTCTGCTGTAGTCAACCACTACAACATCGAATCGCGATAATAATATTTACTGAATAGGTGGAGGTGGGAGAAGGGACAAGAGTGTATTTTGCATCCACTGAATGATGTTTTTCCTCTTTCATCCATCACATATTGATTACTTGCAGATGTGGATACATGCATGGCCCCTTAACATCAAAGAAACGTTTTGATTATGGTGAGAGTGAAACCAATTCAATTTCTCATTTCGATGATTAAAAGCTAGAGATGTTATACAGGTGTCCCTCTATATCAGGAAGAAAACCTTTCTCCATCATTTCTTCTTTTACTATTTCATATGTAGTTCGATTTGGGACCAAACCTTTCTCCAGCATCTCATTGAGAAGTTCATTTGCAACTTTAAGCTTTCCCTTCATACAATGTCCCTTGATCAACACATTGTATGTTACTATATTTGCCCGCTTCCCTTCTTTCTCCATCTGTAACCTCACATTCAAAGCTGCCTTCAGGTTTCCTTCCCTGCAATAGCCATCCATCAAAGTATTGTATGTCACGTGGCTAGGACTCAAACCTTTTTTAAACATCTCATTCAAGAGCCCTTCTGCCTTTCTTGACTTCCCTTCTTTGCACAATGCATCTATTAATAAATTATACGTTATGGGATCAGCTTTCAAGCCCTTAACCTCCATTTCATGCAAGAACTTCCTAGCTAATTCCATGTTTCCCTGCCTACAGAAACAAGCAATCCAGCAGTTAAATGTCGAAGTGTTTGGGGAAACCCTTCTCTCTAACATTGAATTATGCAATGCGTATGCTTCTTCCATCATTCCATGCTTACAGTAAGCATCAATTAGCGTATTATATGTTATAGCATTGGGCACCAGGCCTCCATTCATAATGTCATCAAACAACTCTTTAGCTTCCTTCATCATCTTCCGTTTGCAGAACCCATTTATGAGTGCGTTGTAGGTAACTATATTTGGCTTCAAACCCAAGCCAAGCATTTCATCCTGCAAACCACAAGCCTCGTCAAGCTTCCCATTACAGCATAACCCATTAATCAGAGAATTATATGTAATCACATTCGGTTTCAAACCCTGCTTCATTTCCTCAAACACCTTGACCGCAGAAGCTAGATTTTCATCTTTACAGAACCCATCAATCAAAATATTAAAAGTAATCTCATTCGGGTGAACATTATTTGCCACCATCTCCTTCAAAATGGCATCAGCTTTGTGCATCTTCCCCAATCCACCCTTTTTGCAATACCCATCAATAAGAGTATTATAAGTAACCACATTTGGTGAAATCCCCCAAGCTTTCATGTCATTAGTAACATCCCTTGCCTTGTTCAATTTCCCAACTTTACACAAACCATTAATCAGAATACTGAAAGTGAACAAATCAGCCTCTATCCTCCTCCTAACCATCTCTTTGTACACATATTCAACACATCCAATTTCATTTTCCTTCACCAAAGCACTCAACAAAGGGTTACAAGACAAAACTGACAACTTAAACCCGTAATCACCAGCTCTTTGAAATGCTTCAAAACCCAAACGGGTCTTCATATTTTTCACATATGCCAGCACCAACATATCAATTATAACAGAATTTGCACAGAACTGGTTGCCACACATTGAAAGCATGTGAAAAATTGAAGAATTCGAAAGCTTTTCATTGTTTCTAACAAATCCATCTAAGAAAGCTCTGATCTTTGAGTATTTTTTTGCATTTGCTAGGGAATGCAAAAGTCTACAAGTGAGTTCAAGAGGGTGTGTAACATTGAAATTCTTCTGCGACCAACTAAAGTACCTGAGTATCAGTACTGGGTCAGTTCCTGCATCAAACAGTTGGTGAAGAACCGCGATAAAGTTCGAGTCTTTGAGGTGGGTTTTCAGCTCTGACCAATGTTGCTTTGCTATGAGCTCTGAAATGATTGGGAGGCTGAAGGGCTGTGAGCTTGGACTTGTGGAGATGGAAATTAAGGAACAGAGTCTGATGCAGGTTCGACGATGCCCCTGAACGTGGACTCTGGCCTGGAGGCATGAGGAGGAGGACGAGAGGAGTTTCAGCATTTTCAGTGGCGGTACAATTGAAATTGGAGGTCAAAATTGGAATTTAATTTAGGATATGAGTTTGCTTGTAGACCCAGTGGTTTCTCTGTGTAAGGGAAAACGGCCATTTCTGCGACTCTGGAGTTTCTGAGAGAGGAGTCAGTGACTGCCGCCTTTTTTAACAACTGTCGGACCGTAAACGGGCCGGCCCGAACCTAGGAATTGAGCCCCTTTCACTTTAATTTTTTAAATTTAAATTTCTTATGTTTCAAAGTTCTCAAATATCTCTAAAAAGGTTATTGCATATATGAAATTTCGAACTCTATATAATTTTTTTTGTACAAAGGAGACCCAACTCTCAACCACATGAATATACCGTAGAGAAAAAGTAAAATAAAATTCAACACACCAACCCAATTTTTGTTTAATTAACATAATTTAGATATGTTGTAGAAAATACAAGTGATAAATTACAAGAGGATGTTGTTTTCTCACACACACTGTTAAAGTGTCATGAGATTTAATATGAGACTACTAATATGTAAGTTAGATCATTTTTCACTGGACTAAATCCCGTTGGGAGATATGTTGTAGAATTAAGTAGAATATTTATACAACTCATTTTCTGCTGTAATATTTTTTTTCTTCCCAAATGCTGTAAATACTTTTTGAGTTGCCAGATCCTCAAGGGACATGAATACTTAGCATTCATGGTGTCACGTCTTCCCGTCCACTCAGATTATCATCCTTCCATTTATATGACCGTTTTAGGTACGGATAGATAGATATATATGTAAAGGGCCCCAAAGATGCTCTGTGAACGGCAGGGCGTTGGTTGAGCTTGAGAGCTGTAAAACGAAATGGGAGAGCAAAGAGAGACCATGAAAACAAGCAAGTAACAATATTTACCAGAAGGAAATGGACCCCACGTCAGATATGCATCTGGTGGGTGAGAAGAGCCCGAGAGCCACAATCGAATATCAACCCCACTCTGCCTCTTTAAACTTGTGGCCAAGGTGTGAGCTTTGAGCTTTGGGAGAGACAAAGAGAGAGCCTTTTGAGTTTGAGGAGCCAACAAAGTTGACAAACCCCAAGAACGTATTTATGATCTCTGTTGCTTATCAAATTTCCCATATCAATTTTCTATTATATACTTTGTTTGTTTGTTTGATTGTTTATATTATTATTCTTTGTCTTCTCGAATCTCCCCAACACAACAAACGCCAACCCAACCAAACATAACCCACTTTTATCTCCCTCTAATCCTTTTTCCTATTCCGAGTCCTTCCCCTCATTATTGACTTCGTGACTGACCTCAACCACAGTGTGAGTTTGATATCAGCGTTTCTTTGATAAATCCCAAATCACCAACACAAGTAGATTTTGGTGAATTGCTGCTTTAGTTTGTTGTATATGACTTTTTGATTAGATGTGAGATTAGCATGTGTGCTATCTCATATGTGTTAGTTGGGTAGAAATATGAGAGTAGTCGAAGGGGCTAATCATGCGAACACTTTGTGACTCTTGTGAAAGCGCAGCTGCAATCGTATTTTGCGCTGCGGACGAGGCTGCTCTTTGCCCTGCCTGTGATGAGAAGGTTTGCTTCTTTACCATCTGGCTCTTAATTTTCTATAGTAACCAATTGGCAGATTCATATGTTAAATCCCAAAATCTAGGGGAAAGGGAACTGCTTGTTTTTTTAGTACAAATGATAGTCTAAACTAGAGGGGAGGGGTTTTCTTACACACATAACCAAGATGTCATGGGTTCAAGAGACCCCTTTGGCTGTTTTTCGTATGTTTAGTTTACCGGGTGCAAGTTGAACCCCATATGCTGTTGGGTTGTTATGTATAGTCAGGTGGGTTTATATTTGTAGCTCTCCTTTACTTGCTGGTTGAATTGTTAGTTGCTTCCATGCTTAACTAACATGAGTTAAAGAAGTTTTTGGAGCAAACATATTGCGTTGGTTGTACTGCTAGAACCTTGTAATTTCTTGTTTCCTCTGTTGTTTACTTTCCTTTTGTCTTTCCCACATTGCATACATCCTTTCCAATAAAAAATTACTTTTGGAAATAGCTTAGTGACTGAGAATGGTTACATAATGTCCTGGAAGAGAAAGTTTTGTTTGTTTGTCCATATTCAGTGGAAATAGCTTACGGTTAATGCTCACATTACATAACAGGGTTTTTCTGAAAGAGCTTTTTCATAACTGGTCAAAAGTTTTGGAATTTAGTTTGTTTTCATTCTTCTGCATTCTCTGATTTACATCTTTTAGCAATGCTTTAAACTGTTGATGGGTTGGCAGGTCCACATGTGCAATAAGCTTGCTAGCCGACACGTACGGGTTGGTCTTGCAACTCCCAGTGAAGTTCCCCGGTGTGATATCTGTGAAAATGCACCTGGTATGCTGGCCTTTTTTTGGCTTGTATATTTTCCTGTTGATATGTCTTTATGTTAATTGAAAAGAAGAAAAGAAAAAGAATTCACACTTATTCTATCTTCTTGGAAACTACGTGTAGCTTTCTTTTATTGCGAGATAGATGGAAGTTCCCTTTGTTTGCAATGTGACATGGTTGTTCATGTTGGAGGCAAAAGAACACATGGAAGATATCTTGTACTTAGACAGAGAGTTGAGGTTTGTTAATCCTTCTTACCAAGAACTGGTTTTTTCTTCTTCTTCCAGCTGCTGCATTTGACTTAGTGTTCTACATGATTTGGTTGTTCTGTAGTTTCCAGGAGATAAACCTGGTAATGTTGATGACCCGGCTTCCCAACCCATTGATCCGGGTGAGACCAGAAGAGTACAACATCAGCCACCTAGAATGACAATAGGAGAGAACCAGCAAAATCACAGAGCGTCTCCTATTCGTATATCAGATGCCAATGCTGATGGGCATGTAAAGATGGATACTAAATTGATTGATTTGAACATGAAGCCTCATCGGATGCATGAACAAGCTTCAAATAAAGAGGTTAGAGTGTTTTCATTGTTCACTGGGTAATAAATTGCAAGAACTAGATCATGGTTGCTTGTATGGGCATGAAAAGAGTGGTTAATAATTTGAAAAGTTTATCATTTATGTGCAAGTGAACTTAAAAAACAAGCTTGCTTAATTCATAAACTAAGAAATTGAAGCTGGGAAGGCAGCTGAAATAGGGACTCCAAATTGATGTAAGAAGAAATTGAGGCATGCTTAATTCATAAGGTGAGAATTATCATAATTTTTTTATCTTCTTTTTGCTTTGAAGCTGAACTGAAAGATTGCAATTCTACAACCTTGGGCATAACTTAAACAGAATCATTCTCTCTGTAGGATATTCAATCAATGCATAACTTGTTGGCTTTTCATATTTCAAACTATGTATTGATTAATTGTGATGCCTACCAGTACATTTAAGCAACAATCATCTCTTGTTCTTAAACAGGACTAATGCAACATATCCGGAAGCATCGGCTTCTGCAGATTACTTCACCAGTTGCCTGAAGGGTGCTTCATCATATGCCCCGGTTATCTGCTGCTTCAAGTGGAGCTTTTAAGTAGGCATATGATCATTAAGGTTTGAAGAGTGTTCCCCATTATGTAGTTTAGTTGTGCAGGATATATAGTTGGAAAGCATCCATAACTTGCTTCAAAAGCAAAATATCATTATTTAGTGCAACTCATGTCATAGTACCTTTAGTTTTGTTTGTTTTGGAATTTTTGCAAGTACTCATACAAAAATGAGGACTCTCTTGTAATGGCACTAAAATTTGAGAATTTTATTTTTTCATAAAGTACATGCTGAATTCTTAGGAACTCCAAAACGGTTTGCTTAAAACTGCAAGCAGAGGAATATGAGACTAGAGCATACAACAACAATCTGTACAAAGGAATAATGGGTTTATGGAGGAACCTAAGGTTTAGCTTTGCACTTAATCAAAACTTAAAAATGATTGGGAGTGTTCTAATTGAACGTAACGTAATAATTCATTTGCTTCGAGCTAGGTGAAAGGTGTAGTCTTGTCTAAATCCATGATGTTTTCAATACTGAAAATCGGTACTTCTCCTCCGGAAGAGGTTCAAAGTTTGAATCTTCCATTGATAAAACTAAATGAAAGTGTTTTTAAATGGGAGAAGCATTTGGATTTTCAATGAAATTTTTGTTATGCTGGTGATCATCTCGTTCTTCATTTCCACACGAGACAACTGAATCAGAGGCAACGGCCCACAAAAGACTACCAAATTTTGGGCCGGTCCATCGGTTCTCCATAATAAACTGTAAAAACCAGCCCCTACCCAACCAAAAAACAACAAAAGACAAAAAAAATCTAATTTAATTAGAAACCCACAGGAAAGGCATTTTTTCTGTTGAGCTGAGACTTTGACTGCGGAACCACCGCGAATCAATCGGGACGACGATGAGGCGACTTCCGATGACGACGTCGTTCTCGTTCGCGCTCTTGTTAACGACGACGTTTTGGACGCTCTCATATGGCTTTGTGAGGCCTCCAACTCTGCTTCAGCTTCAGAGCTTGTCCGGAAGCGGCAATTACTTGACGAGGGAGGAGCTCTGGTTCGATCAAACCATAGACCACTTCTCTCCTTACGACCACCGCAGATTCCCCCAGCGCTACTATGAGTTTCTTGACTACTTCAGACCATCGGACGGTCCAATTTTTCTCAAAATTTGTGGAGAATCCGCGTGCCCCGGTATAGTTAATGATTACCTAAGTGTAAGTTTTGATTTCTGATTTCTTCAAAAAGGTTATAAATTGGAAAAAAATCGCAACTTCTTGTAAAATTGTTGAAGTGAAATCTCGTTGTGCAGGTTTTGGCGAAGAAGTTTGGGGCAGCTTTGGTTTCGCCTGAGCATCGATACTATGGAAAAAGTTCTCCTTTCAAATCACATACAACAGAGAACTTGAAGTATTTATCATCAAAGCAGGCGCTTTTCGATTTGGCTGTTTTCCGTCAGTTTTATCAGGCAAGCCCATCTTCCAATTTTTTGAATTTGATTGTCTTCAGTTAGAAAATGACCCAATTGAGCATGTAGTTTACTGGTTTTTTTCGTTTAATTATTTTTAGGAATCGTTAAATGTGAAGCTGAATAAAACCAAGGAAAATCCGTGGTTCATATTTGGTACCTCGTACTCCGGAGCTATGAGTGCATGGTTTCGACTCAAGTTTCCTCATTTAACATGTGGAAGTCTTGCAAGTTCTGCAGTTGTTCAAGCTGTTTATAACTTCCCTGAATTTGACCAGCAGGTGACTACAATGTTAATAGGTTTCTTTCCCCTTTAACATGAGAATGAGATTGTAGTTCTGTGGTCTCTGCCTCAACCCTGTTGCTCTTAACTTCAATCCTATCCAAATGCAGATTGGTGAGTCTGCCGGTCCGGAATGTAAAGCTGCACTACAAGAAACTACTCGTCTTATTGAAGGAAGGCTTGCAACCAACGGGAAAGCAGTAAAGGCGTTGTTTGGTGCAACCCAGGTTGGATTTTTCATCCCTTCCATTCATCATTTGTAAATCATGATATACTTTCAAAGCATGACTCTACTTTCACACCGGTAGGATTTTTTTTAATACTATCCACCTCGCATCTTGACCTTAAGTCTGTTTGCAGCTTGATATTGAAGGTGATTTCTTGTATTTTCTGGCGGATGCTGCTGTTGTAGCGGTAAATATTACTTCTTTCTTAGTTTTATCAATCAGTTTTCAGTTTCTCAAATTAGTGATTATTATTTGTTTGAACATTTTCAGTTTCAATATGGAAATCCAGATCAGTTATGCTTCCCTCTTGTTCAAGCAAAGAACAATGGAGAGGATTTGGTGGTATGTTCCTCTTCTTTCCATTCCGTTTGGTTCTTTAATTGAAGCAATCATGGTCCATTGTGTTCTATCTTGCAGTGTCCAAATGAATTACCTCTTTATGAAATATTTCTAATTTCAACTCTAGCGGTAGCATGAAATTTCTATAGCACATTTCCTCTGTTTAGTTTTTAATATGAATTCATTTTTTATGTTGTACATTTAAAAAAAAAAAATTCTAACTTCCCAATGAGAGTAAAAGAAAAAAAAGAAGAAGAAGATTGTTTTAACTTGGTAAGTTGTAAGCGGTGCTAATCATCTGGTTCTTGACCTTATGCTTCATGAAGAATGAAGATGCATATGTCATTTTTCTCTAAATGTCTAATGTTTCTAATGGAAATAAATAATCTCCTTGTAGGATGCGTATGCCAAATACGTTAAAGAGTACTACCTTGGAAGTTTTGGCGCTGACGTTGAAACATATAATCAGAAAAACTTGAAGAACACTTCTGTTAGTGAGGGCAGTTCTGATCGGTTGTGGTGGTTCCAAGTTTGTACTGAAGTTGCATATTTTCAGGTGGCACCTGCAAATGATAGCATCCGGTCTTCAAAAGTCGACACAAGGTATGTTTCTGAAAATGCTTTGATCCAAGCATTACATTTTTATCATTTCTACTTTGTTGCGCTTCTAGGCATCTCTGGTTGATAGTTTTTCATTGTTGCAGATACCATTTAGACCTTTGTAAGAATGTTTTTGGAGAGGATGTCTATCCTGATGTTGCTGCAACAAATATATACTATGGAGGCAAAAAAATTGCAGGTCAAACTTTTCCCAGTAATTATATATTACTATTTAGTAGCATCATTTCTATCTACTCTTTCATTTTAGCTCTTAACCTTTATCACCATTTATTCATTTTCCTGATTTTTCTAAATAAAGACACATCTGGGTATTTATCATTGGTTCACATGATCTTATGAAAAATGAATCTGCAGGTTCAAAAATAGTTTTTACAAATGGCTCACAGGATCCCTGGCGTCATGCATCCAAACAGACTTCATCTCCAGATAGTGAGTATCCTATTGCTTTGATGAGAAGTCTCATTATTGTTATCCTATGATCTGATTTGAAATTTGTTGAACAATGTTGCTTTGTATCATGCTTGATATTCTAGACTAAATTGTACCCTGTCTTTTGTACCAAGAAGGAATTTTCACCTAATGAGTTTACTCGTGATCCGTTACAGATCTAATCTTTGTACCACCAAATTTTGTTTGGATGGTTTTCATCTGCAGCAGTTTTAAACTTGTATTCTAAGGATATTGCACGTTTACTGTGCCTTTGAGACGTGTTGAACTGTTATGGAAAGTCACTTTAGAAGGGATAAGACATTTGATAGACTTTCACTTATTTTACACAATCTTGGATCTTTCTGTACTCTCGTTTCCTGAACTCATTTTTTGTAAAATAAACTTTCAGTGCCTTCCTACATCATCAATTGCCATAATTGTGGTCATGGAACTGATTTGAGAGGATGTCCTCAGTTTCCTTTAACTCTTGAAGGTATGTATTATTTGTCTGTCTTTATATTTGTTTTTATTCAGAATACAATTAGTTATGAAAATGCCAGCACAAGGTTTACTTATTATTAAGATGAAGGGTTGAAATTCCCCTTTGTGGAGCCAGTTTGGGATCATATTAAGTTTTCCAGATTGCTGTTGGAGCCAGTTTGGGATTATATATCCTTCGGTTAAATTTCTTCCATCTTTTTACTGATATAAAGCATGCATACCAGATTGCGACCTTTAGTTTTGTGGTTCTGGGTGCAGACGTGGTATGGGATGTCAATTCCCTTGTGTTTGTTGGGTGTTGCCCCTCCTCCCCAACCACCTTTCTCTGTATATTTGCAAGGAAAAGAACAAGGATGAAAGAAAAAAAATGCACAAAAATACAGAAATGGAAAAACTACCTAGTAGCTGAATATTTTTGCCAAGTTAAGAAATTACTCAATTCGAAGTTTATCCCGGGTTGAAGAAGAAAATTGTGGAGTGGCTGGGTTTTGTTATTAACATGCACTTTTTAATTTTAGCAGCCATTGGAAGTTTCCCATGTTTATAAAGGGCGTTAAATGCGCCTCAACGTTGGATACTTTGGGTCCAAACATGATTTTCACGGATGGATGTTCTTGTTGATAATTTTCCCATTCTGATGTTGTATTTATTAGAATCTATGACTTCTCCGTTTCAGGCAATTCCCAGAACTGCAGCAACCCTGATGCAGTCAACAAAGTAAGGCAGCAACTTGTAGAACACATTGACTTGTGGCTGTCTGAATTCGACGAATCTGGTAGGAGCTACATGTAATATACTTTAAGTGATGCGCGATGTGTTTGTATAACTAATCTTAAATCTCACCTCTACCTTCTCAACAGATGTTTAATTATTAATCTAGCGAGGATAATCGCAGTATGTACCCAGATCGTATGTATAGGTATAAAGTCTTTTTCTTTTGCTACTTCCATGTTATTGCAACATCAATGAAAAACTTACGAGACATTTGCCGTTGGGGCATATATATTATCTATGTTTTTCATTTTACATTTTTAACAACTCATTGTTTCATCAGTCTTCCTTTTCCTCTTCCTCTTCCAAATCCTCCCCCATCAATTTTGTTTACATTGTGGTCGTCCTTTTTTGCCTCTTTGCTTCTTGATTTTCAATCTTATTAGCCTCTTCCTCTGTTTCATCGTTCTCAACCTTATTACATTTGAGGAAATTAGCGAGTCTGTCAAGAGCAACATCAACATCATCACTTTTCATGAGCTCCTCGGCAACCTCTGCTGGGGTGACCTTTGCGCTCTCTATCAACCCTTCATTCTCTCCCCAAAGCCGATGAGGGTGATCGTGGCCACGGAAGCCAAGGTAGTTAGAGGCCAAGATCCTGAACCCACTTGTGGTGCAATAGGAGATGTGAATGTGGACGTCCATTCGACCAGGACGCAGCAAAGCTGGGTCAAGTCTATCCTTGTGGTTTGTGGTGAACACAATGATTCTCTCATCACCACAGCTTGACCACAAGCCATCTATAAAATTCAGTAGGCCTGAGAGAGTCAACTGCAATTAGGTCCGCTTTAGAAACTCATTATATTATACACACAAAATGTAAAATATAAAATAAATAGAGCACTGAGCACTGACCCTGTTGTTAGATTGTTGTTGATACACAAACTGCTGCTGCTCATCGAACTGCCGGTCGTGCATTTCCAGACTGCAATCAATGTCCTCAATCACCAAAATCGAACGGTTGGTAGTGGACAGCAATATCCTCCTCAGATCATAGTTGCTGTGAATACTGGTGAGCTCCAAATCATACACATCAAACTTTAGATAATTAGCCATGGCCGCAATCAAGCTCGATTTTACAGTGCCAGGAGGGCCATATAACAAGTAGCCTCTTTTCCAAGCCTTGCCCATTTTCTTATAAAACTCCCTCCTCTTCACAAACCTGTCCATGTCCTCTACAATGGTTCTCTTAAGCTCCGGCTCCATGGCCATCGTCTCAAATGTAGCTGGGTGCTCCAGATTTACAGAACCCCAAATGCTCGAACCCATGCCGTTCTCATCATCACCCAAGCATGGATCTCGGGTGTAAAGTTTCACGACTTTTTCTTTCTGTTTGATTGCATTGGCCTGAGCAAACACATGAGGCAAGTAAAACTCAACCACTTTGTCTTTGTGTTTCTTGTGGAATGTTAGCTCAAAGCAACGCTTTTCGCTAGACTGGTTGTTGTTGTTGTTGTTGTTGTGACGGCGGAGGCTGTGGTTTTGGGATTCGGACCGTTGATTGGAGGAGCAGATGTAACGCCATGTTAGTTTAACGTTGTCAAATGTGTCGTTGATTTGTTGGCCTTGGTCAATGGAAAGGCTGATGGTCTTCTTTCGAGGGGTTTTGCTGACCTGAAGAGGTTCGGTCAACGGACTGATCTTGGTGCGGAGGTAGAGCTCGGCAGCGTCATAGACTTGGTTGTGTGTCATGCCGGAGTGCTCGTAGATAATGAGAGTGAGGTGGGAGGAGAGGGGTAAAAAGGTAGCTGAGGCTTGAGTAGATGTAGGAGTGGAGCTGGCGGGGGATGAGCTGGTCCGCCATGGAACGGACCAGCATCATGGAGGCTGCAAAGGAGGCGTAGGCTGAGAAGAGAGTGGATGCTGTTGTGGGTGCATCTTTGAGGCTAAACATTGTGGTCAACTCTTTTGACTTCAATTGGTTGAGCTGGAGTGGTGGGGAGAAAGAGAAAGCAAGCTGGGGGGGGGGGGGGGGGGGGGGGGGGGGGGGGGGGGGGGGGGGGGGGGATAATGAGTTTGGAAGAGTGGCAAACTTGGGCAGCAAGGAAAAATATGGTGCAAGCTGTTCAAGTTTCAAAGAGTTTTCTCTGTGCTTTAGAAGGTTCCTATTCATTTGTGAAGTCAAAAGTCAACACCCCATATGGTTTGCACAAAAGAATATGTGGGGATAATGGGGATAAATGCAAGCTATGAATGAAGATGATATAAGCTTAGGGTCCCATGGTCTATTAGGTTAAGGACCAAACTGATGCTTGACCAAAAAATTAAGGATAACCGTTCGTGATAAAAACCCTTTATATTAATCTCAATCTCGTAAACAACTTGATTTACATGGTTAATTGGAGGATTTAGCAGCTAATCTAAGCCTAGTAAACGTAGCCCTTGACAAACATGCCTTGCTTTGATTCCTCAGACTCCCCTTCACCTGTGTATTTTCCAAGCTGAGCAAGAGAGTTGGCCTTTGCCCTGACTAGCAGAGCTTCTTGAGCCTCCTTCACATTCTCAGGTCTTCCTCCCCACTTCTTAAGGCAAGTGTTTTGGAGGGCTCTTGCATATGAGAACGATACGTGCCATGGGTTGGGAGCTTGGTTCATTGCATTCAGGTTCAATGTAGCCTCTACCTCTGACTGCCCACCAGACAAAAACTGCACAATCAAAGCATGAGTTCCACAAAATTAGAAGCAACCAAAATAGATTTCAAAGTACAAAGTTTTAGCCTTTAAGCTTCCATTTAATTATCTTTTCAATATCAACTTCAAGGTACTATTTTAAGACAGAGTTATGGGGTGCTTGCCATGATTCCCGGGACGGCAGGGGGGATTCGTTGGCGGAGGAGCCTGAGGGTGTAGTCAGCAACTTGTTCTGGTGTGGCTCTGTCCTTGGCCTCTGCACCAGGAGTGACCATGCTTGGCTTGAGAAGAATGCCTTCAAACAAGACATCGTTCAAACAAGACCTCTGCCCACACTTTCTTAGCCACTTCAAAGGTCCTGTCAATCCCATGATCTCCATCAAGCAAGATCTCTGGCTCAACAATTGGTATCAAACCATTGTCCTGTAAGGTCACATAGCAAAAATGTCCACCATTATAAAATTAAAAAAAAAAAAGAAGCCAAAATAGACTGAAAAAAGAAACATACCAGAAAATTAGCTATTGGTTTCTGTATCATTTTATTGTTACCTGAGAGATGGCAGCATAACGAGCCAAACCCCAGGCTGCTTCCTTCACAGCCAGTTCAGATGGGCCATTTGGAATGCTAATAACGGTTCGCCTATTCGATAAACAAGTAATTAAAAACATAAATTTACTATACAAGTGAAACTCAAAGACAATTGCCAAAATGACCACAGAACAAGAAGAACAAATTGTTACTTCAAATGGTTTCAGAAAGAAGAAAAAAATTACTTCAAACTTGTGTAAATATACTCTTACCATTTTGCAAAACGAGCACCCTGTTGGTAATAAGCAGCAGAGCGAGAGGCAAGGCCATCAAGACCTTGGCACCATGACTCGTTGTTTGATCCGGCCAAAGGAACCAGACCCTGCAGTGCTCATCATCAAGCTTTCGATTGTTACACAATCAGAAAACATAACATGCCAGATATCTGGTACGAGAACGTTGTTCGGCTTACCTTGTCGACCTTAATGCCGGGGACAATGTTCTGCTCAACAAGCACATCAACAATTTTCCTGCCATCAGTTGTGGATTGGTAGAGTGTCTCCTCAAAGAGGATGGCACCTGAGATGTACTGCCCAAGCCCGGGAACTGTAACGAGCAGCGTCCTCTATGCCTGGCGATTAGCCTCAGTGTTTTCCAGTCCAATGGAGGCAAGTCTTTTCCCACAAGTAGCATTTGATTCATCCATGGCCAGAATTCCACGCCCCGGAGACGCAACAGTTTTCTACAAACCACCCAAACAAAATTCATACACTGAAAATTTGCTAAAAACAACAAAGCCATTTCGAACTGAAAATACGTACTGCGGTTTTGACAAGCTCATCAGCATATGAGCTGGTAGCTCTCACGGTAAGAGCAGAAGAGGCAACTGGGTTGCATCTGACCACAGAGGCTGAAGGTTGGGGAAGAGCTTGGCCCTTCAGCCATTCTGGCTTGCCTAAAACTGGGGCTGACTTGAGAAGAGAAGCAGAGGCCATTGTCTTGTAAAAGTATCTGACATAAAGACTTTGTTGTTCTCTGTTATTCTCTCCCTGTCACAAGCTCTCTGTTTTTTGCCTTCTCTTTCGCACAAGGATTTGGTGTAAATTTACTGTATTTATAGTTGCATGGCTTTGCTCTGAGATATGTGGTTTGAGGCTGTGATGCATTTGCCAATGAGTGATTGCCTGGTGGGGGAGACAGGTTGCCTACTTGGCATGCCATGGCTTGGTTGTACAAATTCATGGCTTTTTTTTTTTGTCAGGAATTCATGGCTGGGTTTACGCAACTTTGTGAAACCAGAAATAATGAAATTGATTATAAGCCAAAGATTTTTTTTTCTTCTATTTTCTTCTTTGCCTTTAAGCCTTAACACAATACAGAAGAATAAAGAAAAGAAAAATATTAATTCCAATTTACCAAATTTTCTACTGTATTTTCCTTTATTACATATGAAATAAGTTTCAACAAGTTCTAATTATCTACATAGTTCCACAGTTGCGATTTACTTTTGGCCAGAATCCTTATAATATGTTTTTTTTCCCCTTTGAACCAGTATTTTCGATGAAATTAAAAAAATGATTTTAGGAGCAATAGTGCCTGAAGTTGTGATCAATTCGCATTTTGGTCCTTGAAACTCTTATGTGCTTCTTTTGAAACTCATGGGTTCATAGTCAAAAGACCTTGCAATTGTAGGCCTCTAGATTTACAACATAATAAGTTGGGGAAAAAAACACATCACAACTCACCCAAAAGGACATGGGAAGATCTTTAGGGACAGGGTCCATGACCTGTCCTCAATCATCTCCCCATCAAGATTTGGAAGAACTAGGAAGACTTGAAACCAAACCAATAAAAACCACTCAGCTTGCTGGGACACTTGCAGCTCAAGTGAATTGGAGGGTACGCAAGTTCTATCATGTCCACCAATGTCCCACATACACAACTTGTCAGCCTATGTTTGCAGACAGATTTGATTCCCTCATTACAAGAGGGTACACAAAATGCATACTTGAGGCTCCATTTATATAGAAACAAAGATAATTGATTGATTATAATAATTCACAAAAAGGACACAAAAGGTCAATTGCTTAAACCGATCTCTTTCATCTAATTTTACACCCTTTCTCCAAACGATGGAAAACAAATATCTTCTAAAACTAGGAGCCTCGTCATCACAATTTGCCAGAATTATCAGCACTATCACTATAAAGGAGACACATGAGCTAAATCTCCGAGAAAATTTTTGGTTTCCAAATCCAACAAAATTGAGGTTTGCCTTAAGAACAGAAATTACTTCAGATAAGTAGACGAGACCCAGAGTAGGACGTAGGTTATCAACGAAGTTGTCACCTCAAAACTTCTTGGTCCTTTAAGTATGGGTGGAATCACAGACACCATCAAGAAGGTTCCCACAAGCCATGAGAAAACAAATGCTCCAGCACTGCACCAAAGCAAACATTTAATAGAAACCTTTCACTGTTGCCACATTTCCTAGTTCGAACGTCAGAGGACTCAAAATACGCAATTAAATTTGGAGTGAAAGAAGAGAATATGTCATCATTTTGGAATATTTAGCATGATTTGGTTAGTTTCAATAAGGTTATTCAAGAATACTGATGATACTAAAGTATTACAAATTCTGAGTGATGGGTCCTTACAAGAACTAGTGTGTTTTCAGAATCTTTTGTCAATACAGAAAAATTCAATCATCCTGTATGGAAAATCAATAGAAAATTATACAAATATACATAAATTATTTACATACCTGTAGAGCACAGCTCGTAATTTGCTCTTCAGCCTGTCATATACAAAGTAGATGGTAGCCAACAAGGAAATGGCTACCTGAAGGGTTGGACCCTCTTCGGTTGGAAATAGAACAGTGAGAGCTCCAAGCACAACAAATGCAATGGACGTTTTTATAATGAACTTTGTGGATGGAGTTCGAAACCTATTTCTCACCGTCTGCACAATACGAGACTGATTGACTTCCCTGACCTTTTTTTTAAAGTCAATTTTTGGGTTCTTTCTGTCATAAAACTGCTGCATGATTATTTTGTCATGTGCTGATTCAATTGCGTCCACACTTGGTTTGTGACCTGCATACTGTCGGATAAGGAAGTTCCTTGCACCTTGGATCTCATCTTCAGAAGCCTCCCTGCTTATTCCAAGTCGTTTGTATGGGTCCCTCACATTAATCCTAGGAAAGATAGCTTTACTTGCAAAGGCAGTTAAGAACAAAAAAAGTTCAGAGAGCTAAAGATGCTACTTCATAAATTATAAGTATCTAACAGAAATGAATCAGGTCGACATTAATATATCAGTTCAATGAAATATTTCTAAACTAACCAAGTTACTGATGTCAAGCCTCCTAGAAATACATAAAAAATGCTTTGGTTTGACTCGATTAGCAAATTTAGACACATCAAAGGCCGTAAGGTGACATCTATGTCATGCTTATAAATTCCCGTTTTCCACTCTATTGTGTGCAAGAAAGGCCGTAAGGTGAAAGTTGAAGGACATGACACATGACTACATGAGCATCCAGACTTATATAAGATAGATATACAAAAGTATGGACACAGAGAAAAAATTAAAGAAAAACACAACAGCCGCCAAAACAATAAGGTGAAACTTACCAGTTGGTTCATTTGGAATATCACCGTAGGATGCCTTACCAGTTGGTTCCTTTGGAATATCACCATAGGATGCATCCATGGCAAACTTGAGCAGATGTGTTTTTCGTGCATTCAATCTTTGTGTAAAACCAGTCCAATAACTTCTGTTTGATTGCAAAAGGAAACATAAATAAACCACATTGCAACCACTGTACTGAATTCGATAACCGATACCGCAAGAAGAGCTATACCTTTCCCCACGAAGTAGCTCATTCTTTCCTGCAGGCTTCCAACTATGAGGGAAATTTGAAACTCGCCCACATAGTGAACCGGAACTGCGTACTGGAATTTGGAAACAGCATCTGGAGGGACTACCAGTCAGTCCAGATACAGCAGTCATCTTTCTGATACTCACTGAAACCAAACCAAATAAACACAATCAATAAAACGGCACACAGAAATTGCAAGTCTTCTTCTCTTTATAAGCAATTCAATCATTTTGTATGACATTTATAATAACATTCCAGCAGTATAAACCCAACAGGAAAATGCATTTGAATCATCATAGGCTGCCCAAATCCCTATTTTCTGTACTTGCAATGATTCAACTACGGAAACTCTTAGCTGGGGTTGAATTATTTTACAACTTTGAAGAAACTGTGAATTCTGGGTTTTGAGCAGTTTCCAGAGTTACCTCATGCATTTTTTTAAATCAATTGGAATTCATAGCAGAAAAAAGAGGGACAGATATTGAGAAGAAAAATAGCATACCTGATGGGCTGATGGTGGAAGGTAAAAGGGATTGAAGAAGACTGTCTTGCGGTGGGCTGTGTAGCAGCGTCTTCTACAACGGATAGGAAACTCACATAGAGAAGAGAAGGCTACACGCTAAAACCCTCCTTCGTTGCCGAAAAACAAAGATGGTACTGAGACGGACTAATCGTGCTTGGCTTGTTGAACCACAACAGATATAAACAAAGAGCACGAAAAGAAATCACAAATCCGTTGTAGTCTAGTTGGTCAGGATATTCGGCTCTCACCCGAAAGACCCGGGTTCAAGTCCCGGCAACGGAATTTTACTTTTTTCCAATGTATTTTTTCGTTTTTTTTTACCATTCCAATTGACAAAATAATTGTGCATGGAAATTTGCGGAAAATGGTTCATACGTTTTAGTCTTTAGGGAAGGGAAAGTTCCAGAAGAAAGGCAATTAAACTCGTTACTAATACACGACACACAACCGGTTTAGCAAATTATTTTTTTTCTCCGATTAGATTCAATTTATTCAAACAATCGCAATTTTATCAGATTGATTTCATGAGAGCATTACGTAACTGGAAATAGCTGCAAACCCTTAAAAGAGTTTATTTATATAAAAATATATATATTTAAAAAGAAAAAGCGTTGGGTCCAGATTAAAATAGCAACTCAAATTGGTACTTGGCACGTGTAAATGAATCCCTATTTTTATGTTGATCATATGTGCATTGATATTGTCATGCCCCAACGATTGGCAGGCAGAGCCGGTTACAAGAAATCTGGCACTATGGACAGGCTTTGTAGGTTGCAAGAAAGCAACTGGCGATCGATTGTGAACTTCATCATACGTACAATATGGATTGAGCATACAAGAAGTTATAAACTTCCATTTTCAATCATAACAGAAGATAGTATTTACATGTTTTTACAGTACGATTTATTCTGTACAAGTCGATCTACATAACTGTACAATTGTCATCGCTCCCTGGCATTCTCACATTTGCTAACAGTATGAGCCGCTTTCACCGACAGTAAAAGTCCCACCTGTGTGCCCATGAAATGCCATCATCCAACTGGGCCAAACAAAAATCAAAACAATGAAGCAAAAGATACATTTATACCCCAATAAGAAATTAAAAATAAAAATATAACCAGCCTTGTTGATGATCATCTCATAGATGGAATATAACAATGCAGTCACTTTCCAATGTGTAAGGGAACATGATATTACTAAGAATACCTGTAGAAGCAACAAGATCATGACTGGAAAAGAGTCACAGTTGCAATGTAACCATTCTTCATCACCTGTTGATTATCAACATGATATTTATTACCAATATTTATTACCAATCATAAGCACAACCATAATAGGCGCACTAACTGGAAAAAACCGACTTGTGCAAATAATTGTTGCAATACGAAGAACTTCACGTTGGCATATAAATTACAACTTTGTTTTCCGTATTACTGGGAAAGGGGAATTGATTGAATCAAACATTCATCAACTCACCTCAAATGCCGCATTTTGGTAACCATATACAAAAGTAGATCCAAATGGATTGCTTGTAGAACCTTGTGTCTGGATGGCAGCTCGGCCACAGTCCCCAAGGATTTCCTACAAAGAGCATTCTTTTGTTACTAACGTAACCCCAATCATGATCAACATACACTGAAAGGAGTACACTGATGAAAGATGTCATCAAGGGTACAATTAGGTTACCATGAGAAAGCTGTTACTATTGGAAAACAATGCAACAACTATAACAGTCTGAAAAGGACTAGCCAATAGAACGTTTACCTTCACTTGCTCCCACTTTGTGCTTGGTGTAATCCTGTGTTGGTAGTTATTTACCTCCTGAAAAGAACCCCCTACTGCGAGGATGAAAAAATAAAACATGCTATCAGTTTCAGTCCATAGATCCGACTGGAAACTTCAGAATCAGAAAAGGACTTACAGTCAGAAGCAAAGATGACAAAATTGCACTTTATGTATGAGTTGAAATCTGCATGACCAGGATAGTTTGTATGCAAAACAAACTTCTTGATTTTATGAGTCTGGAGACAAACAAAAGAGAAAAGTGATCTGAAAATGTCTGAGCACAAACATTATCATGCAAAACATCATCAATGTACATTTACAAGCAGAAGAATAAAGGGAGATTTACTATTATACCCAATACAGGAGCCCAAATTATTTTTAAAAAACCCTATATGAAATGGACTTTAGAAATGCACCCAAAGCCCATTTACAACATAACAAAAAGGCTTTTAACTTCTTTTAAATTATAAAACTGTCATTGATTTCTTAAAACAAACCCAACCCCAAAACCTCATAAAAAAAGCCCAAAACACTCACTCAATGGGGGTATCAAAGTAATTTAATAATCAAAATTAAATTCAATAGGGCCAGCTTTCATTTTTTTGGTTTGTTTGTAGAAATTAAATGGTGTAGGGTTTATTTATAGTTTTAGTGCTAAGAATGGGTATATGACTAAATATCTCAAGAATAAGTTATACCTGCCCATCAAATAAAATGTCCAAACCACGGGTAAAGTAATTGTAGAAGTAATCGCCACACAGCGTTGTCCGTGGACGAGGGTCCAATCCAGAATGAATAACCATTTGGTCTACCTACACAGCAAACAGAATCGCGGTCACCAATATGACAAATGCATTTAGAAAACATGCTTAGACGTAACACCAGCAATACCTGCTTTTGATGTATCCCACAAGGACGACCCAATTCAGTCCAAACATCCTGTAAAAAACAGGAAACTGTTATGCAGGACAAACAACAGAACAATGGCAGAATTTCCCAGCCAAAAAGAAAGACAAACTATAGCTTAACAGCAGGAGATCACGAACTTGCCTGAGGCGATGCACCAAAAGGAATATTCTGACCACCAACAGTAAAGTATAATTCTTCCCCTAGCTGGATAAGATAAAATTTGAATTGAATAACATCCAAGAACTACAGTCACCAGTTTCAAACAAGTACACTGAAATAATTTGCAAGCGTAACATTGGGGGCCAATAGTAAACCACTCATGAAGGAAGCCACAAAGCAAAAGCCTTTGATCCTCCAAATCATGGTTTATAATCTCCATGATGCCCATCCTTCATGCTGGACAGTTGATGCAATAGGGGAAAAAAAACCAGATTTTAATGGAAATCATGCAGAGAAGATGGAGAAAGAAGTCAAACCTTAACATGCACCTCTTCCATATAGAGGCTGCCAATTGGTAATGGAGGAGCCGAAGCCTTATCCATCAAGGAACCCACACCAACTTTTTTATCAGTAGAACTGTCATAAATGGAGACACGGCACGTAACTGGTGTGGTTCCATCTGGAAACTCTAATGGTAATTCCGCTTTCATAATCAAAAGCAATAAAAATCAAGTTGTTAGAACTAGCAAAATCTGTAAAGCAAGAAACTATTGAGTAAAAAATGTCAGTACTATACCTTCTCCATCATGGCAGCAATCTGTATACTGGTTAGGAATTGGAAAAGCAAAGGAAAGTCCCTGACACAGCCATGGTTGGTAGAAACATAAAACAGATTCCATCTTGTAAGATGAGTGAATAAGGAGATAAAATAAAGAAATATGAAGATTAAGTAATTACATACTGGGTACAATAGAGTGTAGACACCTCTATCCTTGTCATAAATTCCAGGAAAGGTTGGCCCAAACAGTGCATATACAGCTACAAAGTAGCTAGAGTGGATGGTCCCCTGAAAGCAGAAATGAAGTTCAATAATATACCTGATAACATATAATAGAAAGCCTGAAGTAAAGTAACCCACCCAATCAAGGAAGTGGCATAGCGCATTTGAAGTCGTTTTATATCAAAAATCTCAACAAGACGCAGCCTCTGCAATAGAATTTTGAGTTAGCCAACTCTATCATAACATAAGACAGTTGAAGATATTATAATCCACAAAAACAATCCAACAATACTGCCAATCCGCATACAAATTTGCCTGGCATATTAAAAGAGACAGCCCAGATACAACAATTAAAAGCATAACAATATCAAACTCTAAAGAGAAAATTAGCTGACTATCGTGTAGTTCTTCTGAATTTCAAAAAGTCTTCAAGATTCTCTGTTTTCGATTCTTAAATAAATCACTTGATGAAAGCAGATTATCTTTCCATTCATTTCAAAACGTCCATGATCCCTCTAATGCTTCATGGACTAACCATGACATTCCACTCTTACATCCTACAAGATATTTTTTCTTATGTACCACTTAAGGTAATTTTCAACGCACGGTATTAGCTACAACAACTAATATAACATAATTCGGTAGAGAACTCATGGATTTGCTATCAAAATTTCCAATTTTAAATTGATGATACACGAGCAGATACCATAAGACTCGGCCACATGGCCATTAGTTAATAGCTGCATCATCCTAGTGGTCATATACTTATTCAACATCAGAGTAAACAAAGCATTACTAATGTGTGAAAATGAATTTTCGATGAGCAAAAAAACAAAGCACATGCAGGGAAGATAACAAATTAAATGTAAGTAAGGAAGAACACCTGTGACCAAGGATCAAACCGAAGATGAAAACCATGATCTGGAAAGCTGATAACAATATCCAACTTAAGAGGCTCCTGCACGGGATAAGAATAGTAATAAGTGGTTGTTACAACTTATGGTATTTCAACACATACACCTTATGAATCATGGTGCTATTTGTCTGTTACGTAAATTTTGTGCATAAAGGTATCGTAGATGAATAAAGCGAATCACAGCAGACGTAAAAGACAACAAAAAAAACATTCTAAAAATGTGTGTCTACATTCAATTACACACAAAATAATGATATACAACTCGGTACAATGATCCAAACCTCATCATAATACTTCACATGGACGACGTCATAAATGTTAGGCTGCTGCTCTATCTGAGCAAATGCTTCGCATATTGGCATTCCTGAAACAAACATTTTGAAGTAATTCCAAAAAATAAGCTGAGCTTGTAACACCAATGAATTTATATAAAAACTAAAACATACCAACGCATATGTTCGTACCAAATCTTTATAACATTAACTATTTGATTCTTAAAAACGCAATAAAAGACATACTAAGTCCAGCAGAGTAACGTTAAAACCAAGGAAAGCATCTCAAATTCAACCTAAACTAAACCTAGCCAGATGTTAAATGCCTGATAAAACTCTCAAATATGGTAAAATGTAAATTGTCACATAAATGAAATAATCGCATGAACTAAGCCAATCTAATTTACAAAACCGATCAGTTCCTTAACAGTTACAAGTTTCTAACCTTTTTTCTCGGGATGAAATGAAATTGCACTAATTTGATTCGGATTTCAATTCCACAAAAAATACTCTTAACCATAGGCTAAAAACTGAACAATTGTGAACATATTCGATGATTAAGAAGGCAAATACATAAATTAATAGCAAATCACCGATAGAGAAGGGTCCGATTCCAAGGCCGGGGCGGAGATCTAGCACGATGGCGCCCATGGCCGTGCCCTCGCAGCGTCGTCGAGGTCTCTGCAACATACTGGTCCTAGCAAATGGGTTTTGGTTGGGGGTGATGGTGACGAAGAAGATTGGTTCCGTTACTTTCGCGAAAGGAACGCACAGGTGTTGAATGCTTAAAAACGCCAAACCAAACGCTTCGCGGTGAATGCTTTGCCTCGCTGCACACGAAACATCAACTCTGTTGAGTGATGGGCACCCAACAAAATTGGGCCCGGTATCCGTGTTTGGTTTTTCCTTTTTTCTATTTTTGTATATGCGCAATATTTGCTGTGTTTTTACTTTTTCAGTTTTGTTAATTTGCCCCTCTTTCAACCGCCCGCAACATTAAAAAGAGAAACATCAATAAACAAAAAGTTAGTTCATAAGTTTTTCTTTTAGGTAAAAACTAGTTATTAAAAATACAATGTAAAATAAGTTGCATTTTGATTTGTTCATTTTTAGGTTTGGAAACGTTTTCAATGGGAGTTGTCTACTCAATCAATTGGGATAGGACATACAAAAGCATACATGATAGAGTTTTTAAATTTTTATACACACATAAAAATCCATCGATCGATATGACGGACACAACTTTAAAATTGAAGTGAGATACTATTCTAATTTATGAGGAGGGGCACTCGAACTTAAGCACGAGAAGGTGAGCTCACTGTCATAACCAACTAGTCTAACACATGTATGCAACTATAATGGAATTTCAGATAACATTGCATAAACGAAAAAAGGTAAAACCTATCCATTAGTCTTTGTGGTCTCAAGTTTTGACTCATAGTTAGAGATATGTAGTTTGGATTTGTGTTTCATTTATAAGTTATGAGGTTTTTGCCCACTTCTGGAGTTCGAGGTCCTTAGCAGGGACGAACCCAATATTTCAAAATGGTGTGGACTAAATTTACCTTACGTACAAACCTATAGAAAATTCGACATATAAATTACCTTATGTACAAACCTACATAAAATAATTGGTGTAGTGGAGGTTTGTGAATGGGATTTTATTTATGTGTGGTTAGTTTTAATTTTTTATTGTTATTAACTTATTGGTCAGACATGTAGGGGTTAATGGAATTTTATTGGCTGGAATAGGGATGTCAAGTGGGTTGGGCGATATTATTTTAGCCTACAAAAAATAAAATCACCTAGGTCACAGTCCAGATTAGCCTGGGTGTAGGACTATGCCTAGTCCCTAGACCCGAGTTCAAGTGTTGAAATATGGAGTCTACATTTTGGGTCCATGTTCATATTATTACGTGGTGGAAACTAAAGTTTACAAGAGCGTGATGTAATTGTGTTTACCAAAAATACCAACTAACAAATAAATTTACATTTCTGCCAAAAATAAAAAAATAAAAAAATAAAAAATTTACATAAGAAATGTGCATAAAATATTAGTGGTTAAAAGTTTCTGGTGGAGAATTTGGCATTAAATTTATGGCATGTTTACTAATCCGTAATTTGATTAGGAGGAATTGAATTGAGGATAATTAGATTCCGGATTCCTATTGAAATTGTTTACTAAACCATATAGATTAAGGAGAGTTATATTCCGAATTCCTATTAAAGTTGTTTACTAAATCATATTGAATTGGGGTAGGAGTAGTGCTAATTACTAAATATCCTCATTGTTGGATTAATTTGGAATTTTTAAAATTATGTGAGAAGATAATAGGTTAGTTCTTAAAGAATTAGAATATCACCTCTCACCTAAGAATTGAATTCCTTCAAAATTAGGAATGAATTCATAATTTTGTGTGGGCCCCACTTATTTTTTAATTCATTGATATGAAGTAAATACAGGAATCCTCCCGATGAGAATTCGAATTCATGATTAGTAAGCCATTATAGTCTGTTTGGATGAGGAAATTTAAAAGTATAAAGGATTTCATAAATGACAGAAATTAATGTTTTATAATTTGTAAAGTTTCTTGTTTGGGTGATGGATTTAAAATACGAAATTTAACCTTTATTTGTAAAATTATATATTTTTTTAAACTCAATCTCTTTGGAATTTTAGAAATGACAACTTTTAAATAGAATTTAAAGTTGGGATTTATGATCTCTAAATTCCATGTTTTTTCCCACACGAAATTTCTAAATGTCTATATTTTTTTATCCAAACACGGGAATTGTTCATATCAATTTATAAATTCTGACTTTTGCCAAAATCCCAACTTTTTATAAAACAAGCAGCCAATGTACATGAAATATGTGTCCAGCATTTTAGTGGTTGGCAGTTCACGGTCACTTGGTTCGACTCCATTGAAATTTGAAATGCATAATCTATTTGTTTGTTGACCCAGAAAAAAAAACAAAAACCTAACTGTTTGACCTTTTTAACAAATCAGCTCCTCAAGATCAAGAACAAATGAATCGTATTCATGTTACTATCAGATGAATAAATTTGCTTTATTATAACAGTGCTATCAAATGTCATGTTAAACATAATATCTATAAAAAAATCATTATTAATTATAAACGCGCCTTCTTATTCATTCTTATTTTCACTGGTATTTTTTTATTATTATTAATGAGTGTTGGAGTCTTTGAACTTAAAATGGCTTTCAAATTAGAAAGAACAAAAAATAAAAGGAGTACAAGTGATTGGGAGAAGGGAGTTTACACAAATATTTGTTGGGTGCGGAGGGTTTTTAACCTCTACCCAAATAGGTGGAGGTGGAAGAGTTCAACCAACTGAGCTATATCTCAATTAAAAAGATGGTCTTTAAAAAGCAAGAGGAAGGGCATTGTTGCTCAACAACCTCTGAACACCCCGAAGAGCGTTCTTCCACCTTCAAATCACCGACAAATTCCGTAGGCAATTAAAAAATAGCTCCAAATTCAAACTCGGAAAGAGTTGACCTACAAAGCCTAGCAAGCATTACCCTTTAAAAGAAACCTATCGTCACTTTTTTTAGGAAATTAATCTACATCATTAAGAAATATAAAATATGAAAATTTCCATTATTTAAGAAAGTTCTTTTCGAATTTATTATAATTGTATTGATGCTTATTTAGTTGCAACCATATATCCACGAGAAAAATTGCATCAACTAATTTCATTAAATATCTAAACTTTGATTGATAAATTTATAGCAAAGCTAACGGTCCAAAAATAATTAAGCAAATGGTCCTAAGTCCTAAGCATATTTCTATTATCATCATCATCATATACCAAACGTGTTAAATTTGTTCAGTAAAGTGCTCGACTGAAGAAGTGCTATTTAAGACATGGATTTTATTTCAATGTAGATTGTTAGTGCTAAGTTGTTGTATTGAATATTTTGTAGCATTTGGAAGAGGCGCAAATACGATAACGAGAACCTTTGTTTACATCCAATATATATGAAAAAAATTCCGACGAATAAAATGCTAATGATTTTTTCCCAAGACATTCTACGTGGAAAATTCACTACTCAGCATCTCACATACTTTCTTTTATAGGCCATCACCAGTTACGCATATCCTAAAAATATACTATGATCAAAATATATTGCGGTAGTGATTTTCATTGGCATCTTGTAGTTTTTGTTGTTCTTGGAGTTTTTTGTGACAAAGAAGTAGCAGTGCACTGGTGATTTCGTTGGCGGATTAGAGACATACGAGGTGGTTGAGCAGCTTTTACTCACTTGTTGTGTGATTACTGTTCCTTGAGTTGTAATAATTGCATTAACTCTTTGTGAGTGTTTGTTTGTAGTCTAGCGTTTTCGTGTCAAAATTTCTTTGGCCCTTAGGTGGCTATTAGTGGAAATATACTTTGTGGGCTTGATATTTCCGGTGTGTTTCTATATATATGGATTAACCTTACGTGGTTATTATATTTCCATCTTTGTATTAACCTTTATGGGTATTTATACTGTCTCTTATGATTTTATGAATATAATTATCATTTTTCTCTCAAAAACATATTATTATCAAATGAACTTTCAACTATAATGAAGAATTCAACTTTCATATTTATGTAAAAAAATGGACACTCTTAATTCAGTGATACTCATACTTTTATTTTAAATTAGAATCTCCTTAATAATAAAATTTAAAGCATATAATTATACACACAATATGTTTCTGCCATCTATTAAAGAAAATGTTAAAGAACAGAGGGCTAATAAAAATAGAGGCAAGGAATGTGTTACTATTTTTGTTACATTCCACACCCACCCCACATCCACAGTTTTATCAAAATAGCGTTAATAAGTAAAAGATTATCAATAAATTGCTAATCATCTAACATATACTCCATTTATTAAATACAATTATAAAGTAACTAAAAGTTTTTTTAAAAAGAAAATAAGGGGGAAAAAAATCCACTAATAAAGGTAGGGGCATTAAGTTATTCGAATTAGCACAAGTGGTGATGGTGGTGGTAAGTTTTGGCCGCTACCCCCTTGGGGTCGGTGACCTCCTTCCCTCACAGACTTTCCCTCCCCTTTCCTCTTCTCTCGTATCCTTTCCTTCCTTTGCCTCCACCCCTCTACTCCTTTGGGCTTTTATTAGTTTTGGTTGGATTTTGGTGTTTTGTTGTCTTGGAATGACGTGGTGGCAGATTGACATTTATTTTGTTGTTTTGTTTTTCAGTTTTGTGAGTTGTAATAAGTGTATCAATTTTTTTGAGTTGGTTGCGTGTTTTTAGTTTTACTAGTAAGAGTGGAAGGTACACATTGAGAGTGTGTTGTTGCCCGTGGATTCTTCCATATTTGGATGAACTATTTATGGTTATTGCGCTTATGTATTTGTATTAACTTTGGTTACTTATATTTGTATTGGCCCTCATGATTGACGATCTTTAGATATGAATTATGAATACAATCTATCAATGCAATTTTTTTCTATTGTAATTACATGAATATATCTCGAATAAAACAAACTTTAAAATCCATGTATCTTAATCTTATAAATCTCCTAAACATACTAAAAGATATCAAAATCAATTTCATAGCATGCTCAAGTACACTGAACTAGCTCATGATCAATTTCAATGAGATATCAAAACAAAAGGGCAAAACATACCAAGTTAGAGTTACGGTATGGACTGTCACACATTGAATTCTTTGTATACATGTTTAAAGCGTTGAACAAAAATTCAAGGTGGGCCCCACATGTGATCACCTTTCTTGGGTGCCCACTCACCACGTGGTGCTCGAGATGAGAGAATCAAAACTCACAAGAGCCGCGTTTGACGCCTTCTGTATGAGAAAGAGAAAAAGGTACCCAGCTTGCCTTTGCCCACCCAAACAACGACCCCTTTCCCCCATTTTCTCAATTTCCCTTCTCTCTCTCTCTCTCTCTCTCTCTCTTCCACTCCACCCAATACCAAGTGTTCACCTTTCCACAGCTCCGTGTGTTGCCGGTCCTCCTCACTTTTTCTTCTTCCTCCAAGCTCCATATCCATATCATAAATAAACCCAAGGTTTTTTATTTTATTTTTAAAATTATAAAATTTAAGTCTGTTGCGCAACGCAACCCGAAACCCGACCCAATGCTTTGTCATATCCTCGCCCGGTCCTCCATTTCCATGTGCGCTGCTTCTGTAGCCACTTCTCATAATTGCAGCTCCAACACCTAGGGTTTTCAATCTCTCTCCTCCAATCCCCTTTACCATTCAATTTTATTACTTCAATTGTAGCTCATGGAGCTCCAGAAAGCTCAGCTCTCCTCCACCTTCTACAGACCTAGTCTAGAAGAAGATGGAGGAGGAGGAGGAGGAGAACAGCCTCAGGCCTTTGACCGGTCGCTGCCGGCCGCGGAGGACCGCATGAGTGTTGATCAATGCGAAGCGATCGGGGACCTGGATGATTCGCGGCTCGTCGGAGCTCCCCAGACGGTCGCCGGCTGCGGCATGGTTGCTGGTAGGGTGGGGCAGATGATGGCGGACGTGGCGGTCAAAGTAGCGGCGGAGAAGAGCTTAGGGAAACGGAGGCGGGGTCGGCCGCCGAGTGGGCACGTCAGAGCGACGCCGGTGAGGAAGCAGAACGAAGAAGAGGACGTTTGCTTCATTTGCTTCGATGGTGGAAGCCTCGTGCTTTGTGACCGCAGGTCAGAGTCTGGTTTTTCCGCGGTCTTAGTCAATTGAGTCCAATTATGATTAGTCCTTGCTAGAAAAATCCCAACTTTTACTTAATTTAGCTGTTGTGGGTTATTTCATTTCCTTATTGGCAATCAAATGGATATTTCATTTTGCGAATGTGTTGTTGGTGCTCATTTGCATTGCTTAATTCAATGCTTCTTTGTGGATTGTTACTCGGTAGGGGCTGTCCTAAGGCATACCATCCATCGTGCATCAAGCGGGACGAATCTTTCTTTAAATCAAAGGCCAAATGGAATTGTGGTACGTTGCACTACATTAATAGCTTGTTCATTTTTCACCAATTTTTGTTTAGTTCTGTAGACACACTAGAAATGAGTCATGGGTTTTAATTTTAACTTTTAAATAGTATTCATGGCAGTTTTTGTGAACAGAAAGTTAAGCATCAGGTTGTGAAGGGGTCATTTTTTAGTTAGGGTTGGGCGTAAATTTTATTAACCTGTTATTTATTATCTTTTTAGCGTTAAGTTTTCATCCCTTGGTTGTTTAATTTGTTCACATTTTGGTGTTCTGGTTCTGATGCATTTCAGGTTGGCATATATGCAGCAGTTGTCAGAAGGCTTCACATTATTGGTGTTATACTTGTACTTATTCTCTGTGCAAAGGTTGTACTAAGGATGCTGATTATCAATGTGTACGAGGAAACAAAGGATTTTGTGGAACATGTATGAGAACTATAATGCTAATTGAAAATGTGCAAGGAAATAAGGAAGTGGTATGCTGAAACATGTTTTGGCCTATTTAATTATTTTATGTAGTTATTACTTCCAGTAGTGTAGTTTTTCCTATGAACCGAGGATTCTTAGTTTTTTGGTATTTGGAGAGGGTTTGGATTGATTTAAGAGCAGAAAACTCTTTCATATCAAGAATGCTTTAGGTTTCTGTTTTATTTCCTTCTTTATTTTTTATTTTGTGCCCCCAGTAGTGCATGCTTATTTGCTGCTGCTGATAGTAAAGTGGCGTTCCATCATTTTCTACCTTTTTGGAGTTTTTTAGGAGACAAATCACCTTGTTTCTTTTTTTATTTTAAATTTATTTCCGTCTGGGGGTGCAATTTTATCTTTTTCCTTTCTCATATAACTTTTGTGCAGGCCCAAGTAGATTTTGATGACAAAAGCAGCTGGGAGTATCTGTTCAAGGTTTACTGGAATCTTTTGAAAGGGAAACTATCATTAACTCTGGACGAGCTCATTAATGCTAAAAATCCATGGAAAGGAGCTGCTGTTGTGGTTTGTAAGAGGGATTCTTCAGGTGAACTATATAATGGGGATAAAACAACAGATTCAGGTTCTCTCAACTCTTTTGCAGACCTGGAAGCAACACATTCAAAAAGAAGTAATAAAAAGCCTAGAATTTCTAACAAGGATTTGACTGTTGAAAAATCACTTGGTGGTAGAGGGATGCCTTTCTCTGAAGGCACAGTTTGGGCATCAAAGGAGCTCCTGGCATTTGTTGCTTATATGAAAAATGGTGATATATCTGTGCTATCTCAATTTGATGTCCAGGCACTTTTGCTCGAGTACATAAAGAAAAACAATCTTCGTGATCCTCGCCGGAAATGCCAAATTGTTTGTGATTCAAGGCTCATAAATCTGTTTGGGAAAGAATGTGTGGGTCACTTTGAAATGTTAAAACTTCTTGAATCTCACTTCCTTATAAAGGAAAGTTCCAGGGCAGATAATATTAGCAGTGCTGCAGTTGTTACTAGTGTTTCCAGCCAAATGGAGTTTGATGGAATCTATGATAATCAAATGATGATGGGTAATGATAAGAGGCGTAAAACACGTAAAAGAGTAGATGAGAAAGGACCACAGACTAATCCAGCTGCATATGCAGCGATTGATGTTCACAACATCAATCTGATTTACTTGCGCCGTAACTGGATGGAGATTCTTATTGAAGACATTGATAAATTTCATGAGAAGGTGGTTGGTTCAGTTGTGCGAATAAGAATTTCTAGTGGTGATCAAAAGCAAGAGATTTATAGGCTTGTCCAAGTTATAGGTATTAATTAATACGACCAATGCTTCAAGTTATTTCTTATATTTCCACGGTAATCATGAAAAGTTATATTGTTGACATCTTTGTGTACAGGTACCAGCAAGGTTGCTGAACCTTATAAAATTGGCACAAGAACAACTGATGTCAAGCTTGAAATCTTGAACTTAGACAAGAAAGAGGTTATATCAATTGATGAGATCTCTAATCAGGAATTCACCCAGGTGAGTAAACTTATTGCCTACTCTCCTCCTCCCAGGGGTGCCTTGATATCACTTATTTGCACATACTAGAACTTTTAGTGATTTATTTAAAAGAATACTTTTGGAACTCAAGTTTAGGAAAGGCGTATAGAGATTGCAAGTAGTGTGATAGTTTAGATACCAATAATGAAAGTGCTTGGAGCGTAATTATTTATTTGAATCCAGCTTTCTTCAGTTATGTGAACTAGCATGAAAGGATGCTTGGGGAACATGTACACTTACAATTAATGATGGACTTGAAATCCATATGCATGCTATTTTCATGAACCCTCCTTTGTTCAGTTATGTGAGCTAGCATGAAATGGCTTGGGGAAGGTGTACACTTACCATTAATGACTGACTTGAAATCTATATGTACACTTAACATTAATAACTGACTTGAAATCTATATGCACCCTGTTTTCAATTATAACCAAACAAACATTGGTTAAGGCATGCTTGTGGGTTCATATTTAAGTTTTTCATTCATTCTCCGACAAAAAAAAAAGTTTTTATTTGGTCACAAGACGATGGGGATGCTGTTTGTTGCCCATGTTTTAGATGCTCTTTCTTTGTCATCGGTTTTTTTTTCTTTTCCAGTTGTGATATTGTACTTATGTGTACAGGATGAATGCAAACGATTACGTCAAAGTATAAGGTGTGGGCTCACCAAACGGTTGACTGTGGTAGGTTTGCTTGTTATGCTCTGTTTGCTTGTTATGCTTAAGATATTTGCAACTTGTTTTATGAAGGATTTTTGTGGGTGTGTCAGGGTGAGATTCAGGAGAAAGCAATGGCACTTCAAGCAGTAAGAGTAAATGATGTAAGTTCCGTTACTTTTAAATCTGAGGCAAAAAGAGGATACATGTTTGTTTTTATGGAAGGATTTTAGATAGATTTGGTTGTCTTTTATAGTTACTAGCCTCTCGACCCACGCTCACATGCGCACCAATATCCTTTCTTATTTTAACTTTATCCCTATATATAGAGAATTTTTGTTAGACACATACTCTTATTTCCTTTTTGTTTTTTAATTATTTGCATTTCAACAGACTATTGTTTTACGCATTTGCCCCTTTAAAATAAAGTAGTTGTGTTTTGAATTTTTTTCTTTAAATTGGGTTATTTGAAAATTTAACCACAAGGGCCTTTTGCTTCATATATATATAGATTACTCCAGTTTAAGTATATGTATTGGTTGTTATTGTTTCTCCTAAACTAGTCATCAAGTGCTATTTCTGATACTGGTTTTTGGTTGGCATGGTCTTGCTCTCCGATGTAGTTGCTGGAAGCAGAGGTATTACGGCTTAATCACCTTCGCGACCGAGCAAGTGAAAAAGGACACAGAAAGGAATATCCTTTTTTGTCGATTATTCCAATGCTTTTTTTTTTCCTCTAATGATATTGCTTGCACTTTGTTGGTTATTCTGATTGCACTCTCTGTTTACTTTAAGGGGGCGTTTGGTATCCTATTCAAATAGGGAACTCAAAAACTTTGATTTTTCTTAAAAAACAAGGAGTTCTTAAATCTATTTTTAAGATTCAAAAACTTGTTTGGTATGTAACTTGAATACTGTTTTCAAATCTTAAAAATTTGAGAACTTGTGGGTTGTTAGAAAAAAACTGAAAAAACAGATATTTTTTGTTTTTAATAATTGGGGTGTTTCTTTTGTTGTTCTTGAGATTGAGTTTTTAAAAATAGGGCTACCAAACAGGTTTTCTTTGTTTTGGACTCAAATTCTGTTTTTGAGTTTAAAAAATTGGATTCAAGTTGAATACCAAACAGACCCTAAATTACTTGTACCATGTTCTTAAATTGAGAGGTGGTTTCCATGAGTACCTGTGTACCCTATTCTTGATATTGCTTTGTGCGAGAGATATTTTGGTCCGAGTAATTTAAAGTATTCCTTGACCATAGTTTACGCTTAGGGAATGTGTGGAGAAATTACAGCTTCTGAACTCTCCAGAGGAACGTCAGCGCAGACTGCATGAAACTCAGGAAGTGCACCCTGATCCTAGTATGGATCCGAGTTATGAGTCAGAAGACAGTGCTGGAGCATTCGATAAGAAACAAGGTCCCCATTTAATAGACATGGAATTATATCTTGTCATTTTCTCCTTTGAAATGGAAGTCTTCTTTTGGAAATGTTAATTTGGGGTTAATTGCGGTGATGTGTATGCAGATGACAAAGTCAAACCAAGGAAAATTGTCTTCGGTAGAAAGGGAAGGGAACCTTTCCCTCAACCATGGGAACCCATTTCAAATAATATTGGAGGCAAGGCACAGAAAAATCGGGGTAGAGAAACATTTGGAATAAATGGATGCAGTACAATAAAGAACCAGGTCAATCCCACTGGTTTGACGGCTTTTGATTGGAATAATCAATCGGTGGTTGAATCTAATACATCTACTGAGCTTGCATCAGAAATTTCATCGCTGCCCTTATCTGCAGTGATGAAGACAGACCTATCTGTTGATAATTTTGAGACAGACAAGATATGGCACTACCAGGACCCAACTGGAAAAATTCAAGGACCATTTGCGATGATACAGCTGCGTAAATGGAGTACAACTGGGCACTTCCCTCCGGATCATAGAATATGGAGGATAAATGAGAAACCAGATGACTCCATCCTTTTGGCTGATGCAGTGAATGGACAGTATTATAAAGAACCATTATTGCCACATGACAGCCACTTGCTTTCTCAGGGATTTACAGTGGCCTTGGATGAAAGAAACAATGGCCAGGATGCTGGATCAAACAAGAGTATGAATGCAACTCAAATAGATGGTAAAAAGGGAGAAGAGAGCTGGAACTCGAAGCAGGATGGCCAAAGCTTGCATAATAATGGCAACGTTGAACCTGTGAGGTGTACTACACCTGTAGATGTTGTCAATTCCAATGAGGAACAAACCGGAAACCATTTGCAAGGCCAGGATCCATTGAAGGGTAATAGTTCTTCACCCAATAAAGCCCAAGAGAGTGTTTCACTACCTTCACCTGTAGTGCCTGTGAAACCATATGAAACACTAGAAGGGGAAAGTAGAGGAGCAGAAAATAACTCTGATCAGAACAATGGAAATTTGGATCCACCAAAGACAGCTCAGGGTCAAATTATGAATGGACAGTGTACTGAGAACCGATCTGATAGTGAGGGCCATTCAGGCCAATCTTCTGGACAAAACTGGAGACCTCCACCTGTAAGTAGTCCTTCAAATGGCTGTGATTCCAACTCTGATTTAATTCCTTTGTCTAAATCATGTGAGACGTCAGAACAAGATCAGAGGGAACTTAGTTTTCCAGATATTCCCAGTCCCACTCCAAAACCAAGCAATGGAGATTTACTAGGTCAGGCTGCTGAAAATAAGCAGTCTGTATCTTCAAATTTTCCTGTTCAGGATTCTGGACCTAGCTGGAGCACTGCTTCTAGTTTAGGGGGTGGTGGGGCACAACTTCCCGAAGTAGGTGGTGAATGGGGTGGGTATTCCCCAACTCCGGCCAAACCTACTTCTCTTGAGGAATGGGAATCCAGTCTTGTCTCTGCATCTTCTCTAAAACCAAGCGAGATGGCAGGTGATTGTGTTGCTACCGCGGTTTCAGTGAGTGGTCAGCTGACTCATTCTTCCCCATCCCATCCTACCTCAAATGCATCTGGTTGGCAGGACATTCTTACTGGATCCACTGAATTTTGCACTTTAGCTGGTGAATCAGTTTCAGATCTTCTGGCTGAAGTTGAAGCAATGGAGTCTCTCAGCGGCTTGGCTACCCCAACATCAATCATGAATTGTGGAGGTGAATTTACAGAGGGTTCAAAAAATGAGAGTATCAGTTCTGTGGAGGGATTTAGCCCCCCCGAACCTGGTAAAGGTGATGCCTTAAGCTCCAGTGGTGATTTAAGGGTACCTATGGTGACGGATGAACCACTCGGGGAATGCCAGGGAAATGCTGTTGATCTGCAAAAAGGATGTGGTGTGCATTCTTCCACAAGCACTGAAGCAGAGGGAGACAGAAAACCGAGTGATGTTTCAGTCAACCAATGGGAGGCAGGATCAGAGATCCAAACCACTGCACCACCCAAGGAAAATTGGGACATAGCTAGTACAGACAATCATTGGAAAGCCAGGTCAGAAAGCACAGAAACCAGTTGGGAAGCAGCCCAGGGAAATGCAAACATGGGCTGGGGAGGATCGGAGCAAGGAGGTGCAAATACGGGTTGGGGAGGTGGGCAGGGTATAGCGCAGGGAAACACAAGCATCCATCCAGGTACTCCAGCTGGGGCCATGTTGGAAAGCCAGTTGAGGTACAGCGGAGACAGATTCATCGGTCCAAGAGATCGGGGTTTTCAGAATAGGGATGTAGGTTTTGGTAGGGGTAGGTTCCAATGGAACAGGCAGACATATGGAAATGGAGGAGGTTCATTCAGGCCTTCTCCCAAAGGCCAGCGGGTATGTAAATATTATGAAAGCGGGTACTGCAAGAAGGGAGCATCATGTGGTTATTTGCACCCATGATTTTGGGTGCCAGAACAATTAGACACATTTAATTCTGTAATCATTACTCATAATTAGGAGGCTCTGTTGTTGCCAATGCTGTAATTTAACATGTAAAAGTAGCCATCAAGAGGCTTTAGTGCATAATAATATTTTTTGGGTTAGCTTAGAATTATTTAGAGTACCATGTTGGGTATTCATTCCATGTTTATGTAATATTTGATGAACAAGGTTGTCCACAATGGACGATTACTACTCATAATTCCTTGTGTTTCTTCTTGACTCAGTTTTAACATGCATTTTGATAGTTTGCTTGATCCATGTGTTTTGATATGAGTGTTTACTTTGTTTGGACCATTTAAATTCAAATTCAAGGACTCGTTTGGAATGCTCTTAGGAACCACTTATGTTCATGAGCATTTTTATAGAAGTGCTTTTATTAAAAGAATGCCTAAAAAATTTCTTGAAACTAGTGCTTAAGTGATTCCAGGTGCTTCTCTCCATAAAGTGCTTTTGTAAGTTGTAACCCTAAGTACTTATAAAAGTTCTTCTATCAAATGCTATCACAAATGTTTTTGGTTGTCCAAAAATGCTTTCTGACTTGTCAAAAGCACAGTCCCAAATAACTAATTAGCTATTCCTGTAGGAGTATTTTTCATTTTAATGTAACGTTGGAAGACGTCCCAATATTAGTCCAATTATGAATAAATGCTGTCTAATTTAAGGATAGAAAATAGTAATTTGATTTAATTTTTTTTATTTATGAGAAATTAGCAATTTGAAGTGAGACGTGTATCGAAAACAACTCTTCACGTTGCCGCGTGGGCAAGCAAATAAAAACGACGTCGGGGCTGGCTGTCTCTGGTGCGGAGGAGCCAGGAGGAGAAGAAGTTGAATATTTATCTCAATTTAAAACTCGAGCGTAGAGGGCTTCAGGTTGAATCAACAACAACATTGCCAATTCTCGCGCGATTGAATTTTGGTCACTATTAGTTTAACCACAAAATAACTACTACAATTAACACAAAAATCACCAAACTCCTATGAATTCAGTTATCTGAGACTCATGGCAACGACGTCGTTCTTGACGCCGACGCAGAGGTACGCCGCCGGAGCTCTGTTCGCGTTCGCTCTTCACCAGGCTCAGATCCACCAGACCCATCCCCTGCGATTGTCCTCTGGAGAAGAAGAATCAACCGAGGAGCGGACCAGTAGTGTCAGCAGCGCCGACTCCGTCTCCGACGGCCCGGAGCTTTGGGTCCATGAAAACTCGGGTCTCCTCCCACCCGTTTTCAGGTCCATTTCACTCCTCAATTTCATTTTTTATATATATTTATTTTATCTGATCTTTCAACCCTGAATATTAGTGGAGCGGTGAAGTGAATTTATATAATAAGGGATTTGAATTGTTGGACTTTCGCTACCCTAAGGCATTTTCAATAATGCTCATGTCGTGAATAGGTTTCTGGAGATTGATTCTGCAGCCTGGTCCGGACTTCAGGAAAGCGCTGCTACTTCTCCCGCTAGCCATCATGTTGGAGCAGTACGTCTGTTTGCTCCAATATTTAGATCACCATTTTATTTTGGGTTAATTTATATATATATATATATATATATATATATTTAAAATTATCTTTGCTATGTTTCTTTTGACTTTATCATAGTTCTTGAGGTTGCTTGCTGAAGAAGGTGGTGATGGTGATAAGGATAGTTCACAAAGTGCAGATCAAGAACTTGCTTTGTCCAGAACTGTTGATGCTATGGCACTTAGCATGGAAAAGACTTCAGAGTCTTCCCAATCTAAGAAGGAAAAGCATCGTGAATATGAAAATGAATGCCGTGAGAAATTCTCCACAGCTGAGGAGAAAAAAAACATTGAAGCAGCGGATGAGCATTTGGAAAGTCCGCAGGAGAAAAGGTCCACAGCTGAGGTGAAACAAAAAATTGGAGAGGATGTGCAGTTGGAAAATCTGATGCAGAAATGCTCCACAGCTGATGTGACACAAAACAGTGAAGGAGTGGGTGCACTTTTGGAAAATCAGCAAGACACTGGTGGTAATCTGGTTAGTGCCAAAGACGCACTTGCGGCTAGCAGTGAGATTCGTGAGAAAACTATTGGAGAGTTGACAATGCTCAGTTATCAGAGGAAAGTTACGGTTCTCTACGAGCTTCTTTCAGCTTGTCTGGCTGATAAACGGGAAGACAACAAGAAATGTACCCGTCGAAGAAAGGGTTATGATGCTCGGCATCGTGTAGCTCTGCGATTGCTTGCAACTTGGCTTGATGTCAAGTGGATGAAAATGGTATCTATGTTCGTCCTCTGAGTTCCCTCCTTATTTATTCTACATGTGCTTAGGTTAGTTAGGTGTCTTATGATATGATCAGTATGAAAAGATACTTCCTCATTTTCTTTTTTAATGACCAAGATCAGGATAGTATCGTATTTCGATACAAATTGACGGCAACTACATTCCCTTCTTCATTATGGTCACGTTTTATGCTTTTTGTCCTAAACTTTGCTTTGTAGGAGGTCATTGAGACAATGGTTGCTTGCTCTGCAATGGCATTAGTGAAAAAGGAAGAAGAAAAAGAAGAAACCCAGTCACCAAAAAGCAAATGGGCTAAATGGAAGCGTGGTGGTATCATTGGCGCAGCTGCAATAACCGGAGGAACATTGCTGACAATAACTGGTGGTATGAGACCCTAATAAAATCTTTACTCATTGTAGAAGAATTTAAAATCCTTCTACAAGTTCTTCAGCTTCAACGGTTTTGGTCTTCCAATTTGTGTAGTTTTACTTTTCTACAGGATTAGCAGCCCCAGCAATTGCCGCAGGACTTGGTGCTCTAGCTCCAACATTGGGCACTCTCATCCCAATAATTGGAGCAAGCGGGTTTGCTGCAGCTGCAAGTGCTGCCGGAACTGTTGCTGGTTCTGTTGTTGTTGCTGCATCATTTGGAGGTGAATAGGTTTTTATTGTTGTTGAATCATCTGATTTGCTCTTTTTTGTTTCTGTGGGATATATCTTTTGTATCTACAAACAGTTTCATATTTCATATTCATATTGTATTTGTGCGAACTAATTTATGGTCTACTGCTCACTCTCCATTCAATCAAGCTGCTGGAGCTGGACTCACAGGGAGCAAAATGGCTAGAAGAACTGGAAGTGTCGATGAATTTGAGTTCAGCGCTATAGGAGAAAATCATAACCAGGGCGTGAGTTTTTTGTAGCTCCAAATTCTATTTTAATATTTTTTTTCTTATTATTCTACCATAGGGAGCACTTTTACTATAGTCCAGTGGGCTATCGTTTTGTTTTCACTCTCTCTCTCTCTCTCTCTCTTTACACACACATATCTATAATTAGTGGTTCAAACTGTAATTTTTCTCACCTTATCTCTCAGAGGCTAGCAGTTGAGATCTTGGTTTCAGGATTTGTTTTTGATAAGGAAGATTTTGTAAGGCCTTGGGAGGGACAGGATGACAATTTGGAAAGGTACAGATATTTTTACTACTCTTCAACATGTTTGAAGAACCTGAAAATTAAACTGAACTGATACAGGCCTTTGAAATCCATAAATGGAACTTACAGATGAATTATCTATTATGACCTTAACAAATCTATAGGTATGCGCTGGTCTGGGAGTCAAAGAATCTAATTGCAGTTAGCACTGCAATTCAGGATTGGCTTACTTCAAGTAATTGGTTTGGATTATTGTTATTTACTGGTAATATGACGATATAAATTGCACATGATATTGAGATTACCTCTGGTTGATGTAGGAATTGCAATGGGGTTGATGAAGCAAGGTGCAATGATGACTGTGTTAGGCACTCTTGTTACTGCACTGGCTTGGCCTGCAACATTACTTGCAGCTGCTGATTTTATAGATAGCAAATGGGCAATTGCTGTGGACAGGTCCTTTTTCTCCCTTATCAAGAAGAGTGGGAAAATCTTTCTTTTAAGTTCATTCTTCTTTGTGATTTCCAGAAGCTTTGGTCAGGAATGCTGGAGTTACTCTAGAGTAGCAATGTTTGTTGTGGGTTTCAATCTAGACTTGTTCAACCTTTTTTTTATATTCCAGGTCAGACAAAGCAGGAAGGCTGCTTGCTGAGGTGTTATTAAAAGGAATTCATGGGAACAGGTCAACATCATAACTTGAAATTATTGTTATCTCATTACTTCAGAAATTCCTAAAAAACCAATCTGAATAATTTTTGTTTGCTCGGGATTTCGTGGACTTCAGGCCTGTAACACTGGTGGGTTTCTCACTTGGAGCACGAGTAATTTTCAAGTGTCTGCAGTGTTTGGCGGAAACTGAAAAGAATGGTAAGTGATAATAATTGCTCATCTATCTCTATCCTGGATTAATAATTATTTCTTTATATTGGCAGCTGAGCTTGTAGAAAGAGTTGTTCTTCTTGGAGCACCCATCTCGATCGCAGATGAGAAATGGGAAGCTGCTAGAAAGGTGATTGCAATTTGTTTTTTTTTTTTTTTTTTTTTTTTTTTTTTTTCTCTCCCCAAGTTTGCAGAGTTTTATTTATAACTTTGGTGCAAGTGTTTACTACCTCCTCATATTTGCAGATGGTGGCTGGAAGATTTGTCAATGCCTACTCCACAAATGATTGGATGCTTGGGATTGCTTTCCGTGCCAGGTATGCAGAATGGGAGATTGTTTTGGTAGAGCCTTTGGTCATACCTGCAAATTTTAGGAATTAGTGGTTGATTTACTGTAGGAAACATGTTAGGCAGCTCTCTCTCTCTCTCTCTCTCTCTCTCTCTCTCCCCCCCCTCTTAATGCCCAAGCACACCAGAGAACACATCTCAACCTTGAACTAGCTTACAACTTGATGGCTATACACTTGTTTATGAATACAATTACGTGCCCATTTCAAGGATTTGATAGAAGCAAATGGGATGGGGTGGGGGTCAGTTTATTGCAGCTCTACTATGCTGATAGATTGTTATTTGTCGATTTCCATAATAGTAACTGATGATCACTTTTGAACAGTCTACTTTCTCGAGGATTAGCCGGAATTCAACCAATAAAAGTTGAAGGGATTGAGAATGTAAGTTTTCTCTTCATCTCTCTCTGTCTCTCTCTGCCATCTCAGTTGCTCTTGGGAGCGCATTACTTCAACTAAAATTCTGTGTTCCCTGAATAGAGCTTACTGCTTGAGATAGTTGCTGAAAAGCATTACATAACTTAGAGTTCAAAGGGGGATATCGATTGAAACCCTTAACAACATCAGTATGCTTTCTTTGGTATTTGCAGGTTGATGTAACAGATGTGATTGATGCCCACTCTTCCTATCTTTGGGGCGCACAGCAGATCCTGGATCTGCTTGAACTGGAGGCCTATTATCCTGTTTTCCAGAGCACTATTTGCATACGATGAAACTGTAACTTCACTACCACCACTCTTCCTTTTCCTGGTTTGCGTGGGGGAAGAAGAAGAACACCAGGTGGATCCAGCTTCTTGTTTCCGTACTTGGTCACTCCATCCATGTCTGTCTTCCACATCTTACTGTAAGAGAACAAAAATGCGTCTCAAATGCTTGAATAAAATGTGTACATATTTTGAGATATCTTGCTCTTTTGGTAATGTTCTTGTGTTGTGCCCTTTGCCTGTATACTATTTGGCAAGGCTGGATATCTTCATTTAACCTCATTTGAAACAAAAAGTTTCTGGGCAGACAAGGGTTAGGCAGTTAGACAGGGCAGTTTGCACCCAAGTTCGAATTCATCTCCCGTATATTAGATTAATTTAGAGTAGTTAACGTTATACTATTGCTTGTATTTTTTTTTTTTAAAGTTTCTAAATATCTTCATTTAAAAACCAAATACATATAACTCACAGTTAAAATAAGATTTCACCATATCAGATGTTAGTAAAACTATGGATTGTAAGATGATTCATGCAATGCCTTACTGAAAATGAGAAGATAATTGTTTTCTGATAACAAAAAAAAAAAAAAAAAAAAAAAAAAAAAAAAAAAAAAAAAAAAAATGGGATAGATTTTTTTTTATAAATCAATATACTAAAATATTTTAGGTAAGAAAACGGTAAAAAAGAATTGTTAAGTAATAAAAATTAAAAAAAAAGTCCGGTAAATTCGTTAAAAACCTACTTGTTACACTTTATTTTATTATTCCATGCGAGTAAAATCACTTGTGGGGCCACACTCTTTTTTATATAAAAAAAAAGGAGTTTCACTAAAACACCCAAAATGGGAGCTGAAATTATAAAAAAACCCAACACCCAAAACACTTTATAAACACACCCAAAACTCATCATTACACACACTCAAAACCCATTTATAAACACACCCAAAAAATATACAATTGTTGACTTTGGGGTTGATTTTGGGTGTGTTTCTATGTTTAAATAGTGTTTGGGTTTATTTATAAATTCGTTATACCGCCTCACGGCTATACTATTTAAATACATTATCTTTAAAGGGTATAGCTGCGCGGCTATACTATTTAATAATAATAAAAAGTAATAAAAAAGGACCCTCCTGGGTGCATTATTTTGTACCTTATAAGTATTAATTTACAACATATCCAAAGTAGATATTAATCTTCCACTATATGGTATTTTAATATAATTTTTATAGCATATGTTATTCTTATTCAATAATATGTGAGAAGTGTTTGTATAATACGTGAATTTTGTGTGTCTAACTGAAAATTTTGTAAAATATAAGTGTAAAAAATATTAGAAATACTTACATACATATATAATATGACTATTGTATGTTTTTTTTTAAAACGTGAGACGTGTATAGAACACAAATGTATTGTTGAAAAATACATACGTACATTTATATATGTATACATACATAAAAGACTAGCCACTCGTCTATACTATTTATTAAATATAATTTAAAAAAAATCAGTAACTCCGCCTAGCTAAACTATTTTGATAATAAAATTAGAAAAAAATCTAGTATAGCCGCTCGGCCATTTACTAAAAAAACAGAGCAGTCGCACTATCTGAAATAGTATAGCCGCACGGCTATACTGTTTTAAAAAAGGTATAGCCGGTCGGCTATACTATTTTTTAATATAAAAAAAGAGGACCCCAAGCCATTAGGGTCACGTGTCAACACATGTTTTTTTATATTATAAAAACAGAGTATAGCCGTGCGGCTGTACTATTATTATTATTTTTAATGAAGACCCTCTATCGATTAAACGCCACGTGTCAAAAATACGTATAGCCGCCCGGCTATACTAAAAATGGAGTACAAAAAACCGAGAGAGCCAAACCCGCGCGACAGGATGAGAGGAGAGTCAGAGTCACAGTGAGGACGACGACGACGCCGACGCCATGGCTACGAATAAGAGTACAGAGAAAGAGAAAGGCCCAGAAAATGTCTCGAAGAAAGGGAGATCATGCAAAGGAACACTTTATTATTCAACCGCTCTCAAATCCAATGCTTACAATCCTATCTGCCTCGGCGTTCCTCGCACCCTCCCTCAAGGTCTCTCTTCTGTAAATCTTCCCTTCTCTTTTTCCTTCCTTGTTATTTTTCGTTGGGTTCTCGAGAAAAACAAACAATTAAACATTAGTTCCATAACCAACCGACCTATTTTTTTTAATTAATTCGCGAGACATCTGATCGATTGCGGAACTTTCGGTTCTCTTAGAGAATTCTAACTTTTAGGGTTTCGGTGTCTGAATTCTATTTCTTTTTAAATTTAAATTTTGTAAACCAGGTTTTAGCTTTTCACCTTATATTTGAGATTCATTCATGAAAGTTTAGGTTAGGAAAAAGTCATCATCTTTGAGCTGCAGACAGCTTATTTTTTTGCTTTTCCTATAAAGGATTCATCTTTCTTTGCTAGTTTTGTAAATTTGATTTTTGAACCACATTTATTTTTTCTGGATTAGATTGTTTGCTTTGTGCTCTCCTTTTTGCCAGTTGAAACTTTTTATATATATATATGAAAATCGTATTGGCCTACCTACTAATATGTAGATTTGGTGACCAGTGCCTGACTCAGTAGTTGTAGCAACTGAGATGGAGGCTTCTAAAGAGGATCGACATCTTGCTGATTTTCGTTATGCTTGTGCTGGTTACTCTATGTATTTGGATCGAATTAAAGAAGACCCTTCTCAAAAGAACACATCAGAATTGCCCGTTTGTGTTGGCTTGGAGGTAATCTCTCACCCTCTCTTTCTCTCTTTCGCTCAGAAACTCACACACAATGAAACATTTTATTATGTGCTTATATGAGATGTGGGGGTTCATGTGCTTGCTTATTGACTTTAATTGGTTGCTTAAATGCATGGAGATTTGCAATTGTTTTTCTTTGTCTTTTAATTTAATTTTGATGTTAATTGGATTAGTTATTACTTTACCTTGCTTTACAGTTTACATAATGAGATCATGTTATACGAGATCTCAATATATTGTATGATAATGATAATCAGCTATGAGCTATTCACGGAGGTCGTGACTTTTGAGTTTTGGTGCAAATTGGAGCAGGATCGTTCTTAGATAGCTGGAAGTAATATGGTCTGTGTAGCAAGTTGACTTTATGGGCACATGAAATTTCTAATTAAACAGCGCCTTTTGCGTGCATTAGTTTTTGTTTAGCAAGCAATCTGACTAAATGAGTTGCTGCAGCTTTTGGTTGGCAAAAGAATCCATAAAACATCACCAGCTGCCGCTCCTGTTTCTACCCATGTTCATCACAAAGAGGGTAAGGAAAAAAAATTTGTTTGCCAGTCTCTTTTGTTTTTTTACTTGTCATTCTCTTTCCAGGTGTTTCTTACAATAGTTTGCCTTCAATATAGTCAAGGTCTTCCTGCAAAATTGACATGTAGATAGTGAGGTCGTGCGAGTATAATTCCACTGAACTTAGCTTAATTCTGCTAGTTACTGATATACATTCCAGAGATGGTCGCTTTGGTTAAGAATGTATTAACTATATAGTATTTGGTTTCTATAAATGTTACATTATCATCTGTTGTCAGCTATTTATCCCTTTTCTTTACCTTCTAGATGCTCGTGAAGTCCCTCAGACTCAGAGGCACCAGCCACCTACTCAATCTGCCGGAACTGTTTTCTTGAACAAGTAAGCTATGATTAGACTATTCAAGTGAAGAATATGAAATCCTGGTTTTACGAAACTTTAAGCCTTATTTCGTAAGGGTTATCTTATCTGGTGTTTGTTAACGAATGTGTAGGTTTTCAAGAAATGCAGATCTTGTTGCTTCAGGGGTGACTAAGAACGTGTATAAAGTAGGTAACTACATTAAAGGAAGTCTCTCAGATTTTTTGTTCCCATACAGAGGGAGATCAAAGTAAGATGGCTTGTTGAAGATATTGGACGAACGAATAAATATACTCAAGAAGCGGGATTCGGCTTCAAGTCGACCTGGTTTCTGTGCTTGTTTATAACACCTCACTCCACATTTTGAGCAATATAATGTTAGGGCAACTGCTAGTCGTAGATGGTGATTATTATTTGTTCTCTAACTGTTTATTTAGTTGTGGAGGAATGTGACAAGAGGTTCTGTTTTTTTTGGGGTCTGAACAAGAGGTTCTGTTATGTTTGATACAATGAAATCCAAATTGTGCTATTTGCTAATCTTACCGTACGATTGCCATAACACTAGCATACAACCGTGATATACACTACTTTTAACGTTATGATTCTCATATACAACCTTTGTATAACCTTTCTCACAGAACTGGTCGCATAACTATCATGTAAGGGAATTGAATTTAGCTGAGGTGTTGTTGCAAGGAAGGAATGGAGTTTATGTCTCTTCTCTACGCATGCATCCGTCTGTGAGCGAATGTACGTGTGCAAATACGCACGCATAGTCGACATTAATATCTGTGCGTCGTGCACACGCACGTGTGAGCAACATTAATGTACTTGCACAAGCCCATCTTGATATTCATTTTTCTCTTGCCATATTCGAATTCCAATCCATATTTTTTTCTTTGTTCTTTTATTTTTGGGTAATGGGGGTTTCTCTGACTAAACCAGTAAGACTGGATCATGTATTGGTCTCGTGAGCTGGTTCATTAGAAAAGCCAAAGTTTAATTAGCAGCACCCCCATGACCAGTGGACCTGCCTGCCTCCAGCTAAAAAGGTCGGAATTATCGTAGAGACGACAATATAACTACTTAATTAAGAAACGTGCTTCAGATAATTAGCAGTTTGTGTTCAATTATTAGTAGTCCGCAAAAATAAAAATAGAAAAAGGTGGTGCGCGCTGTTTGGGGCAAAGGCTAATAAAATAGCAGCAAGCTAGCAAGCAACCGCGAAATCAAACCCAAACTCTTTCTTTGCTGATCCTCCTCTCTTTCTTCTCTTCCCGAATCCCGAGAAGGACACAAGGACAAACAAGCCTATCCAGGTTCATCCTCTCCTTTTGGATTTCTCAGCTAACAATAAAGCCTTCTCTCTCTTCTTCTCCTAACGCTCTTAGCCCCGTTTCGTAGCTTTTCCGATACAGGTACTGGATCGGATTCAGTTTTCGTTTCATTATTGTATTCTCGCGTTTCCTTGCGTTTTCTCAGTAACCAAACGGTTCGCATTTCTCTTCCCTGTGTGAAGATTCTCTCATTGTTCTTCGTTCGATTTGTTTGACCGATCAAAGGAAGGTTTCAGAATCGATTGATATTTTTGGGGCTTGAGATTTTCAATTAGCATTCGGAAATCAGGTTCTGCGGAAATCGAATTCGAATGGCCGCTGCTGCGGCTTGTAAACGGGTCGGGCAATTAGGAACCAATTCGGGGTTCGGATTGTCCGGTTTCGGAGGTCCTGCTGCTTCGAAAGTTGCGGTGTCTCCGTCTTTGGAGTACAGGCATTTGGATTGCAGACTGACTTCTCAGCTCGTCAAATCTAATGGAAAGCGATTGTTTCTCGTCGACACATTAGCCTTGGTGAGCAATCACATCGCTTTCTCTTACATTCAATTTTCCAAATTTATCTATACGATGTTATTTGAATGTCTGAAAATGATAAGTTTGTGAAAATCTCAAATGGCAAAAGAAATTACAGTGACATTGGAGTAGGCTGTAATTGAGCCTAATTATATGCTGCATTTCGTCTAGGTTAGGAGGTTAGAGGGCCAAGGCGTGCCCTCAAAGCATGCCGAGGCGATAACAGCTGCCATTACTGAAGTTTTGAACGATAGCTTGGAAAATGTGTCTAATTCATTTGTTTCCAAAGGAGAGATGCAGAAAGTAAGTCATTCTCATTTTTACTGTTACTTTTCTATGCTTGATTATCTCTGTGTATATTGGCGTTCATCAATTCATGAGGAGACAATTTAATTATCCGATTGGGTTTTTTGTGTGCATAATATCAGACCGAGATGATCCAAGAATCCAATTTGTCCAAATTCAAATCCGAAATTCAAAGCGCACAGGTACTTACTGGTTCCTTATGTTAATCACTACGTCGGGCTGGTGGTTTTCTGTTTGATTGTTGTTGAATTTTCTTTCTGGTAATGTCTTTGTTTGGTTCTTTTGGTAAACCAAGAACTTATGTCGCCTGTTTAACTTCTGTTGATTATGAGCAGCCAGGGATTGTGGATTATATTCTTCTAGTTCCCATCCCAAATCTTATTATTGTCTTGCATGCAAACATTGTGATTGAGTGACATGGAATACCCTTTGTAATTGGTCACAACTGTTTCTTTTTTCAGTTGTGTTTATCGTGCATAAATAACCACCAAATCATTGATGGTATGCCAATCCAGATTAGATTTCAACTGAAACTGTTGTCTCTAAGCTCCCGTTAACACCAATAGACATGATTTTAGTGCTTCTCCTATCTAATTTTGAGTTAGACTAAATAGTGATCTTCATGAAATATTGCCCCAGTCCCCACCGTTTTTGTATGTGTGTGAGCATTATGATAAATGATTGTGCCCCAATCATGGCTGATCATAATATTTGAACATTAAAATGTTTATTAGTGTTCATGTACCTAAAGTATGATGCCTCCATTTTCTGGGTGGCTGTTGCATGGTGTGGCGTGTTTCTGATTGTGGATCTTACCAGCAACTATAAGCCAACATTTAGGATTTCAGTCATACGTTTGGTTACTTTGGTTGGCATTTCAGTCTCCTAAGAAACATTTGATTTTCAGGGCATGAATTTACTAAACTATTCTATGAAGACCATAATTCTCATTTCATAGTCAGCATATGGGAGATGGAATGAAATTAAGGAACCCATTTGGAACCAATTTTAGATGAAATTGAATTTTTTTTTCAATATAATTGATCACAACAAGGATGGTTATTGAGTTATCTTTTCCAAGTGACCTTGATTTGTTGGCTAATTTGTTTAAAAATTCCCGGAAGACTCTAAAGAGGCTGAACTCTTATGTTATCTAAAGAATCCTTGCAATGAAAAATAAGGATTTATTAGTTCCTGGGGTAGCTTCTATTGGTAATTTCATTGAAAAATATGTGATGCAGGGACACCATTTTTCTTTGTTGCAACATGAGACTGAAAAACTTCGGAATGATATAGAGAAGATGCGTAGCGAATTGAGGTCTGATTTACGGAGTTACTTTACTGTCGTTTTCTGTCTGTTTCCTTGTCAGTGTGTTTGCTTTTTCGTAATGATCTTCACGATGCAAATATTTTCATTGTGATGCAGGTATGAAATTGACAAAGTTACTGCAGGGCAGCGGTTGGACTTGAATCTTGAAAGGGGGTAAATGAATACATTAAAACTTTTTATCCTCTGAGCGTCTCAGGAACCTCTGTTTCAGTCACAATATTCACCCTCCTTGTTCATTCTTATGGTTATCGAGTGTAGGAGGATACGGGAAGAGCTATCAAATCAGAATGCAGAAACTAATAACCTTACTAACAAACTTGATCGGGTGAGAATTGGTGCGAATACTTTTCCGATTGAACTAGGAGTGGAGGATTTCTTATACTAACTTTTACTTGTATATTATTACCAGGAAATTCATGCTCTAAGGGCACAGGTGGAAGCAGCAAAATATGATGTCATAAAATACTGCATAGGTACTCTTGTTTCCATTTCTGCTGTTGGTCTTGCTGTGCTTCGTATCTTGTTGTAAACGTTTTTATAGTTGACAATGACAAAACCCAATAGGGGAAACTGGGAAAAGGTTCATTCTTTTCAAGGTGTTGTATTTTTCTTTTCATTTTTTTGGGTTACAAGCTGTTGTATTTTTAAGAAAGATGTGAAAGATTAGGACATTGTAAGTGGGGCCTAGCCCAAGGAAGAAATCAATTACGCAATCCAAATATTCATCTTATTAGAATTCAATTATGTCCTCTCTCTCTCTCGGGTAAGGAAGTTCATTGGCTGGGTCTGATATCATCTATTAATAATTTTGTTTCTTTAAATAAAAATAAAAATAAAAAAAACCTTCCACTAATAGCTCTGCAATTAATCAGTGACTATTAAAAACGCATTATGTCTCTCCAAGTAGGTGTATATATATATATATATTTTTTGTTAATGAGATTTGCTCATAACTTTGAGTTTTAAATGTTAGTTTTGCCCAGCCGAATTTCAAATCTTGGATCCGCCACTAGATCGGTTTCCTCCAATCGAACAAATAAAAACGCATTCATCAAGCTATACATACACCTATGTCATCTGTCTCTAGGTCTTCTCTGTACACATCTACATCCTGGGGAGTTCCAAAGTTTGACCTCAAAACTCATCAGTCTAATCTGAGTGCTGCATATACACGCAACGCAACTACAGAGACCTTAAAAATAAAAAACAAACCAGATAATATATTGGGATGGAAATAGGTTGGTGTGTTTGAACTGGATTGGATAGGATAGTATTCAATCCCACTCCATTTCCCAAACGCAAGCTAAACTTCTAAGCACAGTGGGGTCTTATTCAAGCACCAAGCCACCAACTTTACAAAAAGGGACAAGGATGGATATATATAATATACAAATATCCTACAGAATCTGATTGGATTGCATATTGGTGGCCCTTATGTCCTCTATTGTCCATATCCCACGTTTGTTGAAGATGGGAAATCTCAGATGGAACCTCCCCCCACCTCACCTCTCAACCTCATGCCCAGTCTCATTATTCTACCCAAAGAAAACACAAGAAAGGCCTCACGTCCTCCTCACTCGTCCTCACTGCCTACCTAAACTCAATATATTTTATATATATCTCTCTCTCTCTCTCTTTCTCTGTATCAATTGTACCAAAGTACAAACATGTTTTGTTCCCACCAGGCCAATTACAACGCTTTTTTGCACGCACATGTTTGATGCATATTGCACCACCGGCATGGACTCTGCTCCGGTGCTCAGTACTAGTATAATTTTCGTGAGCACCTAGTATATTACACCAAGCGCATTACAACACTCTTTTGCATGCACATGTTTGATGCATATTGGCCGTGATGCTCTGTATTAGTATAATTGTGTCTATCTCTTTCATCGCATGATTGATTTATTGAGAAACTTTGTCAATGGACCCACCAAAATACTTTGCTCTAACTCATTCATGCACCATAGAGCCTTATATTGAGATTCACATTTAGCACTATATAGCAAGCGAAAGAGTCAAAAGTGTCAATTCTTGGAGCTGCTGATGACAGTATGAACAACTTCAGTCGCAAGCATATACAAACTTAATATAAATATTCACACATCCAGCCACAAATATTCCCTAAAGTCACGAGAACACTTTCACTTGCACCCAAAAAAGGGTTACAAATTACACAAAATTATATACCAAGTGTTTGCAATGATAATATATTTTTGTTCCACTGTGACAAATATATATATTTTTTCAAATTGATCCATTATTTGAATACAATAGTAAGAAAATTAAAAATTAAAAACAAAAACCAAAAAGAGAGGAAAAAGAAAGGAAATCCAAGACGAATTTCCATACATATGAAACAAATCAAAGAGAGTGTTTATACACAAAGAAAGAGAATACAAATTCCCTCATTTCTTGTTTCCGAAGTCTCTTTTCAATTATTTGTTTTCTGGGTTCTTCCCAAATATTTTAAATAAAAAAAAAGGAAAAAAAAACCCTGCAATTTACCTGTGCGTCGCCGTTTCATTGTTATGTATACTTGAAATTTTGGGACACCAATTAACACATGCAAACTCTGTTTTTCTCATCCTCGTCATGAGATCATCAGAGTGGACAAACCACCCTTTTACTCGGTACGGCAATGAGTCGACTCGCTCTGGGAGCGGTCAGTCCAAACACGTCGTTCATGTCGAGCTCACTGGGTTTCATCCCATCAGGCAACTCCCACGTAAAACAGTGGAGCAAATGCCCCACCGCCAACTCCAGCGAGTACAACCCGAGCTGCATGCCCGGGCACGACCTCCGACCGGACCCGAACGGAAGGAACTCGAAGTTGCTCCCCTTAAAGTCCGGCACACCTTCTTTCAAAAACCTAGAGGGCTTGAAGGACTCTGCGTCCTCCCACGAGTCCTTGTCACGCCCGATGGCCCACGAGTTGATCATAACGCGTGACTTTTTAGGGATGTGGTAGCCGGCCACCTCCGCGTCCTCCGCCGTCTCGTGGAGGAGCAGTGGAATCGGAGGGTGTAGCCGCAGTGTCTCTTTAAGTGCACATTTTAGGTAAGTCAACTTCTCAAAGTCTCCCTCTTCAGGTCGGCGATCAAGACCCACCACGTCAGCAAGTTCTTGTTGGACCCTCTTTAGCTCATCTGGGTTCCTCATTAGCTCCGCCATGGCCCACTCTATCGCCGATGCCACCGTCTCTGTCCCGCCAAACATAACATCCTGCAGGCGACACATGTCAATTAATTAGTTCATTTATTTAGTTTACTAAATGACTGATATGTTACGTTGTTAGAATGTCAATTTGATTTATAATCAATTCAAAACAATATTATACGATAAAAATTTACAGTCTAACAACATAATATGTCAGCATTTTCAGATTTTTCCGAATTAATTATGGTTTTGTATGGTATAGAAGGCGCAATAATTTACCATGATGATGGCCTTGATGTTATCTCTAGTAAGGTTGATGGCGTTTTGCAAATTGTCATCAGACTCATTTACTTTGGCTTCATCACTGTAAAAAGCCAACAATTCATCCACCATATCAGTTTCACCGCCATTCGATCGGTCACTGTTCTTCTTCTTCTGCATGTGGTCGTCTATGATGCTGTCGATAAATCCATCCAACGACTGACGAGCCCTAGCCAGCCTGTTGTTGAGACCCTGAGGGTCAACCCAACCAAGGCAAGGAATAAAATCCGCAATATTGAAAGCCCCGAACAACTTCGAAAATTCCTGCAATATCCCAATAAACTCATCCTGCCCTTCGTCCGAGCTCGTCCCGAAGGCCGCCCGATAAATAATATTCTTCGTCAACGAAAAAACCAGCTCCCCGATATTCACAGCCGAACCGGCCTGAACCGAGACGGTAAGGACCGCCGTGTCCACCTCGTCCCTCACGGCGTCCCAGGACTCTGCGCGCTTCCGGCTGAAGAGCTTCATCACGCAGAGCTTACGCATCTGGCGCCAAAAGGGACCGTAGTGGGCGAAAGCCATGTCGGCGCGGTCGTAGGTGAGGTAGCTGATGGCGATGGTGGCGGGGCGGTTGGAGAAGATGTTGTCCTGGACTTGGAGGACCTGGCGCGCCACGTCAGGGTTTGAAATGCCGACCATGTGGAGGAACCCCATGCGGAGGTGGAAGATGCCGCCATATTGCTTGGCCAGCTTGGCAAGGCCTCGGTGGGTTATTTGGTCCATCATCAGCATGTTGCCGATGATGGGGAGGCCTGTGGGGCCCGGTGGGTAGGGGGAGCGTCTTCGAGACCGGTATCGGAAGACTAGGCCGGAGAGGAAGAGGAACGGGATGATGAAGAAGAGTGTCATGGGTTGTAGGGTTTGCAAGGCTTGGAGAAGAGAATCCATGTGGTTTGTGTGTGTTTTTTGGGTGCGTAGAGTAGTTTGGTGTTGTGTGCAACTCAAAATGTTGCTAAGTTGGATGAGATATTATGGGGCCTTTTATATACAAAGTTTGTGTACTGCTGTTGAATTTAGTCACGCGATTTAGAATTCAAATGAATTGAATAAATTGAAAAGGGTTTGTCTTTTATTTTTGTTTTAATATTATTTTATGTTTTGTGGTAAGTCTCTGAATGAGTAAACGTAAAACCAGAAGACGGTGGGAAAAGACTGGGGAGATTTATGGATTTCCAAACCGCTTTGACGTATAGATACGTACTAACATCCTTCTATATAAACAGTGATGACGGATATTATCTGCTACTATATGTACATGAGTTTAATTAGGTCAATTAGTTAAAGCCGTATAAAGACATTCTTCGCTTCTTTACAACCGACTTCGATGTAAAACAAAATAAAAAACAAACAAAAAGGGAGTAGGTAGCTTTTACTTTTGTTTTTGCGAAAATTGCTTTAATTTGACTTTGTCTGAAGTAAAGCGATTGAATACTTCTAGAATTAATGAAATTAACAGAGAAAAAAAAAAGTATGAAGCTTCCGTATATGATTGAAAAGTATCATTTTTCTTTTTCATTTAAATAAGAAGAAGGTTGAAATAACTTTGTTTCAAGAACCTTTTTTTATTGAAAGGGGCGATAACATACTAAACTCACACACATTATACGAATGATAAGACTTGAAGTCAAAACTTTTACGAAGTTGAAATAACTTATATGGCTTGAAAACATATTACATTTGGAGAAGATTACTTTTGAGAGAGCGAGATGTATAATTGAGTTAATTGCCCAGAAGTTAGTTAGCATAATTAAATTGGTTATCTCAATTTCTTGCAATTGAGGAACTATATTGTAACTTGCAAGAAACGAACTCAAATTTTGCAAATATTTATCACACTAATAAAAGAACAAGCAAGCTCAATAATAAATGGTGTGCACGAATTCAACGAATTTTAAATGAAGGGTCCGAAAAGTTCTACCATGGCTGCAAGACAAAAAACATATGCTGCGATTGTGGACTTTTCTCGAACCAGTCGCATTTAAACATTGGGTCTGTCGATCCAAATATAAATGCTTTCACCAAATACTTTGTTTGATTCACAAAATTAATCAGGAAAAACACTTCACGATGGCATGCCTTGATTCATCTTTTCTTTTTTTGGTACTAAGTCCCTTTCTAATGTGCTAGATTTTGTTGGCAGAAATTTTGTTATAAACGGTACTTAAAAAACCATCCATCTTAACCGTACCTTGTCACTTAACATTTCTAAGCCAAAGGATAGGTACATATTTCACTAAATAATTTATTGAATTTTTGTTCCTTAAATTTTAATTCAAATTGATGGTGCTTAGAAAACAAACCGAGCTTGTTTTGGGAGTTTCTATTTGTCTCTAGGGTTAAAGCTAGCACAGCTAGCTGGCCACCTAATTCTTTATTCAAGGTGAGTGATGATTCATTAGTATATAGCGAAGTGTATGTTTGAGGCTTCACGTAACAATTGGTCAGTCTGTCCATGTGAAAGGTGAAAGATTTGATGCCGGACCTTATACATGTCAAGTTGCTGTCGAGGTTAAGACATTCGAGCCATTGACTGTTTCACCTCACCATTTCAACCTCTTTTTTCTCTTCCAAATATTTTATGGAAATGCAATGTGTTAAACGGTGTTGTGTTCAGTTAATATACTTGAAAACTAAGATAAGATTACAGGATTAGGAGCTATAGGTAGCTAGATTGCGTGTTTTAGCATCATGATAACATCATCATTATTTTAATACTTAATTCAATGCCTGTGGCCTGTGGCCTGTGGCCTGTGGGATTTGATTTGATATTTTCCCACTCGTTCATTTTCATCAAATAATATTCATTTCATTCATCCATTAGCAGTGTGAATCGCGCTGTGGAAAACCTCTGAGCAACCAAAACCATGCCTCATTAGTTGATAAATCATGGCCCATTTTGAGGTGTCTAAATCATTACATGACTTAAATCCCCCAAAAATGATAAGTTTAGATGTGCAAGTGGACCACCACTTCAGGCCAAAAAAATCATGTGTATTTCCGGCCAAGTGATCACTGTTTACCTTTCTAAGTCAGACATACATCAACTTAATATGTCTGGACCCCGGATACGACTGCCTCACACAATTAAGCAAAGTAAAGGTCAACATCTTCAACTGCCACCTGTAAAAATCTGCATTCTTGATCTTGCCATATACGAATACGACACGTATCATCATAACGTGTCACGAAATTAAATTTTAATGCATGTTATCAATCAAAAAAACAAAACAAATCATATCATAGAAAATCCAACACAATTTGAACTCCTTGGCAATTATAGCCCTTAAAAACTCAATAGAATTTTTAAATACCATGGGAAATTTCCCAAAAGGGATTGCCATGCATAATGGGGTACATGCACATATTTCTGGTTTAGTGTGAAAGCTCTTGTCATGTTAATTTGCCTCTAATTATGAGTTGTGTAAAGATAAGGTGTATTTAATAACCGCCCAAATTAATGATGAAATCTGATTGCTTCTTATTGCTCGAACAGACACACAAAAATTCTTTTGGTGTACCTAAAATTTAAGACGAACAAAAAGTAGATGATTATCATCAAAGATGTAGACATGTACATTGTATAATTTGTATTGACCAAAAATCACAAATGTTATAGGTATCGGTAACTATCGCGGTTTAATTTTGTCAATTTAATTTGTTATTATTTCTGATCGGATGTTCAGTTTTTGTCAATTTGAATAACTTGGCGTCTACTTGTACGTCAAAAGCCTACACTGTCACTGAATCAAGAGGCTAGTTTGGCCGGAAAGTTTGAATTGTAGTAGGAGAGAGAGGATAGCCAGAAGATTGATCGTTCAAAGGGAACAGTCTTTTTTGACAAAAGATATGTCTTAGTTTTGGCTCACAGTGCACATCATTGAGGAGGGTCGTCACCTTTTTTATTTCATTGAATTCTTTTTTGTTTCATTGAATTAATTCTCTTTTGTTTTTTTGGACGAAAACAGTGAATTAATTCTCTGTCAAGATAGACTATAAACTGTTTACTTTTGCAATTTTACTATAACTTTCTTTCGTTTTGTACGTATTTTCCTTCCTTTCTCTTGGCATTAATTCTGATCAGACGACAGAACATTTTTCACACGATTTGAACTTCGAAAACAAAACCCAGTGCCAACTCTTCTGGAAATTGGTAGAACTTGATAGAAACAGAGAGAGACATTTCATTTTCACCTTTCTGAGACCTAGCAAACGTGATGTCATTGTAGATTATGACTAGTAACCATGCATGCACCCGTTATACACAACGATTGTCTCACATATGAGGAGCACTAGCACATGACCATTAATGTAAAGATATGATAGCATTTTAATCAAGTCACTCAATTTAAGGATATGATTATCCATTACTTAATGGAACTGAGTTCAATATTATAGGAATTCAATAATTTTAAATATGTTTCTAGTTAGCTAGTTCACATACCTTAATAAAGCTTACTTGGATTATAAGTAAAATGACATTAACCCCAAAAAACAAAAACAAAAACAAAAATAAAAACCAGTACGTTTGAAAGCTTCACGCGACACTTCCATCTTAACTGACATAGAAATTTTGACTTGAAATACAATTGTTGTATGAAAAAACAAAACAAATATATACTATTTATTTCATAAAAAAGTATACCAATTGCAAGTACGTAGCTGTCAGGAATGTAGTAAAGCGGAGGCAGTTCATGTTTGGGGTGGGGGGGCTTCCAAAGTCTTCCACCAGTTTTTCAAATAAAATCAATACAAGGACTTTTGCTACTGTTTTGATGATTTTGAGCCAACGAATTATCAAAAAACTTCTCATCGAATTAATTGAGACTCCCAGTTTGAGGGAGATGGAAGTAGCTTGGTTTATCACAACGCAAACTGCTTGATGTGTGTCTTCCTTCCTGCAATTCCACCAGAGATGAGCAATAATTAGGTAAGCCATTCACATCATTCCTGTCTTAATCAACACACACTCGCAGTTTCATCTTTGTCATGATCAAGATGGGTAACACATGTTTTGATCTTATTGGAATCTGACGAAAACGACATCGTCCACGAAAAGATTTCACCCCGGCAATTGAAAGTGTGAAAAACCAACGTAAAACAATGGACTGTCTTTTAATTGTGGCTGTATTCAACAGAAGAAAAATAAATATAAATAAAATCTAGAAGCTTACTTGTGACATGGTTCATATGGCTATATATAGCCGGACAATTTCTTACTTCATGTTTAGTCATTGTGACCTCACCATCAATCTTCCTCCATTTCATGTCAATCTTTTTACTTCTCTTGTTGCATAATGCTCTCATCACCATGATGGATCCATTTGCCTGTGCTGGTGCTAAAAGCTGCCAAGAGCTGTTTCATCTCATGTTTGAATTTTTTATTTTTTATTTTTTTTAAATTTGTTGCCTTTTTAATCATACAATTGTTGATGAGTGAGTGGCATATACTAGTGGTGGGAACATGTCACATTTCAGATAACATTGTTTTTTGGATTTTCTCTTTCACTTCCTAAAAAACAAACCTCAAATCTTCAATTTTCTGGAGCACACACAATTACAGAACTTGGTGGGAAACACCCACAATTTAATTTCATTGAGTTCCACATATATATAGTTATTCTCTTATTCAGATGTCCACACGTTATTATTGTACGGATGCCATTGTAAATAAAGAGGAAAGCAAGGAGGAGTAGTGGAAAATACATGCCCTAAAACGTACACCTCAAGTTATAATTTCAAATCATTTTTCTTGTCAGGGAACTTTTTCCTTTTTGTGTAAGAATTTTGTCAAGATGAAGAAAATTTAGGCCAAAAGTTTCGGCCATTAAAGGCATGCAGTAACTCTACTGCTGTTGTTGCTTATGTTATGTATGCATGACATGTTGTGGACGCGTTTTTTTTTTGGTGTTGATTATTATCTGCAAATAAATGGTCGTTTTTTTTGACATATGATCTCGTGTTTGACGTGTTCATATGAGAGTAAGTGCGGTGTTTTGACGACCATGAATTGTTTGTTGGGTGGTTTGGCATTTTGCAGAGTTAGGTGTCTGCACAATTCAGATTAATTCCAGAACACAAAGCTTGGAGTGGACCTGACCACCGTGGTCATGCTAAATCCATCTAATTACAGAACAAAACATGTTTAATTAATTAATCAACAAATTAAGTGATGGTGATCGTTGAAACAGAGAGGTCAAGAACCCTTCTGTGGGTTTTTTTCTTTTGTTCTTATTTTGGTTTTGCGTCTCCTATGGAAATTTGAAACGGTCTCAGCAAGATCACCCAAGTTCCACTAACTGAGATTTATCACAATAAAAAAACACAAGGGGGAGGATGAAGTTCACTTCTTTTATTAGTTTCAGAAAGAAAATTGAGGAGTTGATGTGGAAGTTTGCAACAAAATCTTAATATAAAACTACAATGCTTTTGATTTGGTCAGATTGTTTACTTGGGTGAGTTTTCTTTCCTCTAGATGTGAAACCAGATTAACACTTGATGACAATCTGACAGGTCAAGTAATAAGATAATGGGTTCCGTAAATGGCTAAACAAAAGTGAAACAAACGAGAACATAAGCATATATGTCATATGTAAACATTGTTAGTTGGGAAGAAAACTAGGGAAGGGGGTGGAAATTGAGGACAAAATCTAACATCACCAATTGAACTGGTGAGAATTGTTCAATTTTGGAGTCTTTATCTCTTTAAGAAGTGATGTGAGGACAAATGTAACACTTCCCTTCCTTACTTTTGTTTTTGTTTTTTAGCATCCAAAGTTCAGAGGCCAGAAATCAAGCTGGAACTCGAGATGAAGGTTTCGATACTTAGGGTTTAGGACTCCAAACCCAAGGTTGATGTGCAGTTTTAGGCTTATAATTTGAGGTTCGAATCGTAAAGTTTGAAGCTCGATGTCTGGTTAGGACTTAAGTCTCGGATTTAGGGCAGAATTCGAAGTCTCCTATTTCCGGGGTCTGAAGTTTGAAACGTATATACTGTGTATGTATTGGGCTGTCTCATGCTGATCACAAAACTACTTAAATAGCTTTGGGTCACCATAACATTGGACCGGGCCCTTTAACTTTCTACCGATCAATAATTGTTCGAATTCAAATTCAGTCCACCATCAAACTTGGATCGTTTTGTAATCTGCCACATCCATGGACCAAACCCAACTCTCAACTTTCTTCTTCTGACTAGTCTGATGCATAGACAAAAAGTTTGAGACCAAAAGAAAAAGAAGGCATAGCTTAAAGAAATGGCGATTTCATCACATGGAGAAATAATGGCATGCACCCACAACTATTGGGGGACCTTATGTGGATTGCACTTATCAACATCTCCACCACAAACCTGGAGTCATTATAAACGTATATATATATATATATACTGGACAGCACCACCACCACCACCACCCTCCCCTCTTCTCTCCTTGTCCTTCCAATCTTTTTTCACGTGGCCACCACTTGTATTCTCATTCCATCGTGAAGCCAAAGGAACCTCAAACTCTCGTCCACCCACTTGTGAATTATTTAGTTGATGTGGAAGGAAGCACAGCTGAAACAACTTAATCCTTTAAAGTCCGCATTGCTTTTGCTCAAAGAAGAAAACCTAAATTCTGTTTATTTTGACTTGTTACCCTCTTAATGAATCAAGCAGGTTTAATTAGCACGAGAAAGTACACACTAATCGAATTTGTATTGCGAAGGATCCGTTAGTGTTCGAGTCCTAGCATCCGTGTTACAATATAGTGTATGTGAATTTAGCATGTTATCACCCCTTTTAATACGAAAGGTCCTAAAAAAATCAAATTTGTATTAATTAATCTGAAGGGCAGAGATTCGAACGTGCCTGACAGATAAACAAGTTGCTTATAGAGGACCAACTTGAAGCTTTTCAGTACGCTAATATACAACGAAAGTGGTGGGGGGCTTGGGATACAAACAAAACAAAGATGGGTGTCTTATATAGAGTTAACCAGAGAGAGTGGAAATAAGAGACTTTGGCTTTTATAAAAAAGGAAAAGCGTGCAGAGGTCACGCAAATAATAAAAAGTGGGGACAAATTGCAAATTGCGCAACAAGTCATCAAATATGATATCTCACTACTACTCTATGTATTTATTATCTCTTTTGCAGCCTTTGGGAGGGGTTAGGGTTTGCTACTTATTGGAAGTTAGTTATAGTGGGAGCTGCGTTGCCAATTGGAAGTACAATATATTCTATTCGAAGAGTATAAAGAGAGTTGGGGATGACTTGGGTTTTTTCATTGATCTCAAGTTCATGAGGCAGAAGATGGAGATTAAGGGCAGAGTGTTTGGAGTTTGTTTAGGTCTTGCTGTTTTTTTGAGCATGTGTTTGGTTGATGGGCTCGAAGATTCTGATGCAATAGATGGTGGCATTAATGCCGGGTTTAATAATGCCACTGCTGCTGCTATCCCCAAGCTGACTGCTTCATCTGATGAAGTTTTAGTCAAAAGCAATAACAATCAAAATGGAGGTGGAAATGGAGGAGGAGGTGGTGGTGGAGGAGGTGGAGGTGGAGGTGGAGGTGGAAATGGTGGTCAAGGTGGGGGAAGTGGTGGCGGAGCAGGTGGTGGGAATGGTGGAGCTAGTGGAGATGGAAGAGGTAAAGGAAAAGGTAAAGACCACAAAAGAAAAGGAAATGGTAGAGGAAGAGGAAGAGGTAGCGGTGGTGGTGGCGGCGGCGGTGGAGGTGGTGGCGGTGGAGGGAATGGCAAAGGCCATGGATGGGGTGGAGGAAGTGGTGGTGGTGGAGGTGGTGGTGGTGGTAGTGGTGGAGGAGGAGGTGGTGGGGGAGGAGGCAGTGGAAGTGGAGGAGGCGGTGGCGGTGGTGGTGGTCAAGGTGGAGGTTGGGGTTGGGGAGGAGGAGGCGGCAGTGGAGGCAACAACAAGGGTTGTTGGGCTTGGGGATGTGGTGGCCATCCAAAAGCAATTGGAGGAAGGAAAGACAGTCCTTAGAGCTAATGCAAGGTCTGGTTTTGGCCATGCACGTTGCATGAACAAACAAACTTTGTACAAGGGTGCAAGAAATTGGACCAGTTTCCACATTTATTTGGATTATATTGCTTTAACTTTCTGAGCAAACTTTTGCCTCTTTTAAGATCAGTATTTCTTTACACTGACAATGTGATGAAAATGCAATAAAAGATACCCTAGTAGTAGTAGGAAACTTTTAGTGAGTGGTGTGTATGTTGTGTTGAAGAGTTACTGGTGATTTGCCAAACCTCTACCTATGCGATGCGAGAGAAGAAACTACGAATAAAAAGCTTATCATTTTATGTGCCTCCATCTCATATGATATGATTCCTTCTCATGTTTGCTTTAATTTGCTCTTTTTCACTTTTAGTGGAGCAGCTAATGCTTGACCTTTTGTGTTACAGAAATTTCTTTGCACAATTGCACCCAAACTTTTCAGGGAGCTTCTGTAATGAGTGGTTATGTCGAGGGGTTATAATGAAGGGGTTCAATCCAACAGTCCAATAATAACTATGCATTGGATCGAACAGTTATTAAGAACCTTCTTCATTAACCCCTCACGAAATCCCCTCATTCTAGCCTCCCTAAATAGAGGAAATGTAGAAATGTAAAGATTGCATTGACAGGCCTTTAGACAGGCCTTTAGGGGAGTTAACTAGGGCTGGAGAGGCTGCCTTTTAGCAAATCTCACATCTTTCATCATGGGCCATTTGGCAGTTTAAACTCTAAAACTGCTAATATGAATGAATTGTGAGACTTATGAGGAAACCTGAAATGTAGAATCACAAACAATCAATGGGCTCAATGATTGAAACTAACCGCAAGTGGAACTATAAGCCTTGCACCAATATAGATAATGTTTTTCTTTTATAGATATCTCCTATGTTATGTTGTCTAACGATTTATTAGCATCATATATGTAAATAAGTAAATTTGGCAATGTGTCATGTTTTTCCGTGTTCGTGTTGTGTGAGATTATATTCAACCCAAACTAGACACATTAATTTATCAAGTCCAAATTCATTCGCAAATTTTACGTGTTGTGTCATGTTTGGCCGAATACTTAATTTTTCATGCCTCTTCCTGTCATGCATATCATTTTGTCAGATCTACAAATAAGAATCAGATAAATATTCACATTGACTATCGAATTTGACAAGCAAACATTGCCTACTAGCAATACTGAAACGAGGCCGAACGTGCTTCTTTCTTCTTATCACATTAAAGCCTAGAGCTTGGGAGTTGTGTTGGAGACCAAATGCATATGCAGATTGCCAGATTCAAGTTAAAATAAACACATGCTGGCCTTATAATAATTCTAGATGAACGATCAACTCAACAGAATTTAGACTTCTAATACTCAATAAACAAGTATGACTTGACAATTCCGATGATATTTTCTCATCAAATAACTAAATTCAATGGACCTACATATTGACTTTACAAAATCAACTACAACAATTTTTAAACATATAATAGGATTCAATAATGTGTGGGAGTCGTTTGATGCAGCAATCTTAGTGGTCCCTACAGCACATCATCCCAGTGACTAAATCCTACTTCTCTTCTACCCCAAACAAAATAGCCATGCCGGCTCAATTTGCATAGTCTGTCGCCAGTCGCTCACATGTGCATGAACGATTTTCAACTAAAATTCGTCATCGTGCACCTGGGCTATAAATGTATAGCAAGATTCATTTATGGAAATAACCCATATCTAGTTATGTGCAGTGCTAGCAAAAAGGTGTACCACTTTGCTAGATTGGATAGACATCACAGCACACAAAATGAAATCAACTTGCATTTCGCAATCAAATTATTCGTTGAGGTAATTAAGTCTAAGAGCAAAAGAGTAAACACAGAGGGATTATTGGAGTGAGCAGGACTCGCACATTATTGGATGGGGCTGATAAGTTAAAACCCTCCCATTTGAAAAGGGGTTATAAGTACAAGGATTTTACAAGGCAGAGGTCAAAAGGCTGTTGATTCTTGAACAAACATTATGGTCAAAAAAGGTTGGGTGAGGTGGGTACAATCACTACTCACTAGCATGTGGGTGTTGAGAGAGAGAGAGAGAGAGAGAGAGATCTTTTTTGCCTATGGATTTTCCAAATGGAGGGCACGAGGCAATCCATCCCACACAACATCACTACTCTTTTAAGTGAAAGGCCGGCCCAAAATGTTGACCACCTAATGTTTATGAAGAAATAAATATCTTAATTAACCTAATTTAACCACGCATCTGCATCGCCATCATCATCAACATCATCATTGTTGTTGATGGCCTTGGGGAGAAAAAACAATGCCAGAAATTTCCTGCTATTTTCTGAATGCGACACATTTTCTGTTATCAAAGGCATCAACTCGATTCAAAACCCTGTTGATTCTATCACTCTATGCGTTGGACTTGTGCCACACTTTTCTCTACACGCATATTTGATTATATAAAGTCCATTTGTATTTGATTAATGCATACTTCTTTTCTTCTTGACAAAGCGATATTCTAAATTACTCTAATACATATAAAAACAAATTAAATTTGAATACAACGATTTTATTCAACTGACTTACTTAACCCATATTTGCGCATACTTCTTTTCTTTTGGGTCATGGCCTTACTTTTCATTTTTTCACTTGGGAGATATGATAAAGGTTTTGTGGAAGGGAAGGGAAAGCTGAGAAAGTCAAATATGTAAGCAAAATCAAAGGCATGCAAGACCCACACAAGTGGACAAAGGCATCCCTTGTTAATGTTTCACTATTATGGACGTTGGAGAGAGTGGTTGGAACTGGTGGGAGATGGCCATCACGTAATTGCCACTCAACAATTATGGTAGGGCACCCAATTGCCATGGCATGTTGCCCACACTTAGTAATTTCTTATTCGTTTAGGTTTTCTGTTAGCTTTGGTTTTGGTAGGAAGGAGGCCCCTAGGGGCCTGATTTTGAAATGCTCTTTCATTATTATGGCTTCAACCAATGGAAGAAGCTAACATTCTTGGCACTACTTATTTAGCTTCTTCCCTTCAAAAATCCATATTTATAAATTATTTTATTTTATAAATATTAAATAGAAGGAAGTTGAGTTTCCATTTCAAAATCAATTGACGATGGGGGAAGTACTCCAACACCTTATAAGCCCTTGCAAGGTTTTCTAACTTTCCAATGTAGGACATTTTCACTTTCACATTGTCACATGTCTCGCACGTGTTGTGAATTTTCAAGCCTAACACGTGGACAACGCATATTGAGTGACATATAACGAACCACATCTGATACCATAAAGGAAGTTGAATTGTCACCCCAATATATTGTGTTTTCTTGTAAAGATGCGAGAACAAGAAAATACTTTATATTTGACTGTTGATAGTCATGTCTATGTTTGAGTGCAAGAATGTGTTTTTTTCTACTTGGAGCCTTGGAATCTTTTATTATTCAAATAATGAGATTGGGTTTTAATATTTATTTAGTTCAATTCCAACACTAAAAAATGTATTTTTTTTAAAATTAAATAAAAAGTATAATTAAGTTGCCCATTGTGCTATTGAATATACAACAATTAGTCCAATCTTAGTTTGCTCTTGCTGTCTAATTCGGCAAGCAGCAAGGTTTACGAAGAATAATAGAATGGAAGGGACTTGTATTTTGACTGAAGACAAATGTACAAGTTTTATGCATAAATGTTGATATAATATTAGGGATGTAACGACAAATGGCATGCGCATTGTAACTTAGCATTTCTATATGAATTGAATTCACATGGCATCATATTCCCGCCAGCAACAACGCAATTTCGAGGTCTATTTGAAAAATTCTCTGCAGTTTTATTTACCCCACTCAACTCAACATATATAATATATATCAAACCTACTCCCCTCTCTCTCTCTCTCTCTCTCTCTCTCTCTCTCTCTCTCTCACACACACACGCAAACACCAAAAACACAAAAAGGAAGAAGAAATGTTTGTATTAGGTTAGAATGATAGGCCTCTTAAGTGTTCGTAAAATTTATGAGCCAATTCGTAGTTATTTGCTTTTACCTGAAGCATGATATTCACGACATTCGCCTCTATTAGTTGTTGAATTCACTTACATCAATGGTTGAAAGCCGCTTACGCATCATTACTACGTTTAGAATAAAGAGACTTATGAAACCGAAATTGTTGTAATGGATTCTAAAGGAGTTTCCGTTTCAGAATCAAGAAAGGGTTAGTGAACTTTTTGTACATACTTTGTAAGCAAAAATTCCAACATGGAATGATGAGTCATAGCTTGGTGGTAATTATGGCTGTCACCACTTATATGTGTGCCCGCGGCATCCTCTTTTAAATTCTGAAATGGACTGTGACTAGTAAATGGCTTCGGCTTATCGACTGTTGCCTGATATTTTTTTTGGCCTTCAAAGCCTTCCATTCCATGGCCAATGCATGATTTCAAAATCAATATCCGCTGTGAATGGCTCCAAACCCAGCACCAAAACCCGAGAAAGAAAAAAAATAACCCTCATCACATCAGGATTTGCAGGCATCGAAGCATCTCTTTTAAAATCCAACGGTCAGGATTCGGCACAGAACGTGCAGTTTACGCCACGAGAAATTATGTCGTTTAGAGAAAAGCCTTGGCCTCTCTCGTGGCGCGCTCGCTCATAACATTTTTGCTTTCCAACGGCCACCAAATTAAAAGGGGTCTGAACGGTTTCAAATTCACTCAAAGGGTCAGTTTCGACAGACCACCAAATCTCCTCATTTTCCCTCTAAAAACCGAACCAAAAACATTAGGGGCAATTAATTAAATAATTAAAACCCAAAAAACCAACTCTAATTAGGAGAATTAAATTAAAAACAAACCAAGAATATAATTTAAAAATTAAGTACATATTAAGTAAAGTCCTGACTAATCAGTTACATGCCTACAAACCTACCGCACCAACCCATGCAAAAGGAAAAACGAAAGAAAAAATGTACACTAACTCGGCCTGTTCGAACCGGGTTCACTCTAATCTAACCCCGGTTCACTTTGTCCTCTCTTCCCTACTTGCTAACTAAAGTTTTAATCCTTTCTCTTTCCGCCTAACCAAAACTGGGCACCACCGGAGGTCTGGTCAAACCGGGTTCGGGCACGCCGGTGACATCCTTCTTCTTCCGCATCTCTAGAACTTTACGGTGGTGGTTGGAGTGCAACTCGCTCGAGAAAGTCGGGCTGCATGCGGGTCGATATTCCGGTAAGAGCCGACCCGACTTGTAACGGACCCCACAGGCGTTACATAGGGTCTTGGCTCCATTGGGCCCGGTTCTCCACTGCGGGGTCTTCTGCACTCCACAATGGCTGCACCGACGAGGCGGCTGGCTCGAGCTTCCATCCACCAGTCTTCTCTTGGGCTTCTTCGGAGGCTTCTCCACTGACCCGACCGGTTCGCCGCCCGCTTCGGCCGGTTCCCGGTTCTGGGTGGTGGGGTAAATGAGCCAGGGGCTCGACGGAGACGAAGAAGAAGACGAGGAACTAGAACTCGAGGATGTCTCCGTCAACGAAGGTGACCCCAGTGACCAGACCCGGCCGCCGGTTCTGGTTCGCTTGCTTCTGGCCTTGGCCGGAACCGGAGTCTTGAAACAGGGTTTTTCGGGTAAAGGCGCTGCCGGGTCGGGACGTTTCTCGGTCTTAGGCTTCTCGGGGATGAACCCTGCCGGCAGAGACGTAGTGAATTCCGTGAAAGAATCCTCAACAAAATGAGACAACCATTCGAGGTTTTCCAAGTCGTCCGCCTGTAAAAATGGTAGCTTTTGGTCAAAAACCTCAACCCAAGGCCTCAAAAGGGGTCAAAATCACCATTTTTAAACATGGAAATTGGGAAGAGAAAGTACCGGAACGCTGAGTTCGCTGGTGGGTTCGGGCCCAAGTTCGTTTTTGTCAGACAAATCCGAGTTCTCAGGGTCCTGGGGTTGTTTCGGAGGCGAAACAGAGGCAAAGCCCTTGACTTTATCTTTATCGTCTTCCTCAGCCTCTGTTTCCACAAACCCATCTTCGTTCGAGAAGTCAAGGAGGTCATCGACTGAGAAATCGTCACAAGCGACACCGTTTTGCCCATTGACGCCGCCCCACAACAAGTCATCAAAAACCGCTTGTGGGCTCGCCTTGACAGCCATCTCCTTCCTAATACTGGTCTTCAGGGCCGCTTCCACGCATTCCATTTCAGTTTCAACCTAAGACAACAAAACCAGAAAAACCCAAAACCAAAATAAAGCAACATTCTTTCTTTCACTAAACACACAGCGGTTACAGAAAACAACAGAGGAAACCCAAGCCTTTTTATTCGCTTAATTTGAAGACAAAAATGACATTTTATCATGTATACCTGTTGTGGAGGTAGAGGTGGAGGACAGGTTAAGAGCAGAGGAGGATGAGGAGAGAGAGAGGAGAGGAGAGAGGGAGAGGTTGAGGTTGAGGTTGAGGTGGTTGAAGAAGAAGAAGGGATTGAACAAGTAAAGGGATGAAATTGGAATAAAAAGGAGTGGTGAGTTTGGTAAAGCATTGAATTAGGGCTGAAAGCGTCCGTGGCCTATACTAAAAGTGCCCGTTTCTTTCTCTCTCTCTCCTTTAATTTACCTTTTTTTCCTTCTCTCCCCACCCATCCACTTTATATATCCACCTATACTGTTCTCTGTATTTACACTTTGGATACGTTTGCAGTCTGTCTGTACTAAATAAACCGTACTGTTCATAAATAAATATATTTGTTTTTGTAAAAATAAATAAATATGGAAAATATTATTTTTTCTCTCTGAAATTACGATGACTGCCCTTTTGACTGGATTTTTCTTCCCTGTCTGGGTTTTGTGCATGTATGGGTAGGCCAGGGCGGACCATATCCACAGACAGCTCCCATCTTTACATAACTTCCATTTTCTTTTTTCTTTTTCTTTTTTGTTTTAATTTTGTAATTTGGATTTTTGGGAGGGGGAAGTGGGATAAGAATTATAGGGTGCGGTTCGTCCCACACAAACCACTGCGTCGTGAATACCTAGGAAACCGCCACCTTTGTGGTTTTTTTCCTTCCTTTTACTTTTCTTTGAGCAGGAAAGGAATTGGCCCATTTCTTTTGACTAATTTACAACATCTGCCTACCGCATTGATCGCCGCTCGTTTTGGTTCTTCACCACTTGAAGCTTTTGTTTCCCCGCTCATTGTTTTCGCACTTTATTACGAACTCAACCGAAATTGGCGCATTGCTTATTTGTTCCTTTTTTTCCTTTTTTGTTCTCACTAAATCTTTTGTTTTTCAAGTGCTTATCAAAAAACTAAATTGAACGAAATATATCCATTTGGCTTAGATTTTGTGGCTTACCTGAAAACCGTCATATCCCGTTTTAATTAATAGTCTTTAATTGCTTGCATCGACAACTTACGACCTAAATATAGTTCATTGCTTTGGAAAAGTAAGGGAGCACAATTCTTTTGTGTTGAACATTGCTTAGCTCCTTTCATGTAAAAGTCCTTGGATTAATCCAACGACACACATAATTAATAGTCTTAACTCTCACTTATACTCCTTAGGTGAGCAGGACTGACATTTCCCCTATTAGAGAAGGAATTCTAAACTGCATTTGCTTAAAAGAAAAAAAACAAAAACAAAAACTGTAGAGTAGTAGAAACTAACATGGTTTTCTCTATTTTCCTTCCAAAATTCTTGAGAATTTTGAGTAAATGGCGGCAATGAATATGAATACGATATGAATTGTTTGATATCATAAATCATGGCACATACGCAGCTACCATTTGACACTTGTACTAGAAATTTCCAATACAGCTAATAATTTTCCACAACTTGTGATCACATGACAACATTTTAACGAGTTTTCTTCGAGTTGTGATTAACGAGGGCAATTAATTAAGGTTTTATCCGACGTGTTAATGTTTCGTGATGTGTCGTAAAACTATTGGCCCGTAGACGCAATACAATGAGTTGAAGCATATTTGACTGTATCCCACTTTTATCCACGTAACCTTAATTAATTTTCCATATAAAAAACAAAGAAGAGAATCACACTATCTCAAGAAACTGAGGCAAAGCAAATTGAATTATTTTATTGTTTTGGTCTGATAACCCAAATTGAATTGATCCATAATTTAATCAATTCATGAATTGAGGCCAGCCCAGAAATTGGTACGACCCCCTGGACTGGAAAGCCAATCTGCAATCTCCATAATGAACAAAGTTCAACGACAGTACATACATGGCTTAGAAGCAACGAAAGGCGCAGAAAAGTGATGATACGAGCCAATGAGTCAATGACATGGGTCCAGCTTTTGTCTCCAACCTCTCCCAACTCAAATGATTCCCCTTCATTTTTATTTTTATTTTTATTTCCATATACATAGGTCTTCTTGTGTGCTGGCCACTGATCAAACCCTCATAGGTGTGAGTTCAAATTACGGAAGATACATTCGTGTGGGCAAGGGTGGACCAGGACATTTTTGTAGGAGTGGACTAATATTTTTTAATGGGAGATTTTTATATTGCTTTTTTTTTTTCTTTTTAAAAGCAGGTTTTCATGGTTAATTGACTATAGGCTATAGGTTTTTTTTTTTTTAAAATTATTATTTTTTATACGCAGAGAAAATGAGTGGTAGCAACTATTCTTCAATTCACAATATTTAAATTTATGGGAGTACACATAGACTTAGGGAGTACAGTCATATAGATCTATAATTACACAATCACGAGCTACAAGCATTTAACAAAACCAAGAGACAACAAGATTATATAAAAGCAGAGATCAAGTAATGAATAGATTAAATCAGAAAAATAACAAGTCATCAATAAAATCCTAGCAAATTGTATAAGAAAAAAAACCCTAAAATTTAACACCCTAACTCTAAATCATAAAAAGTTAACAATAACAATTGAAATTGTAAATTAAACAAAAAGTAAGAGAGAAACTCACTAATATTAAAGAACCCACTAGATATAGGTTGATACAATTTTAAAGAGGAGGAGACCTACTACTTCCAAGCTCTCAAGTTCAAATATAAAGTTATAGCTTACATGGATGGGTAATAGAAAAACAAGATGTCTGATGTGTGTGGGTGCCTCTAAAGATGAAATCTATGGTTGTGACAGGCTAATTTCAACAAAAAGGGGTGGACTATTTTTAATTAACTTGGGTTGACTCATAAAATTAACATTAATTTTTTTATCTCCAAATTTAGCATTGGGCTAGAGCCCACTCTAGCCCATGCATAGATTTGTCATTGGGTGTGGGTTGTGACATTGTCACGTGATGTTATTATGGTATATTGTTTAAAAGTAAAAATAACATATGCTATAACATAATATTGATGCACGACACTACGGCGATAACACTATTTTGCAATCAAACTGAATAATTTATAATAAAAAATTGCTAAATTAATATGGCTATCAAATTCCATTCTAAAACTATTATTATTAAAGTGGCAATTTTACACGTAATGCCAAATTTATTTTAACTATTGAAAAGGACTTGCATGTCACGGGCGATAATACTATTTTGCTATCTCAATTTAATCACACTTCATCATATAAAATCTTTATCATACATGACGGAATATAATTGATTGGAATAACAAAACAATGTTATTCCCCTAATATATAAATTTTTCTCCTCACTGTCACGTGTTCCAAACCTCTTTTAAAAACGCCAGTGGTTGAGTGACTCAGCTCAGCTGCAGTAGGGGTGGTTTTGTAACTTCTCGCGGAATAAAAATCGTCAATGGAAACCAAAAAAAAACAGAAAAACAAAAAACGGGGAGAGAGAGAGAGAGAGAGCCGGTCAAAATACGTATTTTGAGATTCCAATAGTTGACGGTTCACCAGATGGGGATGGTAAAACAACAACATGAATAAAGAGCCGGCTTCGTAGACTTCCCCTGTCGTTTTCAGCCGCCCAGAGTCGTTTGCTCACGTGGTGGGTTACTATTGGACAGGTGACGTTGCCCAATAAATCATACGTGATTTTTTCTTTCTTTCAATTATTAGAATTATATGTTTTAAAGTTTTTAAATTTTGAAATTTGAAAATCAAAATTTGAAATTGTTTTTTTTTATTTTGGGGAAAAAATAAATAAACGAGTGGGCTTGAAAATTGAATGCGGATTGGCCCTCCTCGGCAAATGGAGCCCAACCAGGATAAAACGGGGTGCCCCAAGTGATATATATATATATTTAAAGGATTGGACGGAAATGCCCTTGGAGTTGGAGCGTGCCGTTGTTCGTGATGATGGTACGGGAAAGTGAGAAGTGAAAATACAAACAGAAAGTACGGAATCTTGTGAAATTTCCAATGAAGAAGGTGACTCATGTCTTACATATGTCTGTCCAGTGTCTTTTGTTGGGAATACGGTGCCTTCATTCATCATGGATATAAAGGTATCTCCATCTTTCGGAAATCCCTCACGAAGCTCCCCAACCGGCTTGGAGTAGGTTTTAAGTTCGACATACTTGAACATGTGTTCGATAGTACTACAAGTTCGACAACGATTTCTGACTCCGCCCAATTGTAATGATTTAACTTTGTTGTTAGTGAGTTACCAGATTCTAATTTTAGTTTTGTAAGTATCTGATCATTTAGCAAACAATCAAATTGGTAGAAGAACTTTCGCACAATCTATCTTATATGGGAGAAAACAAAATGCAGAAACATCCCAATGCTTGATAATTTGTCACCATTTTCTTAGGTTCATTGATTGGCTTCTTCAATCCGTTTAAATTAACCATGAATCTTCCCAATAGGGTAGTATATATCTCTCACACTCTTTATAAGGAGGAAGAATTGGATTTAGCTCTTAATAGTAATTTACCTCTTTCACACTCTTTCTCTTGTTATGGGATGAGGTATTAGGTCTTGGATTTAACTGGGGCAACTAATTTGAAGTCTCAAGTGTAAATTTGGCTATATTCCTTTTATGTAGGGTTTTCAATATCAATATACTTAAGTTACTGCAGACACGTTGGTTAGCCAGGACACTGAATCCGTCCCCTTGCACTCAAGTTCGAATCTCCTCCCCGTTGATTATATTAATTTAGAGTAAACAAAACATACATAAGATACACATATTTTTTTTGCTTCTTTGGAACCAGAATTGGAGAATGAAGATATGTTTGAGATGGAGGGCATAGATAAAGTGATAACACATTGAGGTGTGGAGGGTGGACTCTCTCTCTTTCTCTCCCCCTCTCTGCTTCCATGATTGAGTAGATTCCCTTGATTCGTGGTCCCAAGCAAGCATGGGTAACATTTTGAGCTGCTTGATGTGGACTGCCATGAATCTGCTTTTCAGGACAAGGGTATGCATATGCTGCAGGGAAAAGTAAATTTTTTGTCTGAAATTACTGCATCATGTGAGTGCAAACACAGTAGAAATCAGGGGTGAGATTGAACAACTGCACTGCAGAATTTGTGTTTGATGTTTTCTGCACTGTAACAATAAAAGGTAAAGAGAGTTCCTAAGGCCCATCATTCAAAAAAATTTGTCTCCAAGAAGGGCTAGAGCCCATCATTCAAATCAAATAGGGAATTTTGGAGGCTGGGTTGTCTTAATAAATTTTTAAGCAAGTGATTTGAGACACAAAAAAGAAGAGCAGAGAAAGTCCCCTTCACTTGTGCCCTGCAGAATTTGGAAAACATCCATCTTGCAAACAAATGTGTATGATTTTTTGGAGCTTAAATGCTAACAGAGCCCACTTAATCTGAAGTACAACCAACTGTGACTGTCTGTCACAAACTCAATGACACATTCAAATTTGATCAAAGAGGGTCAGAGTTCAACAGTTGGAACTTGGAACACAGAGAGAAGGAAAAAATAATTTAGGGGTTTTGACTTTTGTGTCCCGTTTCTTTCATTATGAACCCCTTTCAATTTTGAAGGTGTAAGTCGTTTAATGAGCTAGACTTCATACATCAACTGTCCAAGGAGCCTTTGATTGAGTGATATATTTGAATCAGAATACCAGGCAGGATCAATTGTCAAGTTGGTTAATCAGCTTACTGCTCACAACAAATTAGCCTTTCATTTCAGTACGAGGCTAATAAAGCAAGCATGCTGTCTCTCTCACAAACACACACGGCCACAGACATAAAGACACTCACTTTCACATTGATTTCATAGTTTCAGTGCTTGCGGGTGTGGTTGTTAGCTGTTGATGCATCGCGGGGGTTTATGTGCATCAACAATCACCAGCGCACAAGTGGACGATTGATGTCTCTATCTGTGTGGCTATGCCTCGCTTTCCTTGCATCACAATCATGTTTGTGCTCAACTATGGATAACTTGTCTATATGGGTTTTGTTTAGATTTTATGATCATGATCGATAAATGTATAATTGGCCTAAAAAATAGAGGAATTTGTTCTCATTTTGGCATCCCAAAATCAAGTTCCCTTTTCTCCTTTTTCGAAGATAGATAGGCACAAGCCTAGTTAGGCTTTTCGTGAGGCAAAAGTATAATGCATGTTCTTCAATATATCACATACATACGTCTCTAATCTAAAGCTATGCATGTTCAAACAAATAAACACGTGGTGTGGCCCAAATTTGTCAGCAAAAACCCCTTTTGGGTTGCTTTATTTGTCCTCAGCCTTTTCCTTTTTTCTCTATATATCAGTTCCGATCTTTTGGACTCCTGGACCACAAGAGTCCAAGAGATTATTGTCATCTACCGTTGGGTATTAATCCAATGGTTCAAAAAAGTTTTTTAAAATGAGTGCAAGAGTGAGTGAACCGTTGAATTTACATCTAACGGTGAGTGACCATAAATCTCTTGGACCCTTGTAGTCCAAGAGATTAGGACTGATATATATATATATATATATATATCCTTATTTTCATTTTTGTCATACTTTTCAGGTAATATATTTCCAAATTTGGTTAGTCTTGAGAAAACTGTGGCACTCGTGAGACACATATATGAACTCAATAGGACACGTGGCGAAATCAAATGAAGACTAGTGATATGATGAACATTGAGCAACAAGAAAGGGCACGAGGCACTGTCATGTGATGGGCTGAGAAGCAAGACATGGCGGCCTTTATAAGAGCATGTCCACCCCAAAAGACTAAGGCTAAGGCAAAAGCAAGGCAATGGTTGCTACGATTCATGTGAATAGTGGCAGCCTTGCTTTTTTTGGTTCCACCTCAAAAGGCCAGGGCAATGGCAAGAAAAAAAAATACAAATTTATAAATAAACCCAATCCTAGACATGTATTTATAAAAAAAACCAAGCACTATTTAAACATAGAAATACACCCAAAATCAATAATTGTATATTTTTTGGGTGTGTTTATAAATGGGTTTTGAGTGTGTGTAATGATGGGTTTTGGGTGTGTTTATAAAGTGTTTTGGGTGTTGGGTTTTTTTATAATTTCAGCCCCCATTTTGGGTGTTTTAGTGAAACTCCCAAAAAAAAATATATATATATATATGCAACAAAATATAAACTTGTTATGTATTTATAGGGAAAGTGAATAAAATTGTTATGTATTTATAGGGAAAACATCCATAATTTTTTTGTTTTTTTGTTTTTAAATTGATTTTTTTTTCCTTCCATTCTTTTGAATTTTTTTTTACTCGCTGACATCAGCGTGACGTCACTGCTAACGTCAGCACCCTCGGGCTGAAGCCCAAGCAAGATCTGCCTTTAGGCTTGGCCGGGATGGTGGGACCCAGGGCTTGCTTGGGCTGCAAGTGGTGCATTGGAGGTCCAAAACCGAGGGAATGGGCCTTTTGCCCTGGCTAAAGTCCTTGCGGTGGAGATGCTCTAATGTAGGCACACCAACCAAACCAGTTGCCCAAAAGCAATTCGCAATTCGCAATTTTTGCATTTTTTTCTGCACAATGCAACGCAATTTATGCCTTGGAAATTGCCAACACACGGGCCTTCGGTACTCTAAACCCATATAATCTAGGGGTGACATTTTAGACCGAAAAACCGCAAAAACCAAATAACAATTTACCGCAATGGAACCGTAATAGTGGGAAACCGTTGCTGTATGAAGAACCGAACCGCATTTGCGGTTGTGGTTACGGTATTTGATTTTCAAAACTTGCGGTTACCGCAAACCGCGATTATATATTTTTTTTAATAAAAAAATTGCATTTTGTAGATAGCATTGGTGCTCAAACAACACAACGGGGTCCTTCAAATCCACTCACCACCACCAACACTTGAGTTTGTAACTTTAATTTGCAACATTGGTGCACTGCATTTTCCTTTTAGTTTGTAACTTTAATTAACTTTAAATTGGATTTTTCCTTTGGGTTGTAACTTTAATTCATTTTGCATTGCATTTTCCTTTTGGTTCGTAACTTTAAAGGATTTGGAATTGGAATGCTTGAGAAGTTAAGGTTGTGAATGCTTGAGAAGTTGAGGAGGTTGTGAATTTATATATGCTTGAGAAGTTGAGGTTGTGAATTTATTTATTTAGCTTGTGAATTTATATTTTTGGGTTAAAGTATGCTTGAAATCAAAAGGCTTCAAAAGAAACATCAAAATTAGGCCTAAAATGTGGAAGATTGGATTTGTATGACACAAAAAGAACTTGCGGTTTTAAACTGCTAATTCACGGTAACCGACCGTTTTTTGCCGTTTCAAAAATTACTATACCGCAAATAGTCGGTCGGTTTGCGCTTTGGGAAAAAATTCACGGTTACAGAATCACAACCACCCCTAATATAATCTATCAAACTCGTAACTATTTCCATTTTCGGCATCATCCACTTATTACGGCTTAATTTAAAACGATATCCCACTACCATTGAGATTTGAAAGTGGGAACTCTTGATAATTAGTTTTGTGAAACAATCACTAATGTTTGTAAAGAAGGTTAAGTGCATACATAACGTTGGTTAGGACATTTGGATAGGATATTGCGCTCGTTATCCTTACACCTAAGTTCGGGTCCTCTTTCCCAAAAGTTCAAGTACTTCGATTATGTGGTATGTTGGATGTGCTCGATATGAGTATTTTTTGCAAATGTTTTGCCTGATCCCAAAGCTGTTTGTGCTTTTGCTTTGAGAGAAGTGGTCAGAGCTTTTGCTTCTTATAACCAAAAAGAGGGTGAAAGGGGAGGAAGTGACAATAATGAACAGGTTATATATGGCATGAAAATGGTGCATGAAGCAAAGAGGGAGGAGAGTGTGCAGTGAAGTCATCAATGCAAGTTGCAGGGAACTTGTTTCTATGAACTGTCAATAAAAGCACTCTAGATTAAAGCCTGCAGCTACATGATATAACTGCAGGCAGGCAGCAGCAACATATTAAATTAATATCCAGTTGAAATGTTGTTGGAAAATACAACAAAAAAAGAATCTGCACCAGCCGGGAATCGAACCCGGGTCTGTACCGTGGCAGGGTACTATTCTACCACTAGACCACTGGTGCTCTGCTTGTTAGCTTTCTAGCCAAATAACGTAATATATAATATATACGTTTATCTGGTGACGCTTATGCTACGAAAGGATATCAATGATCTTTTAATTTTATTATATTGACATCTCTCTCTCTGCCCTCCTATACCTATATAAATGCAATGCTTTGTTTTTCGTTTATAGAACCTTTTCTTCATTAGAAATTTCTCGATATTACTGTCACACAATAACATGGTATTGCCAATTCATTTCGTTGTAACACCTGTATTTATTTGTTAATACAATACTTGAGGTTCATGAAATATCAACAACCTCAAAATTTATTCCTTTCATCACCCCACTTTGTGAAGGTGATATACCCCCAAAATCAATGCAACATCAAGTACTCTTATCAGGTCAATGTTATTACTTAATTCACTGAGTGGGAGTTGTAGCCGGTGTAAAGTAGTATTCTAGCTCAGAATCAAAGACATAGCATAATCCAAACACAAGACACCAAAACAAACAACACAACAGGGAGAAAAATACAAGACATGGTTTGAGTCTTGAGGATGACCAGCTTACCTCAATTTGTTTCCTTACGGTATTTTAACATGTTCCAAAACTAGGGCAACGTCGTCCATTGCTCCCATGGCCTGGCCAGCATTAAGCTTTTTTATTATTTATCTGCAACAGATTTGCAGGGGTAGTAGGTATGGACCATGTTTTTATATTACAAGTAAATACCTGCCTCACATGGTGCTTCAAGGGGTTGAAGATTTAATTAGTCTTTGCTTGAAATCGTGAATTGTGGAGCTTAGGGCTGGAAAAATAGCCGTTAGGGGGACATTGCTCTGTTGCCTCTCAAAGACTCAAACACATCAGAACCTTCATTATTTTAGTGATGCAATGGCATAAACATTTAAGCCTACACAAAAAGTAAAGATCTGAACTTTTAAAGTTTTCACCATTAGTCAGAATTCCAAGATAAACTTTCAAAATGGAAATTTCGGGGAAAATGCTAAGAGTGATTACAAGGAGGAAGTGGAGCTCCACACAAGCCAGGATTATCTGCGAAAGCAGACACAGGGAAGTTAGCTTTGTGAGGAGGAATTTTCCCAGACAATTGGTTTCCAGACACATCAAATTCTTGAAGATCCTTCAAATTCAGCACCTCCTTTGGAATAGTGCCACTCAAGTTATTGCTTGAAAGAAGAATTGTAGCCAATTTTGTGGCATCTGCAAGCTCCATTTGTATCCTTCCAGAAAGCCCATTATGCACAAGCTTTAGGACCTGCAGCTCACTCAACTTCCCAAGTGACTTTGGTATGCTTCCTCTCAATGGGTTGTGTGATAAAACTAGACTTTTGATAGAGGTCATTGTGGATCTTTCTCCTATGTCCTCATCAATGGGGCCAGTGAACAAGTTGTGAGAAAGATCAATGGAATTAAATTGGCCAAGAGGGTTTTGGGATTCTTTTGAGAATATTGAATCCATGTGGCCAGAGAACTTGTTGGACTGTAGATCAAGATCCATTAGAAGTGAAAGGTTTCTGAATTCAACTGGGATTGATGCATGGAAACCATTGTTTGATAAGTTCAGAAATGATAGGCTACTCATGTTGCCTATCCAATGAGGTAACTTCCCTGTCAAGGCATTGCTTGATAAGTCAAGTATGGATATAGATGATGAAGATAACCAACTTGGAAGCTGCCCTTGAATACCAGTTTTTGCCAACAATAGCCTGAAAAGCTTTAATCTTGCAAACCAGGTTGGTATACTAACCAATCCCAAAGGATTGAATGAAAGTTCCAAAGTGTCTAGCCTCTGTAGTTTTGCTAGCTGAGGAGGAATTTGACCCGACAGTCGATTTCTCGATAAATCTAGTGTTTGTAGGTTATGTAAATTGCCAAAACTTGAAGGAATCTTGCCTGTAAAATGGTTGTTGGAGAAGAAAATGTCAGTAAGAGTTGCAAGATGGCCAATGGTTTCTGGCAGTTTTCCTGAAAATTTGTTGTTCTCGAAAATGAGCCTTTCGATCTTTGGGAGCTGGCCTAGTGATGCTGGTAAAGTGCCTCTGAGCTTGTTTTCTGATAACTGACAAAACCGCAGAGAACTGAGCCCGGAAATCGAAGATGGAATGCTTCCAGTAATCTGATTATGATTGAGATAGAGCAAGACTAATTGGGAAAGTGCACCAATGGATTGAGGAAGTCTTCCACTTATCTGATTTTCTGACAAATCAAGATATATAAGGCTCTTTAGCTTGCCAATGCTAGTGGGAATGCTACCAGAGATATTGTTCCCATGGAGATCAAGCTTTGCTAGCAACACCAACTTCCCAACTGAAGTTGGAATTGGCCCGGACAATCTATTTCCAGATAGGCCTAGTTCCACAAGTGATCTCAAAGATCCAATAACAGAGGAAGGAACAGCACCAGATATATAATTGTCACCAAGAAAGAGCTTCTCCAATCGAAAAAGATTACCAAATGTAGTTGGTATTGAGCCAATGAGCTTGTTTGAATCAAGAAAGAGATGAGTGAGTTGAGATAGCTTCCCAAGTTCTGGTGGTATTGGACCCTTCAAGTCCTTGAGATTACTGAGGTCAAGAAGTTGAAGAGAGGACAAGTTTCCAATATAAGGGGACAAAGTACCAGACATGTACGTGTCAACGATGAAGTCATTGTCTGAAACAAGTCCCGAACGTGAGACATTGACAACTCTGCCGGAGGAGCTGCACGCAACACCTTCCCAGGCAGAGCAGCAGTCAGAGGAAACTGACCATGAATGCAGCAGCTTTGAAGGGTCAGAGATGATGTTATGCTTGAAATGGAGAAGGGCTTGTTTATCTACAAAATGGCATGCTTTGGAGGCAAGAAATGAGAGGAGCTGTGAGAGAAAGAGGAGCAGCAAGGTTCGGCTGTGAATGGAAATCTTCATTTTCTGAGATAGTAGAATTAATTGGGTGATGGAGAAGGTGTTCTATAGCTAGCTGTGCAGCAGGGAAGGAGTGAAGAGAGAGGTGGTAGGTAATTTAAAGATCAAAACATTTTGTCATGTCTCTCATGTGTTCGAATTTATTGAACTTAAGCCTCACGGTAAAGTTCTTCTATGCTTATTTATTTATCTTCTAACTAAGATGCAAAGTACCCGTTAATGTAGTGTGTATGACTTTAGTATATTATCGTCCTTCTCAATAACAAAAGTCTTCATAAAAAAAAAACTACTAAGTCTAAGATAAGCAAGGCTCTCCATAATTAGTGGGAAGTGACTAGGATTTGTAATTTGGGGTTTAGCTCCACTGTGGCTAATGCTAGTTTTGGTAAGTTTGGAAACATAATCTTTTCGAACACTGGAATGAAACCAGTAGGGCCACAATGCTTGACCTGAGCTTGCTTATAGTCTGGCTGCTGATAAGTATTGTGGCTGGATCAATGTTGCCCCATGAATCATAATCATGATGCTTGTGTTGTGGAGGAGGTTGGTAGGTTCCATAATGGAAAAGATAAATGAAGTCTGTAAATCAATAATTTAAGCATGTAGCGAAGGTTTGGTATGAAGATAATGTAAATTAATCATTGGACTACTCTTTGAAATCATGGATGCCGCCACACCACATGTTACTAGTGTTACTAGAACATCGTCACGTGGTATAAATTTTAACATCGTCGCATAGTATAAACTTCACATGTTATTAGAGCATTTCTACTTGGTATAACTACACACCCATACTATAATACGTAAATTGGTTATACCACGAGAAAAAGGAATAAAAACTGGAAGCTGTAAAACAGTACAAGCATATTCAGTCTATACGTACATACTGTATGGTATTAGTCTATTAGATATACGGTATAAAATACCAAATAGTAATCTAGAGAAGTGAGGAGATTGGTTCATCAGAGTGGGGCCCTCAGTCCATCAGGATTCAGAAGCATAGAAAACCACGTGGGCCAAACGTTCCTGTGTCAGAGGAAGATAAAAAAAATCTAGCAAGCTGATTTACTATGGTCATGTACCACCAGACAAGGACGACCCTTCTCATTATTACAGTATTTAACACAAGATTTCCCACTTCAAAAAATAATCCAATAAAAAACCCTAAAAAGAAAAAAACGAAGCACAAACAGAACCAGAGGAAGCAATCAAAATTAGTAATTTTTATGTCATAACGTTACAAATAATAACGTTTTGATCATGGGATTATTGGGCCGAAGCTTCTGCACTCAGAAAGCGATTTCTGGTCACCACCTTGGCAAAAAAAGAAAACTCTCGGGCATCTGTACAAGCAGTTATCGGCCAAACCCACATTTGCAGAACCCGGTTTGAGCCCCAGCAACGGACCCGGGATGGGTCCGAATAAGTAATTCCCGCCCAGCAACAGCCTCTCGAACGCCGAGACTCCGGATCCGGGTACGGCCACTTTGAAGGCGTACTGGGTCGGAATCATACCCATGAACTTGTTGTTCTCCAATGTCAAAGCAGAGAGCTTTGGCATCATGGGCAGGAAAGATGGCAGGGGACCTTTGAGCTGGTTGTTGCTGAGGTCCAGGGCAATCATCTCGCTCTGGGTGCCCAGAGAAATTGGGGGCTGTACGGACGATAATTGGTTGAAAGAGAGAGTGAGTTGCTGGAGTGATGGGTGCTCGAAGAGGTAAGAGGGAACAAAGCCACCGAGTTGGTTGTGACTCAGATCGAGCACCTGCAAAAAACCCAAGTGTTTGATATTTTCCGGGACTGTTCCTTGCAAGCTGTTGTTTCTCATGGAGATTTGGAGCAGAGAGCTCGGGAGGGTTAATGGGATTTGCCCAGAAATGGCGTTGTTGCTGGCATCCAAGTAGAAGAGGTTTTGCAGAGAACCCAACTCGGGAAACTCGCCGCTGAGTTGGTTCCCTTGGAGCTCGAGTCGTTTCAAGCTCGCCAGCCGATTCAAACTCGGTGGGATTGCGCCGTGGAGACTGTTGCTGTCGAGGTAAAGCTCCTCGAGGTTGGAGAGTGATCCGATGGATGCGGGTATGGAGCCAGAGAAGGAGTTTCCGGAGAGACCGAGTCGAGTCAGCCGAGTCAGGTTGGAGAGCGAGTCGGGGATTGAGCCGGAGAAGAAGTTGTTGGAGAGGTCGAGGGTTTGGAGGTAAGGGAGGTTCCAGGAGATGGAAGAGAGCGAACCGGAGTAACCGGCCTGGTCGAGACTGAGCTCGGTGACTCGACTCGTTGCTGAGTCGACCAGGTCACACCTGAAGCCGCAGGTGAATCGGTCGCTGAAAAGATTGTCGCAGGGGTCGAGCTTGAAGTCCCATGAGCTTATGCATGAGCCTGGGCTCACTGAGGTGGGGTCCAGAGCGTTCTTGAGCTCCTTGAGAGCTTCTATGTCTCCCCAGAAGGTCTTTGATTCTGCTCCAAGTAGTTGCAGGGTGGTGAGTGTGATAAGCAAAACAGCAAGGGAAGAAGAAGATGGAGATAAATTGCTAAGAACACCCATTTGGTGTTTTCACTCAAGAGTGATGATGGTGGACTGTTTTGTAGGTTTGAGGGAATATGAAAGAAGATAAGGGGTATGGAGTTTGAGCAAGGACAGCAGGGTTGATCAGGACCGTTGGTTTCGGTGGAAAATCAGAATGAGAATTCTGATGTGAGAGAGAGAGAGAGAGAGAGCTTTTGCAAAAGCTCTTTTTGTATTTTGAGGTCAGAGAGTTCAGAGATCTTTATATGATGAGTGGTTTTCTCACGGGCTCACGGGCACTTGTCACAGAAATAAAGAAAGAGAGAGAGAGAGAGAGAGAGAGAGAGAGAGAGAGAGAGCTCTCACTAAATTTAGTATACGAATTTGAGAGAGAGAGAGAGGAAGAAGGTCGTGTGTTGGTCCTAGAGTGGACACCTTGGCTGTATTATACAGATACAGTGACATGTGTTGGTTAGCTGAAGCTGAGAGTTGTTACTACTACTGTCGAACTGTCGAGCTGTCGTTGTTTTTCTATATCCATGGCCATAATTTTCATAATAAAATGCAAGATAAAATGTGAAAATATTTAAAAGACTTATTTTACGAAGAGTTGAGGTGTGGCTTGGCTCGTTGATGCAAAATGTGGGCTCATATATTGAGCCCATCATACTCTTTTTTATACGTAGAAGACTTATTTTACGAAGCAACCCAATATTCTTTGACACCAAAAATGTTTCAAGAGTTTCCATAAATTAGGTTAATTGATTGTGTTTGTGTAGAATGAGGCGATTTTATTTTGCCTTCTTTATGCCAATATGCTTTGGACATCGAATAGATTCTTTTGCCTTTGCCTATAAGCCACTCGAAATGGCCTCTTTACACAAAAGCAGACCCTACCGGTAAAAAGAAAAAAGAAAAATGGGTGGTTGGGCATTGGAATCAAATGCCAGCAGCACATGGAATCTAATCCCCTTTGATTCAGTTGTTACAAAGAGCGAGCTCTAAGTTGGTGGGTGATTTTAGCAAACGATATCACTAATGTCAAATCGAGCGGTTGAATTAAGCACTTTCATTATTAGAGCTTATTAGAGCTAACAAACTTGAAAATACAGCAAACTTTCCAAAAAGCCACCCAATTTCCACCATGCAGATTCGCGTTGGTATTTCCAAGTCCAACCAACCACCATTCAGGAAGATCCTTTAGCATTCCTACTGTGAATTTGGGAAATTAAGCTTGCAAACAAGATGAGTAATGCTAGAGACAGACATCGACGGGCACGGTGGGTGGCTGTCGGCCGTCGATAAGCATGGTTCCTGCAGTGGGGTCCCAGTCAACGATGTACACTAAGCGATTGCCTTTAGCATTCCTCAAACAAAATAGGGACCAAGAAATACATCAATTGTCAAAATCCTAGTTGTCTTTTGTGGGGGTTCGGCTAATGATACACGGCAAACGTCAACCATTGAGTAACAAACTACTATCAAAACATTGGGCAAAGGCAAGTTGAAATAACAAGGAGCTGGTAATTCCTGTCACCAGTGGTTACATAATTAGCAGTTATTTACTTATTTATTTATTTTTGTAATACATCTTTTCTCAACTAATTAATTATACATACATAGATATAAAATAATAAATGCCTATACATTCTATAATCGAGCATACCAAGTATGAATCTATTTTTAAAAAAATTGGAACAAGAAAAGTCACCTTTACAATTTTCTCCACTTATAGACCTCTCCCAGGCGACCATTCAAACTTGGTGTATTTGTGATTTATCTCAAAGACAAAGGCCATTTCCCTAATCTGCAGATTGTCATAAACAATAAATCACTTGGGCTGTCATAAGCCAAGAACACGAAAACAATCCATTAATGAATACTAAATTAGTAGGAGCAAGCATGTTGGGGAAAGCCGGAACAAGTGCAGTAGCATAAGAGAAAGCAGAAACTTTGAAGGACGACAAGAGAATCCTATGAGGATATCAGCTGTTTTAGAATTAAGGATGGGAAACCATTACCCTCCTTCATTCTAATCACTTGAACCAAGACCAAGACGCATACGCTTGAGACAACCCAGAACAAGGAATAAATAGAACTAACGTAACTAGAGTTTTGAAGTGTGACCAGAAAAATAGAAAACCTTTTACCTCAATCAAGTTACTTGAACTAAGGCTAACAAGCTGTCCAATAGTAACTTCTTTGCCGTTCAAAAAAATTGAACCCTTGCCAAGATTCTTCAAAAAGAAAGAACCATCTCCTTCCATCTTTATCACAGCCTAGAGAATAAGTAACAATAGTCATACGAATGTCATAGCCAAATTTCTTTAAAGGAATTTAAAAACAAATAGGGCAAACAATTAATACTTCCACTTTGGTCTAACATGCTGCAATCAGACTTGTGGAGACAATGGCCAAAGTCACATGCTTCATTAGGTCGGATATTTAAAAAATAACATTAAAGAGAAAAATAGGGGTTTAAGATCATTAACCATTTATACATATCAGATTCTAATCTACAATCTTAGCCCTTCTCATTTTGTCCGTTTTCACTCCTTCCTTGCAATATACTTCAGTTCTCCTTTTGTTTACTCCATTACCATAGCGCAAAAATAAGGGGGAGGACTGCAAATGGATAAAATGGGAATGTGGAAATCACGACCCTTATTTAATAACACCCTTCACAAGATAGGGTGTCACGTTAAAAAACTAGTTATTTGACATCTCAATCCCATTCTACCGTTTGTATGAATTATCAAAGAGCAAGTAACTGGTTTAATATAAGCTGACCATCAACAAATGCAAGTCCTGGAAACAATTGCATTAGGAGAACGAAACAATTCTCACCTGCCGTCTAGATATTTTGTTGTGTAGCCCTTCCTTTCCCAAATCAATATCAACTTCATTATCTTCTGTTGACCGGCCAAGTATTACCTGCAAAGTAGGAAGAGGTTGCAATAAGGTCTGCAAAGGTGACATGTGATTCCAAATCAGAACTTTTAAATTTGAAAAACATACCTCAGTTTTCTTAATATATTCCTTTACATGGCGACCATACAGTACAGCAAGTGCACCTTTAGATGCAAGGTCTCTTTGCATAGAGGATCGTGCACACTGTTCTAATCTCATGATACGCCTTTTAGAATCCTCATCTTGATATGCTGAGGCTGGAAATACCAAGGAAAAGAATTTTAAAAGAAAACGAAAACTATATTTGAACATAATGGCAGACATGCTATACATTCAACAGTTACATTTAAGACTGAATGGCTGATATGTTCTCCTTCTCAATAACCAGATAAAAATGAAATATAAAATCATGAAAGGCGGTTTTTGTAATCTTTATCACTTAAAAACTTAAATATAGATGTTTAAACCATAACAAAGACCAGTACATAAGGCACAGTAGATTTATCTTACATTAAAAAAACGACAAGTATAATATAGTTCTTGACATTCAAAATCATAGAATTTATACTAACATGGAAATCTTAATAAAGTTCAATTATATACAATAGTAGCTTTCTTTATATAAGATATCAAAATTCAGAATTGATTAGAAACAGAAGCAGAAGGATCATCAGATACTAGCACAGCACCCAAATTAGAGGAGTTACCTATTTTACTGAAATATGAATCCTGATCATCTGGACATAAATCCATCTCAAGTATCTGAAAAATAACATAAACAAGTTACAGAAGGCAGATCCTAGAAATGAACTTAGTAGGACATAATTATTACCATCTGTTTAATATCAGATGTTATTAACAAAATTAGCTAATCAACAAATGATGTAGGATATGGTTGAATTAAAGATTTTGATAGTTTAGTGGAAGTGAAAACAAAGTAAACAGAGAATTAAACGACCAGACCTATCCTTGTTCGTTCAACAAAATTATTAATGCTTACCATCTGTTCAATATCAGAAAAATAGGGAATGTCAGCATCATCATCATCAACATCATCATCAGATTCTTCCTCAGATTCTTCACAATCTAGTGCTGAGGGGTTGGCTTCTGGTTCTAGAAAAGTCATTTTAGTAGAACCTGGTTCTGTGATTACAGGTGCAAGTTCTGCAACTGTAGATGGAGCAACTATTCCCTGTTTAGAACAACCACCTTTAGTGATATATTTTTGCAATAGAAACCAAGAACTTCATAAAGTAATTACATATGAAATCCATTGTATGAGGTGACCCCAGATAAAAATTAACCTCTTCTTTTAGCGCTCGATTTGTGATAGACTTAGGCGGTTGATGTGCTGATCTGCATTGGCTTGGGTCGGCGGGGACATTTTTATCATGTTTGGAGACTGAAGCTAGACTGTTACTATCACCATATGCAGCTTTAATTCCAAAAGAAACAAGTGCATGGTTGGGGCTGTTTTCTGTAATTGTGTTGTGTCCTACCATCCGAGGAACCTTAAAAGGTTGTGCAGGATCTTCTTCTTTCGTCAAGGTTATTGTTTGTTGATCACATTTTCTTTTGCCAGTAGAGGATGCTAACCCACTAGCTTCTTTTAAGGTTGGCTGCACTACAGCATGAACTATTCCAGTAGGTGGAAATATATCATCATTGCATGGGATTTCAGGGTCCTCGGTATTCAATGTGCAAATCATCTCTTTCTCATGAAGTTCAGGAGTAAGAGGATTTGGCACTGATGTAGATGATGGATTATTAGCTTCAGCAGAAGAAATATCACGCTGCTCATCATGCAGAGAGTGAGACGGTTTAGCGGCAACATCCATCTCGGCAGCATGCACATTGTGTGAAACATCCTGGCATGTTTCTGAAATCAAATTTTGTGGTTGACAAGAGTCGGGCATCTTGGCAGTATGCACATTGTGTGAAACATCCTGGAATGAGTCTGAAATCAACTTTTGAGGTTGACAAGGATCAGGCACAACATATTCATGAACATCTTTGGGAGAACTCAACGGAATCGGCTTCAGGCTTTCATAAGAGGACTTATCCATTGACTCCTTTCCATTAACATCCATGAAGGTGAGCTCATCCTCATTCGTAAGGTATATATCTGCATAATCACCTCCGGAGATTGTTACAGACCTATTCAGTTCATCGCAAACTTCTCTATCATTCAACATTGCCTCAGAATGGACAACTTCATATTGAGATGAACCAATATTCTCCCCATCCGCATCATCAGGAACTACCAATGTCTTTTCGGCATCCTCACCATTAACCCCGAGGCTCACATCAATTGGCATTTCTGGTGCTGGTACATCCTCAATCGTTTTCCAAAGAGGCTCATCTGTCGATGCATGTGATGGCCCTATATCTTCCACATCCAGGGCATTTTCAAAATCAATTAAATCATCTCCCTGAGTAGGCAAATCTTCGCAAGCAGGATCATGGAAAAAAGTATCCTCTCCTAATCCGTTCGGCAATAATGAAACCTGTTCCACAAATCCATTAGGGCACGCTTCCCTCACAACTCCCTCCACACCATGATTTCCAATTGAGACACACTCTCCAGCACGAAATGCATCCGCAGCATTGCTCTCATTGCCATTGCAATCCATAAACAAGGGTTGATTATGATCTCCAACCCCAAAATTTTCCTCTAAAGCCTCGCCATTATCAAGGTGTGGCGCGAACAGAAAATTAGGATCGAAAATTTTTTTGTGATAAGAGTTAGGATCAACGGAATTAGAAGTGCGGAGTCTCTTCTGCATAGCATAATAGTGTTTGCGTATGCTTTCGCCTTTACGCTTCGAATCCCTAGAACTGCCGACTCTACTAGACTTGAACGCTGCGCTGGAATTGCAACCTTCGACTTCCAGCATCCGAGACGAGGCCTCGGCCGAGATATCGGCATCGTAGAGGAGCGAGGACCACCGCTCTCGCAATTCCCGGACCGAGAACTTGCGCGAAAATCGCACAGCTCCTTTGGCAAGTGCTTCCAGAGAAGCACCTGCCTGCAAATTGTCAAAAAGCACCAAACAGATTCAAAAATCAAATTTAATTAACTAATCACTCTAATGTGAAAAGGCCAAATTCGAAACAGAAGATGATGATACTTAAGTGGCAGTAACGACAATAATTGAAAAGTAAAAGGACTGAAATGTGAAATGCTGAAATTGAGAGAAAATTTGCAGAGAAGTACCTCCATGGCCTTCTTCAAGCGAAGGTCGTCTTCAGGTATCCAAGGAGGAGCCGAGGCCGCTGCTTCCATGTGGCTTTGGTCCCTCTGATATCGTTTTGAAAATTGAACTTGAAAATGAATTCTAAGCTCTTCGTTTTCAAAATTTGAGAGATCTCTGTGGATTTTGAGGCCTCGAGAGCTGTTAATTTCTGAGAGTGGTGGAGAGAAAGTTGCAGAGACTGAGTCACTGAGTCGACCGAGTTCTGGCGAGTGAAAAGTGCCAAAGGTGAAAAGCACCGCCTGAGTTGTCTGACTTTACGAACACGCGCGTAACGGTTCACGGACTCGTGGCTGAGTTAAATCTCCGTTTGATTATTATTCGCATTCCTTTCGCTCAGTTTTTTTCTTTTCCTTTTTTTATCTTAATTCTTTTGGGATAGAATATTTGCTTTCGCTGTGATTTGATTGCACAATTTTTTTCAGCGTTAATTTGTTACCTGTTAGCGACACTCTGTAATTTCATTGGTTGACTTTTCCTATCAGTTTCGTCCAATAAACAAATATGTTTTCACCACAATAATTTTGTTCTTTCTAAAATTGTACTTCAGTTTAAATAAGCGACGCCGTTTTCGGAGTGGCAATACGCAAAGAGAAGCCCAACCCCATGCCCGAGCAAATGAGCCCATTAACGTCTTTCTTTATTGAAAGATCAGTTGTATTTTCAGTTTTTGAGTGGGAGCATTTTTGCTCATCACTTTAACTTAAGATGTATGCTCACCATTCTTCTCAGTACTTAATACATGTTCATAAGTATAACCATGGTTGCATAAATCAAAGTCAAAAATTAATTAGGGCTATGACTATGGACACGTGTCGTAAACATTACAAAATTTACTCATACTTTTTGGAGTAAGCATATCAAATATTCGAGTTTTAAAAAGGAAAAAGAAAAAAGAGATGCAAATATAGCTATAAAATCACACAAACGAGTGAAATTTCATCCAAAATTAGCATTCTGCACAATTTAATATTATGACACGCGACTAAATGCGAGTCGATATGTTAAATAATTAATAACTTGACAACTTAACATATTACACTAGAACTCACGCAAAAGTCAAGAAGCTAGTTGATTTGACAAAATAACATAATATACTAGAATTTGAAGAAAAACAAAAAGTATTCTTGTGCATCAATTAGTTCATAATTGATAGACCAATCCCTCTATATCTTAAATGGAAAGGTAGCTAGAGTGTGGAGCCAATACCATGATCAAGATCACACTCAAAACACTATCAATAGCAGTGTCAGTCAAGATACATTATGGAATACAAACATTATACAAACAAACAAACCCACAAGCAAGAAGGGCACTCAAGTTCATTTCAGTTCTTTGGGGCCATTCTCTTAATGTTTCATAAAACATGATCATATATATAAATATATATATATATGCATCTATTTTTAGAAAGATTACCAAGTCTAAGTCATTGCCTAATTACTTAGTGGCAATTAATCGTCCATGGACCGATCAAGCGAGGCGCAGATCATGCAGATGAGTAATGGAGGAGCCAAGCGAACTTCCTCCGTGGTGGTGGAGGTTAGCGTGGTCACAGATGTCTTGGTGGAGGTGGATAGTGAACAAGTTGGACGCCCCATTTGCCAATGCAACCGCAGATTCATAGTCTCCCTCATTGTCCACGTACCCATATTGTGGATCCTCAGAGGCTACTTCCTGATCAAACTCCAAATTTCCAAACAAAATTACTCAATCAATCAAAAGGGCTCCACATATAAAGCTTAATTATAAACGTAATTAATTTTTCAGGGTGTATATATAAATGCTTGCTTACATAACCATGTAGCATGTTTCCTCTTCTTTCCTGCAAGTTCTTCACCTGCAGCAGTGGGATTAATTCACAACACTACCAAATATATATATATATATATATATAGAAAACTATCCAGTAAAAATTCTTAATTACCTTCTTCTTGTAGGTCTCCATCTGAGTTTTGAGCACGTGGTACTGTAAAGAATCCGGCAAAAAGATTAAACTCACACACAAACTTCCATAACAGCTGATTGACAGAGATTATTAAGGTTTCCTTTTAGATTGTCTAAGAAATTATTTATTATGAAAAACTGTTACCCTATCTTCTCTGAAATTCTACAAAATTGTTTTATTTATGGGGATTTAAATAAAACACACAAAAGACTGGAATTTCTGAAACCCTAAGTTAAGATTTTTGCAGATCCATGTCCAAGCAACACCAATTGAACTTTGTGATTAACTTCTAATAGCAAAAACGGAAAGTTAGAAACAAAAATCTGACCTTCCTTTCACGTATGGCCTCCAAGGAAGAAGCCATCTTATCCTCCAGAGAATGCAGCTGCTCATAGGTCAGGCCATTGAGATCATGACCCAACCTCTGCCTGTTAATTTCACAAATATATAATAATATTAATTACCCTAATCAGAAATATTCATCCACTCAACAATAAATTGATTTCTTCTTCTGCAGTTTCCCAATTACCTGATCTCCCTCCTCAGCTTATTGTTGATCTCTTTCAGTTTCCACAGGGTGTCTTTCATTGCCTGCACCCACCAAGAAGAAAACAAATTAACCAGAAACAAAAACTAACAATAATTTATTTATTTTTATCTATATATAAATTTTTAAAAAAAAAGAAAAAGAGAAGATAAAATAATTAAGAGGGTATGTGCTTGGTTAACCTGGTAGTGTGAGCTCCACAGATCGACCCCTAAAGTTTTTTGGTAATCATCATACATCCTCTTGGTCCTGTTACATATATGAAAAAAATTAAAAAAATTAAACAAATCGAAGTGGAACAAAAGGAAGGAAGAAATATTAATTAAACAAAAAAATAAAAATAGGGTTTGATGAGAGAGAGAGAGAGAAAGAGAGGACGTACGTGGTGGTAGGGCTAATATACTCGTGCATTTTACCAGTGTTGGAGAGCATGATGAGTGAGACCCTGGCATCACAGAGGACGGTGAGCTCCTGAGCCTTCTTGAAAATCCCATTTCTTCTCTTGGAGTAGGTCACCTGCCTGTTTGTGTGGTTTTCGATCAGCTTGATCTCAATCTTCCCACGACCCATGTTTCCTCTCTCAATTTCCTCTATTTTTTTCTTTCTTCGAAAATTTCTAGGTCCTTGGATCTTGTTTAATTTCTGAACAAATGGGGGAAGAGGGTTGGTTTGTTTATATAATGAAAGTGAGATGAGGAAGAAGAGAGGGTTTCTATATCGGGAAAGTGAGATGAAAAGTTAGTTTGTAGGGTAACCAAGAATGTCGTTGCTGATAAACTGCTAACTGTGTTAACTGCTAAGTAGTGTCTTGTAAAGCTTTTTGTATATATAGCTAGCTATCCCTTGTAGACAGACATAGCTTTAGGCTTTAGCTAAAGCTAGCTATAACGTTAAATTTTACACTGTTGAGACCATGACAGCACAAACACAAGTTCTGTTCGGCGTGCTTGTTGCTAAGCTCATCGGTTGAAGTTGATCAAGCGCACTTGAGTTAGTGAGAGGAGCTCAAAATTTATAAAGAGTTTGTATACTAATATACTTTTTTTTCAAAATTTCAAAATAAGTTAGTGTGAAGTGATGAAATTTTTAATATGAAGGTTAAGATTGGAGGAGATAAGAAAAGTTAGGAATTAGTTGGGATGCAGGTTAAATTACATATACGTATACAGAAATTTATATATGTCATATGCATTATAACTAATATGTTTATAACGCAACATGTGATAAAAGAAATAAACATAAAAATGTGTACATCCATTCATGACATATAAAGTTGACGGTTCTTTCAATTTTAAAGTGGAGACTTGAAGTATGTATCTTCATACATATCTTTGAGTCTTTCTCTTTGAGACTGAAGCTACAAGCCAGGCTCATCATGTTGAAGGTGCAAATCTCTAATTTACTTTGACCTCAATATCGAGGTTGAATGAGTGAGAGACTTCCAAGATATTAACGTTGTGGATTAGCACACATCTTATGTCCCATCTCTCTCTCTCTCTCTCTCCCTAGGAGAGACAGGACTCTGAAGTATCATCAGAATGAGTGAATCTAAATGACCTCTCTGTAATTTAAAAGCTTCATGCCTATATATATATATATATGCATGCCTTGGTTTTAGCTCTTGATATTTTCACAATCTGTGATATGGAGTACTTGTTGGCTTGTTTTTGTGTTAGTTTTCTTAAGAGGGCATCTCTTGGACTGCCGATCACTTCATTGGGTTCATATATTTGCCTTGACAATATGTTTAATTAAGCAAAACTTGCTTCACCGGGCGATTGCTTAAATTGGCTCCTAGGCTGTCTACCTTGTGGATTTGATTCTGGGCTGCGCAGAAACTGATTTGATTGGACAGCCAACAATTAGGCAATTTCCAACCCAATGCCCATGACATCCCTAAAATAGAAAAGTAAATAGAGAAAAATTGTTCTCCTTTCAAATACAATGCAAAAAAAATGGAAAGTGCATTGTATATATGTACTATATATGATATAAGGACTGTTGTTCTAGGCTGCGCTGGAATCTACAATGTCTAACCCTGCTTTTGTTATTTGTTATTGTGTTCTGTTGGCTCATCGTGGCTTTAGCCTTCCGTTTGTATCTATATTCCCTGTTTTGGGGGTTTTTTTTTAAGGCTTAATTATGTACATGCCCCCTGTGCTTTCCAACTTATCTCAGATTACCACCTGTGGTGGAAAACGTCTCAAAGTACCCCCCAACGTGCAAAAAACTGTCTCACGTTACCCTTTCCGTCAGTTTTTTTGAAGTTCCGTTACGAACGTTACTGTTCATCTCCCCCAAAATTCCAGAACAGCAGCTCCTCCCATTTGTTACTGTTCATCGCACCAGTTTTTGGGCTGCCATCGCCTCCTCCGGCCACCCCAAGCGACGACATGGATATCAAAAGAACCAGCACGTTGTCCTCTACCACCCTCACATCTCAGCCGCTGCCAACCGTCGTCTGGATCACCGAAAAAAGCAAGAAATTGGCCGGTTTTTACCCAAAATCTCCATTGCTCGTTCGGGCGATTTCGCGCACCATTTTCTTCGATCCAGGTATGATTTTTCAACCTCTCGAGTTGTTCTTGCTGCTAGTTGTGTTGGTTAGGAGAAATTTCTGAGTTTTGGAGGGTAAATAAGCGATGAACAGTAACAAAGGGGAGGGGCTACTGTTCTGGAATTTTGGGGGAGATGAACAGTAACATTCGTAATAGAACTTCAAAAAAACTGACGGAAAGGGTAACGTGAGACAGTTTTTTGCACGTTGGGGGGTACTTTGAGACGTTTTCCACCACAGGTGGTAATCTGAGATAAGTTGGAAAGCACAGGGGGCATGTACATAATTAAGCCTTTTTTTAATACAACATGAATTTCAGACCCAAAAAAAAAGGATGTTGGTCATATCAAAAAGTAACTAATTCAAATTGTTTGGGGATGTTGGCATATTTGACTCACAACACATAGAAAGGTCTTATTAGTGATCGCTTAAGCCAGTGACTCCTAAGCAGCATATCTTATTAACGGTCAGAAATCAACCACTTGCGTGCATACCATCTCGGTTATCATCTGAGATATACATTCGCAAATTGGCCTGCTTATGAGAGAGTAGCATGGCCCAAATCTAAAGTTTCTGTTCTAAATTCTAATGTTTTTTTATTCTCCAAATTTAGGCTCAAAGCCAAACATGGAAGCCCGGGCTTGCCTCTACTATGGGCCCGAAAACACTACCTTCAATCTCGATCTTCAAAACAAAACATGATTTTTTTTTAAAATCAGTGAAAGAGATTTTAATTAAGCCATGCAGAAAATAAAATAAAATATTGCAATTGCAAGGTTAATTTATGATAATTGTTTGTAGTTGTGCTATCTATCTCCTTTGTTCTCCACTTGAGCTAAAGCTAATACAAATCTAAGCAATTTTGAAATGTGTGAAAGATTTAATGATTTATTATATGTCCAAGATTACTATGTCACTTGTTAGACCAAAAAAATACAGAATTGCACCGACAAATGATAATTTTCAAATGTCTTGCCATGAACCCTAGGAGGCATGCAGATGCCCGCAACTAAAATGGTATATTCAGAGACTTAAAGCATGTCCAAACAAGAAACAACACACTTAAATAACAAGTTTATGATATTTTTCTTTTCTCTCCGTGAAAAATAATAATATTGGACGAGGAACATAAATAAATGAAGGTTAAATTAGTAATAATAAAATATAAAAAATATTAATATCAATCAATATCGAAAGCTTAGAGCATCTTCAATAGCCTTTTCAACAACTTTGGAATGCTAAAATTGGTGAGCCACATAATCAAAACCCTCTCCAACAGTCTTGTCAAATTCAGTCATCAAAATTGCAACATCTTTTTATATGATAAGTTGACATTAGCTCTTCAAAACATTTAATTTTACTTTGAAAAAATAAAACATACCTTGAAAATGTTAAAAACATGCATTTTTTTTGCTTTTCAAACAATAAATAAATACATAGACATTTTTCACATGTTTTCATATTTTTCATTCTTTTCTATAACATTATATTAATTGAACTGAAGGGTTTGTTGGAGCATAAATTATTAAAGTAGCAAACAAAACTTTTCAAATTGTCACGTAGGTTAACGAACTTCAATTTAAAGAGTTTAGTTTGCTACTACTGTTGGAGATATGATTATGAAAAAAATATCTAGGGAGTTATTAATAGCCTTCTATTTCATAATTATGACGTGATAATAATATTAAACCATTGGCCCACTTCCTTTCGATTTCATTTATAGTTTATGGTTATTTGTTAATCGCGACTATGACTTCTCCGTCTCTTCTGCCCCATTAATGTTTTTAGGTGGTCAGTGGACTCTAGTTACTGTTTAACCATGTGACAGCAAAGCCTATCGAAGCTCCACAATAATCCCTATTTTCAACTTTTTTTTAAAGATTTTGCTAAAATTTATTTTATGTGGGGGATTTCTGATTGTTGGTCGCAATTACATGACACGTTGTGAAGCTGAACCAGCAAAACGTTACGGGAGAGATTGAGATAAATAGTGTACACTTTACACCATTACCTAACTTTTCAGACTCGCTGCTGTTGGGCATGTGCTTTGTGATCGGGCAGCACATGTGAACGATCCAAACTAGTTCCTTTTCCATTTATTTCTTGTCGTGGTTTTGCCAGATTGTTGGGTCAAGTAGCATTGATTTCTAGCTCGTTTTAAACCAGCAAGACGTAAATAGTTGGATTTCTTTTTAAGCGACTTCCTTGGTGTGTGCAACTAAAGTTAGTTTAAAAGTTGGCAACAGAGAACCAAACCAATAAAAGTTGTAGACATTCTTGGAGTTTCAAAGCCTATGAATACCACCATGGAAGCAATTACAGAAGTAGAAGAAACATTGTCTGAGCTGAGGCAGACCTTCAAAAGTGGCAGAACCCGAAGTGTTGCATGGAGAAAAAACCAAGTTAGTGCTCTTCTTCAGCTCATCCATGATCAGGAAGACAAGATTTTCAACGCACTCTATGAAGATCTAGGCAAGCACCCAGTTGAAGCTTATCGGGATGAGGTAGATTGCTTCTTCTTCTTCTTCCTTTTTTCTTTTCTTTTTTTTCTTTTCTTTCTCTTTTTCAAGGCAAAGAAATTAGTTTGTATATAATATAAGAATTGGCTAATTCTGCTTTTGCTATTTCGTTGTATTGTAGATTGGAATTGTGACAAAAACAATCAACTATACTTTGAGCAATTTGGAGAAATGGGTGGCCCCTAAAAAGGTAATTTGATTAAATGATCTGTTGTTGGGCGTGGCTATGAACTCATGAACTTATGTTCAGACTGGGGGAAGATAACATACACATAGGCCTTAGGGTTTAGCTAAAAATGATTAAGGTAAGATGACAGAGTAGAACTGGTAATGAGATTTCAACCCTCCCATGATACCATATCCTCACTTGCCTCTGTACACTAAAACTGATTTTGTGGGTTCTGGTTATTGTCATCTATGTGAATTGCTGGCATTTTGATATTGGCAGAGTCGATTACCATTGCTCTTGTTCCCCACAAGAGGAGAGGTGCTGCCCGAACCACTCGGCGTGGTTCTCATTTTTTCATCTTGGAACTTCCCAATATGTGAGTCCAGTTATATCCGGATCTTTGACATGATTGTTTCTTTTGCTACACAAGAAGGAAGGAATTCAGCAGTTGCTTTGTGACAGCATTTGTAATTGTAACACTAGCGAAAACTGTTTGAATTTTGTTATGTTGATATAAGATTCTCCGATGGAAATATCTCTCGAGTTTTGAGACTTCTGTTGATGCATTAGGCATCCAAGCCACCCTGCTTCTACCTTCGCAACTTGGCAATAACAATATCATAAAACTGCATGTATTAGATTTTTGTTAACAGTTAAAAGTAGAAAAGCTCATGTTCTGCTATTTATGCAGCCTTGACATTGGACCCTGTGATAGGAGCAATATCTGCAGGTAACACAGTGGTTCTAAAACCTTCAGAACAAGCACCGGCTTGCTCTTCTTTTCTTGCCAACACCATCCCTCAATACATGGACTCTAAAGCCGTTAGAGTTATTGAGGGTGGAGCAGAAATTAGTGAACTACTCCTGCAGCAGAAGTGGGACAAGATATTCTTTACCGGTATAGATCTCCACAATCGCCTCAGAATATAGAATTTCTTTCACAATGAACAGATTTCCTTATCATTCCTGGTTTCTTTGGTGATCCCTCATGAAGATTATCAAGAATGCAATACATACAACTGTCATCAATAACAAATTGCTTCAAACACTAATTTGCCTCTCACAATTCAGGAAGTCCGCAGGTAGGGCGCATTGTCATGTCTGCAGCTGCAAAGAATTTAACACCTGTTACTCTAGAGCTGGGTGGAAAATGCCCTACTATCCTAGATTCCTTCTCCAATCCTTCAGACTTAAAGGTTTTCTGAGTTGCTTTATTTTGGTGCCTCTTTAAACTATAAATTTACTCGTATTAAATGCTTTTTTTTTGTGTTGGCCCTGAAGGTGGCTATCAAAAGAATTGTAGGAGGGAAGTGGGGGCCTTGCAATGGGCAGGCATGTATAGGAGTTGATTATATACTCATCGAGGAAAAGCTTGCTTCCACTCTGGTAAACTTGTCTTGAATAAATTCTTTGATTTATAGTTATGTGAGGCCTAATGGTCCATTGGCTTTGAGATGATTTCATATCCTAGTTGTATGTCTTTTAGATCGAATTACTAAAGAAAACAGTCAAGAGATTTTATAGTGATAGCCCCAAAGACTCAAAGTGCATAGCCAGAGTCATAAATAGGCACCATTTTGAGCGGCTGCGCAATCTCCTCAAAGACCCTCTTGTGGCGGATTCCATTGTACATGGCGGTTCACTTGATGAAGAAAATCTGTAAGTTCTCAATCCTATTAGTCGGTTTTTTGAATTGGATAAGATAACTCAGATTTCTTACTTTGTGTGGTGTCGGCTTTTTCTTTCCCCCCTGGCTTGAAGTTTGTAGTTTAACAATGCTTTGCTGGTCTGTCCCAAGCAACAAAAAAATTAGTCTCTGTAGATGCTTATCGGTTTTGTTCTGCAAACTTTTCAGGTTCATCGAACCAACAATCCTGTTAGATCCTCCACTTGATGCTGCAATCATGACTGAAGAAATTTTTGGTCCACTGCTTCCAATAATCACGGTGAGAATTGCCATACCCCTTTTGTGAATATTAACTTCTCCAGTTCTCAATAACGTCCTTTTTTTGTCTATTTTTACAGTTGAAAAATATTCAAGAAAGCATAGAATTCATCAACTCAAGGCCAAAACCTCTAGCCATTTATGCCTTCACTAAAGATGAAGAATTCAGGCAACGAATTCTATCAGAAACATCGTCAGGAAGTGTGATTTTCAATGACGTCTTGGTTCAGGTACTGCATTTGTTCTTTTCTAAGTGTTTTCCTTTTTCCTATTTGCTTTTCAAAACAATAAAAGGGGGCCAAAAACCTAAGTACACTACACATCTTTCTATATACAGTTTCTCTGTGATGCTCTACCCTTTGGTGGTGTTGGTCAGAGTGGCTTTGGCAGGTACCATGGGAAGTATTCTTTCGATACTTTCAGCCATGAGAAAGCAGTCTTGCGAGGAAACTTCTTCGTTGAACTTGAGCCTAGATATCCTCCATGGAATGACTTCAAAATGAAATTTATCAGATTGGCCTACAATCTTGACTACTTGGGTCTACTTTTGCTTTTCCTGGGACTTAGAAGGCAGAATTTGCATTGAATCATACAAGTGATCTACAAAGTATAGTTATAGTCCTATTCCTACATCTTCATTTCGACAGGTCGATTTGGAACAACCTTTCCTGTTTTACTTATTGAGTAGTTGTAAATTGTACTCTGTGTTTTCTGAAATATGTAGTTTGATACTCTATTTGTTAAGAAGTAATAGATTAACTGGAGTCTCACAAAAGCAATGCAATACCTGAAAGCATACAAACAACGCCATCATGGAAACCAAAAGCATCTCAGAGCACAGGGAGAAAATTAAGACATGAGCAAAAAAATAAATAAAATTATGCCCCAAGGAAATTGATAAAGCAATATTATTCCAAAAATTCATAAACACAATCCGAAAAGTGCCTCTGACATCTATGCCATCTCTTCTATTTCAATTTTTTTACAGTTAATATTCTGGATTTTCCCCAAGTCTGGAAATTGGCCTTCATCTATTTCGAATGAAGCAGACTTTTTCACAGGGGGTTGCCGTGAACGATGCCCTTCAAATCTACCATGCGTCTGTAAATGATGTCCTTTAAATCTGCCATCTCCCTGTGAATGATGTCCTTCAAATCTACCATCCCTCTGTCTCTGTGAGTGATGATTTCTTTCAAATCTACCCCTCTCTGAATGATGATGTGCTTCAATTCTACCATCCCTCTGTGAATGATGATGTCCTTCAATTCTACCATCCTTCTGTGAATCATGTCCTTCAGGAACACCATCTTTTTTCTTGTTCTGTGGTCTGTGGAATTCATTGATGTTAATAGTCTGTGTCTTGATCTTCACGTTAGCACCATCTTTCTTCCTGTTCACCTCTGCAGACTTGTCTTGGGGCTTGGGGACAGAGACCTTCTTCTCCTCCTCCAATTTCTTCTTCCCAATAACTCGCATCGATTCAAATTCCTTAACAAGAGTCTCAGTCCTATCACAATCGCCATCAGAGCTTTTTTTCACAACTTCCACATCCTTTTTTTTGGCAACCTCCTCCTCATATTCTTTCAAAGTGAATGTATCAGTAAACTTTTTCTGAACAGAAATAGAACTTACAGCAGCACCGGTACCTTCAGGAGCTACTGCAGCATTGTTGTCGCCTTGGTTTTTGTTAGCCTCTGCTTCCTTTTTTTGCTTCTTCAGCTTTCTCCGTAGACTTCCATTAATGTTCGGCTTTTTCTTTCCTTCAGAAGAACTCTTGTTGCTGCTTTCATTGACGCCATTACTCTGTACTTGTTGCTGCATATTCCCCTCTTCCACACCACCCTGTTCTTGTTGCTCCTTCTCGACAACAACTTGAGCCCCCTCCTCCTCCTTCTCCAACCCCAACCCATTATTGTTACCATGGTTATTTTCAGCTTCAAAGTATCTTCCTCTTCCTTGGTAACCATTACCTCTCCACCACCTACCCCTCTCATTCCGAAAACCGTCTTGAGCCCTCTGCTGATCATAATTACCATTATAACCTCCCCCATTACTCTCTTGGTAATATCGCCTCGGATAATTATAACCATGATTAGCCCTTCCATAATTTTGGCCTCCATTATTAATCTTTCCTCCTTCTTCTACGTGACTCTGACCCCTCCCTTCATAACTACCATTACCCTCTTGGTAATATCGCCTCGGATAATTATGACCGCGATTAGACCTTCCATAATATTGGCCTCCATTAGCCCTCTGAGGAGAGCCACTGTAATGATTGGACCCCTCAGAGCCAGTACTAGCAGTACTGGACTCAGGTCTTACAGCTTTAGGATCAGCACCATTCTGGGACTGGCCAGTACTTGGACCAGACTGTGCTGAATCCTTAACCTGCACGCCGTTGCCTTGGCCTTGATCTTGATCTTTGTTTTTGCAAAGAACAATCTGGCTTTTGAGAAAACTGCGGGGAAGCACAAGACGCTTTGCTCGAATTGGCCTGGGATTAGAGTACCAAAACTCTGTCTTCCGCTGCCCTTGTGGCTTCTTCATTTTTTTCACCTCCTCCGCCTTCTTCTTTTTCTCCTCTTCCTTGTTCTTCTTCACTACTGCCATAAATGCATCCTCCGCCTTCGCATCGACAATGCCGATGAGCTCATTCTCGTCCAAGAGGTTGAAAGAGTTGATGAATGTCGCCATGATGGAATCAAAAGCAGGTTTTGCCTAAGCAAATAGTGAGGGCTTTGCTAGGGTTTCTTATATCAAAGAGAGACCCTTAGAAAGCACAAGGAAAGGTCTCTCATCTTGGCTCTATTTATAGAGACTCAATCCTTGCTCTGCCCCCCATTTACTCACTTTGCTTGCTGTCCAAGACAAAATCAAATCCTGCAGTTGTCCCTTTCCGTTAGTAATTGATTCCTACTTGCTCCCCAAGCAAAACATAGGGAAACAAAAAACAAAATAAAAAAAGCTTTATTGTATTTACTTTTTTCTTACACTTGTTTTTGGTTGATGAAAATCTTACCTTTTTTATTATTTATAAAAATCTCCGGGAGGAGACCAAACAAATTCAATAGCCACCACGTGTCCCGGAGGAGGATAAAAAGACTAAAATAGCCCTGGTAAAAACTGGGCTAGGTCCCCTTCTGAGCCCAACACACCTGTACTTGGGCCCCGGCCCATTTATCGAATTATAATGCAACTTAAAACCAATCAAATAAGCCCATGTGGAGAGCCTCAGTATACCCACCTCGTAAATACTTTGACCACCACCATTCCATTACGAGTACATTGGATCCTAACCAGCCGTGTATGGACACGGCTGCGCATCGTCATTGTCTGCGCGCGCTCATACCGTACACCCCAGCGCCAGCCAATCACAAACCGCCAGAAACAGAGAATGCCCGAACCCACACGTGCCTGGCCATGAGAGGAGGAGCTATAAGCATCAGAATCTCCAGACTCAACCCAGCGCGACCACGACGACCCTTCTGCGTTCGCGCCACCACCACGGCCCAGAACTCCATGGCCGACCGCGAAGGCGATGCAGCTACAAAGACCCAAGCCACTCAACCAATCGAAGCAGCGAAGTCGAAGGAAGAAGAATTGAAACCCGTCAAGGAAGCGGCTCCTCCACCGCCGCCCCCCGAGAAGCCGGAGCCCGGCGATTGCTGCGGAAGCGGATGCGTCCGGTGTGTCTGGGATGTGTATTACGACGAGCTCGACGAATACAACAAGCTCTACAAAAGTGATGAAAACTCCAATTCTTAATTTTTGCTTCGTTCGATTGGCTTCAATTTGATTGATGATGTTGTAGATTTGAAGATATTTGTATTCTGGATTTGATTATAGATTTGTTTAATGAAAGAGATTCATAATCCCCCAAAATGAAACCTTTTTGTATATGCTGCTGTGAATCTCTGATGCTTGAAAACTTAAAAATGAAATTTTTGAAAATTGGGGGAATTTGATTATTGGGGCCGCTAATTAATGGGCCAGGCCCACGGGTTTCTTTGTGCAATTCTGAATCTCGATATAATGGGAGAATAATAGAATGGTGGGAATGTCGTAACAGAGCGATCGTCGTGTCGTCGTGGGAAGATGCGTAGGTTCGAGTTGTTGGGCGGTGCTGCGATCGCGGCGGTGGCGGCGGCTCTGGTATTGTTGGGAAACGTCGTCGTCGCAGAAGCTTCGACTTCGCCTTCGGCGTTCGTACAAAACGTCATCTACTCCAACAAGATTGTCATCTTCTCCAAATCCTATTGCCCGTACGTTACGTTCTATCTCTGTTGCTTGTTCGTTTTAGCTTTTGTGATAAATTTGAGGTCTTGGGGTTGGGGTCTTAATTGGGAATTCAGAAAGCGATCAAATTGGAATTTGAGAATTACGAGTTGGTCAATTTGATAATTATGAGAGTGTTAGTGTCGAGGAAATTTGAAACCATCATCTCAAATGGGACCTTTTTACTAATTTATAAATTACTTTAACTTTGTATTAGTATTTGATTATCAATAAGAAAATTTTCATTTTCATGGGTTTGTTGCATTGTTTTCTAATTCTGGGAAATGAATTGGTGCGTTTTATCTGCTAAATCTTCAGTTTTCTATTATTGAAATAGTTCGCAAGTTGAGTATAAATGTTTAGAAAAAGAACTCTGTGTGTGAATTTAAGTGATGTTGGAATGAGGGATTGTGTGCTGTGCTGTTTTGCTGCTAGGTATTGCTTGCGTGCCAAGCGCATATTCAGTGAATTACATGAGCAACCTTTTGTCGTCGAACTTGATCTTCGAGGTATGACTTAGCTATGGCTTTTATGGATCTTTGAGCAGCTGCTTCTCCATAATGTGAAAAAGGTTTGGATTAATTTTCAAAATGTACTTGTTTAGATGATGGAGCCCAGATTCAGAGTGTTCTGCTAGATATAGTAGGCCGTACCACTGTCCCACAAATATTTGTGAATGGAAAGCACATTGGCGGCTCTGATGGTGAGCTCTCATCTGTATTTCTGCTTGCTTGCATGTTTGTGTGTGCTATTAAATATGTTTTCCCTTCCTTCTTTGCCCTGTGGTCAGTTGTTCATCTGCATTGTTACCTTCAGTCTACTTTTTAACTTGTGATTTTACAATTCAGACCTCAAAGCTGCAGTTCTGAGTGGTCAACTTCAGAAACTTCTTAGTATCAGTTGAGGAGATGTATATGAAGCTGCATATGGCGATTAATGAGTTAGTTCTGTGACTTTGAAGTTGCTAAAATGGTTGGTGACTGCAAAATAATTATCAATGTAGTATTGAATTTGCTTGACCTCATGGGTTTTGGGTTTGATTTGACTGTTATTAGTGGCTTAAAAGACTCATTTGATAACTTGCCGCCATTGTGACAATGTTCTTCCATTATAATCCCTCACAGACAAATATCACAATTGATCAACTATTAGCAACCTGTGTTTTCTATTCTGCAATCCAGATTGAATCACTAACAACTGTCCCTCTTGTTGATGAGACCAATATATAAGTGACAGTGCTTTCATTTTCCAAACGAATGTAATGTATGGTTTCTTGCATTTATGTTTTCAATGATTACATGTGTATCTCACAGGGTTACATGCAATTAACAACATGAACAAATACATCTCTTTCTTGTTCAGTTCATGTAGCGAAATTAGTTTGCATCCGAAACGACCTTAATGCTAGAAATTTGTTATCATATCAACAGTTCCGGCCTACAAACAGTCCGAGAGCACCATATATGAGCCAAATGCTCTGTTTCTTTGAAAATGCTCTGTTTCTTTGAATGTTAAGAAGAATTTCTATCTGCATATGTGTTTGGCCGCCATTTGCCTTTCTGTGCACTGAGCATCCCTTCTTGGTTTTTGGAGACGGTTAGACTAACCTCCCAATGCAGGGACTTCAACAAGTTCTCAACCTCCCCGATTGTGCTGGACTCATCACGGACTATGAATTTACCTCCAGGCCTGACAATCCTATCAATCTCTGCCAGTACAGGAGGAAGTTTGCATCTGTGACAACCAAAACAGGTACGGTTACCATGAATTCAAGATCACAATAGTGATTAGAATTATGAATGTGACAAGTTGTACCTCTTTTTAAGCCTTGAAAATAGATGGTCTGCATGGAGTAGGTCATAGGTTCTGGGATAAGTGCTAAAGGATTCACACCAGTCATGGTATATTCCGAAAAGACCGCGTTCATAGATTATGGGAAGTGTATCTGGTGAATCTATATTCACCACATTCATGACCCACACTTTAAGGTCCTTCAAAGCCGCAGCAAACCTGCACTCACATAAGCACAACTTAATTGAGATTACCACTTAGAACTAAGTAAAACAATTAGATTAATATAAGATCATCCTAATTAGTAGTAGTACCCTCCGTAAACAGCTCTCATGTCCATGACATTTCTGACATTGGACCAATTAATGCCCAAACTTTTGATGTAAGTGTTATTGATGACTCTTTTCCAGTGTTCATAATCTCTTGCAAAATCTTGGGGTGCTGGCTTCCCATAGATGCCCATCTGGGAGCTGTTTAACCAGTAAGGAGGAGTCTGCAGTCGACTCGGCCATTTCTCAGGCCATTGAGTCCCTCTCTCCGATTTGTCAATCGGTGCCTGGTGCATGCATGCCTGCAGAGGTACGTACCTGCACAAAATACCCAAGTCATGATCAACTTGGCTGATCTAGTGGTCTTAATCCTATTATGATCAACTTAGGCTACAAAACTAAAGTCATTAATGGAAATTACCAGGCAGCATTGGGGTCATCATCGTTGTTGCACATAGGAGGCTGCTTTTGCTTTCTTTGCTCATAGCATTGATTTGAGGTGGGTTTGCGGTAGATGGCGGCCGCAACCAAATTTACCTTATCATTCTTGATGGCAACAACCTCCCAACACATGGACGCCGTCAGCGCAGACATTTCTACAAAATTGAAACATTCTCTTTTTGAAATACTCTAGCATCGAATGTTGTCAAACAGTCAATTTAACGAATAGTATGAGATTGACAGTGTGCCAATATATATAACGGGACAAGGGAACATTTTCCGCTACACTACACATGTTACATGAAAAAGTTTGGTTCCCTACCCTTCCAAATTTCTACATCTTCCTTCTCCTTGCGGTAAACAGGAGTGGCTGACCACACAAAGTAACCCCCAGGCCGTAAAACCCGATTCAATTCCAAAAGTAGCATACCACCTGCAATGGTACATAAAAGAAATTGCTTAACCTTGTATATAATGAAGGGGAAAAACATTCCAGAAAGATCAAGGCTGATTAAATGAACCTTCTTTGTGCCAAGGGACCCTGCAACGGGCACAATGCACGGCATCAAAGACCCTGCTGGGGAAGGGAAGCCTCTGGGAACCCATGACGGCAGAGATTGCAGGTATGCCCCTTTCAAGGGCAAACTGAACTTGAGCCTCGTGCTCATCTTTGGGTGCAAATGACATTGTTAGAACGTCTCTGTCGAAAAGATAACCCCCAAAGCTAGCAACCCCACACCCGACGTCCAATATGACTCGAGTGTTCTTTCCCCATGAGATGCCCGGTACTGCCTGCATGCAACCAACGGCATTAATTTCTTCATATTACCACTCAATTTTTGCCAAACTTTAGGCTCCGATTTGAGCAAATTAATTAATTAAAACATTCCTAGATCTGTGATTGGTGTTAATGTTATA